TATAATATAGTATTATAACTTATTATTATAATATAAAGTTTATCCAAGGCGTGATCAAATTAGAATACTGATGACAATAAGATGACTTACAGTCAAAATGCTTACAATCTAATGGGAGGGAGAGGGACAGTGCTGAAAGAGGGGGAGGCAGATATGTGACTACTTGGACAAATGTATTAGGAAACAGTACTTTGTGATGTCCAAAGAAAATTATTTTATTATAGATGAGTAAGGTGAGAAGTGATCAGTGAAATATTTGTAGAGATGATGTAATGAGTTGGACTTTAAAGATGAGGAATTCAAAAGGTAAAGAAAGGTATTTAAGTCATATAATGGATTAAAGTATGGAAGGATTGAAAGCATGTTTGAGGGACATAGTATTCCAATCTAGTTAAACACAGAACTTGTGAAGGGAATAAAAATGATAAAGGAAGGTTATATTAGATTATGGAAATCTTTAAATGTCATGCAGAGAAACTTGGTTTTTTTATTCAAAAGGCAATGATGTACTTTATTAACAAATAAGTGAAGTGACCAGATGTCACTTGTATGTATGTACAATAAGTTTATTATGGCAGCAGTATGTAGACTGGATGATAAGGGACCACTAGGAAGCAGACTTACCAGGTTATTAAATAATATTGTCATATTACACATCACAAAGTTCAAGCAAGTATAGCTATACTGGAGTGGCAGCAGAAGACAGATAAAGGAGGGGAGAAATGATAAGAGATATGAAGAAATGGAACAATGAGGAAGGAAAATCAATTAACATTTATTCAGCTCCTACTATATGCTTGGGGGGGGGGGGGGGGGCAATGTGTTAAGCCCAAAGCTATAAACCTGGAAAGCAGAGTAAATGGTGATGCTACCAACAAAAGTAGTAAAGTCAGAAGGGTTAGGGACAAAGACGAACCCGTTTTTAGACATACTGAATTTAAAGTACAAATGGGCATCAAAGTATAGACTTCTGTCCCCTAAGCTCTGGGAGATACAGGTCTGAAGTTCATAAAAGAGGTCAAGGCCAGGGGTATCAACTTGTTGTTGCCGAAAGATGGTAGGTGAAAACACAGGAGTGAATGAGACTGTCAAGCAAGTGTAGAGGCTATGGCAAAATTTAAAAAAAATAAAAATAAAAACCTAAATTAGGTAGCAAGAGGAATGGACAAGAGACACCTGAGAGTTGTTGCAAAGAACCACGCCTCACAACTCTTGTGGAGCTAGAGATGCTACTGAGGTGACTGGGAAAATTGTAGTACTTTCTATAAAATAGCGAAATCAGAAGGAGGTGGTGATTTGGAAAGGAAGATGATAATTCAAAATTTAAGGATAGTTGTAGAAACTGAAATTCATTAGACTGGTTTTCTAAAGTCCTTTCCATATCTTAACAATCTATGAAAAGAGCAGAAAGTTGTGTTCAAGATAACAAGGTGAATGACCTCTGGATAAGAAAAAATTGAGAATGGGCTATACACTTAAGGAATAAAGAACCTGAATCTTCAAACTGATAAGCTCAGGAACTTGCTTCTCAATGCTTTTGAATATTCTCCCAGCTATCACTAACCTATATTTCTGTAAGTCAAGAAACCATTCATGATATCACCAAATATACTGAAATAAAACATTTTTAATTAACAAGGAGGCCAGTATGGATTATATCTACAAGATGCTCTACTTTGGCTATAAACACTCCTAACACTTGCCAACCTTGAGAATCCAAGCCAAGGTAAAGATCAACAAACTAGTCCATGAATTAAATATATAGCATTTTTAAGTTTCAGAAATAGCCTTATTTCACTGTGGTGATTAACAACTATCTCAAATAGAAATGCTCAACACAGCAGTGCTCTCCATAAGTTCTGAAAACAAAATTGTCTTACCTGTTAAGTAGCAGGTCCTATTCAAACTTGAAGGGGAAAAAAAATCATGATTTAACAAACTAATTATTAAAATGTATAATTTTTTGCAGTAATTAGTAACAGTTACTCCACAGAAATGAATTTTTAAAAAAGTTAAATAAAAATATAAAACTAAATTTCTTTTGCCCAATTCTTTTAACACTTACCAGAAACAGAAAATATCAGGAGAAAATGGTTTGTGCATCATATGAACAAACTTTCGACTTAAAAGCATTTGGTAAAGAAATCAAGGTTGAGTTTTGGGTACACTTGGATTAATGATAACCACGTTATTACTGCTATTATTTTTCCCCATACCTCCTTGGTCCTAAATTTCCCTAGTAAGAAGTTTAGGAATTATAGGAAAACCCTTTCTCAAATTATGATAGAAATTTATCAAATATTGCTGTTTCAAACGACTCGATAAAGGCAATTCTTTGTGGTGTTTTACATTTTACAGGATTACAATTCTAACTCTCTTCCCATGGACTTCATTTTTAAAAAATTTTTACATTTTTTTCCATTAAGAACAACTTTATATGGTGCTGCTATATTCAGTGATGTAGGTAGAGTCCAGTAATTTCTTCTTCCACTATAGCTTGAAAAATGCCAAGGCAACAGGGTTGCTGTAGCCAGTATAATTACTTGAATTTGAGTTCCAAACCTTTATAGAGATAATGCCATGTTTAAACAACCCTTGAAGGCCATGATTTTCATCCAATGCACATTCTTACAGTAAATAGCAAAATTAAGAAAGACCTATCTACATTGTTTTTTATATTCACCTCTTTTGCTGAACATGATTACCAATTAAAATAACTTCAATTCATGTGCATAGTAGCAATGAAGTAAAGGTACTTCCATTAAAACAATAAACACCAGGATATTTACCTAAATATATTTGCAAGACCAACTAGATGTCCCATATATATTCCCTAGGATAGGATATTGGTAGAAAAGACCAATGGCAGGAAGCTTACACACTGATAAATTATATTCTACAGACATGGGGGAAAAAAGAGCAAATAAAGAAAACAAGATCACAGCTTTAAAATGTAACATTAGAAATTCCTATCTTTCTTATTAAAAAAAAAAACCAAAATAAACCTCCACATTTTCTTAGGCTTTCAAAGGAGAGGGATCTAAAGAACTGCTCCCAATATAGAACAGAAAATGGAAAACAGTGTACATTTCTCTAGTACTTTTACAATGCTATGGAGTACAGCTGGTCCAAATACTTCCGAAATAAACCATCCATTACATAAACCTGTGCCAATAAGATATATCATGCAGATTATTTTGACAATCTAACATTTTTAAATAAGAGGGTAGAAAAAAAAAGGGGGGGGTAGGGCAGCTAGGTGGTGCAGTGAATAGAGCACCGGCCCGTGAAGTCAGGAGGATCCAAGTTCAAATCTGGTCTCAGACCAGATAGATGACACTTACTGTGTGACCCTGAGCAAGTCATTTAACCCTAACTGCCTCGAGCAAAAAAAAAAAAAAAAAAAAAAGAGGGTAGTAAGGCATTATTTTAAAACTTAAAGAAACTTCATTTTACATTTGAATATAAAGGATTTTCACACTTCACTTAAAGTTATCCTACTTTTTGTTAGTTTGCTTAAGAAGGTTTGATAGATTAGATATTGTGGATTTTTTAAAGTAATTCTTTTTTTCATTCACTTAAGATTTTAAAAATCATGTGCACATTTTAGGGTTAGAAAAGCAAGCCTAATCTCTAAGTTTCCATCAAATTGCTTACCACCTTACCCTTAATCTAATTATTACTTCTTAAAAAATTACAAAGAAACAACTGTCCCATTTTGTAAAATGACCCTGGATCAATTTTTATAAAAATAAACAATAGTATGTCATAAGTATTTCTAGTAAAACCAATGAATTTGATAATGATCCACTTAGCAATTAAGTGCCATGAAGTTGCAAGAAAAAGATGGTAAATGTCAACTGGAAGCAAATCACATTAATTGTCTCTCTCAATAGGACAGGGCCACTGCAAAGGAGGCAAAAAGTAGAACTTCTCTAGCCTTCTTATAAACAAGTAAACCACTCTCTTGTATCATAAGCATAGTATTCCTACTTATAAGCAGTGATATAAAAAAGCAGCTCCTCTAGCAAATTACATGAAAATTCTAAAACTATAAAAACTTAAGAATGTTTGTCTGGGCTTCCAAATTTAAAAAAAAAAACCTTAACTGATATATATTTTTATAAAGTTATCTCTACTTAAACCAGTCTAAGTGAATGAATGTTCAGAATGACTGACTAGATATCAATTTCATATAAGGGCCAGAATTAAATACTCTCTTGAAAATGAATTTTTAAAATGAATGGGCTTGTCTGGCCTGTGCCATTTAGGATTCTCTGCTAACTGTAAAATGTAGACTGAATTACTTCTGTTTCTTTATAATCCATATACATAAAAGTTTTTTTAAGTTCTTAAAATCAGAAATTTGTTAATTTCATAACTGTGTCTGGTGTGCTGTAGTTAGTTTAAAAATATACACATTACATAAATAAAAACTATTGTTTCTTCAATATGACTTGACATTTCTTCCGTAATTTCTTTATTTAAAAAAGTAAATGTAACAAGATACTTAAAAAAGGCTAGATACAAAAGTAGTTAAGCTGCTCACGAACATTAAAATTTTCCAAAATGTATCTGCAATAATCATGATCTTATAAAACATTTTACAGTTATCAGAAAGTGCCCAGGCTGAGTTTACATAACTGAAACACCTTAGTAAAATGTCTAATTGTAACTAAAGTGGGAGTAACCTCCTGACTGACTGTCCATTGAAACAGAGATACAAAAAAAAAAAATGTTGATCATGATATAAAGTACTGTGCATTGGCCCCACCTTATGTACACAAAAAACCCTCACTCAAAGAAACAAATTACATGCAAAATATTAGTGATATCATCTAATGTCCTAGAGCTCAATGCAATCAAAACAAATTGCAATGAAAGTGATTTCATAGGTTAAGTGATTTCAACTCTGAGATCTGAATGTCAAGAACTTTTTACAAGTTCAATACACATGATACACAACTGCAGCCAACCACAAATTAAACACCATAAAAAAGTTAAAAGGAAAACACAGAACATACTTAATTTTTTATTTTGAAATTCCCTACTCCCTCTATACAAGAACCTTTGCTGAAACACTTTCCACAAAGGCAGCAGTGAATTTTCAGAACATTTTACATTTTTCCCCCTCAGCAAAAAGATAAATCACAGTGTAAATTATATTGTTCTGCTGTCATCTTTGGCTGGGGTTAGGCCAAGAAGTTATTGACTAGCAAACAGTTACAGACAAATGTTGCTAGTGCTCCTTAGACCTATAAGTTACAAACTTGGTATAGGAATGTTTGCATTTAATCAATAAAGTACCACCAGGGGCATGACAGCATTAACTTTCATAAACTTTTATAGACAAATGGAAAAATCTACAAAACTTAGCTAGTAATATTACACAGCAATACACACTTTTTATACTCTACACGAAACCAAAATTCTTGGTCTTAATGGCGAGTAACAATTTCTGTTTAAGAATCTGTTTAGAGGAATAAAGTGGGACATAAAGTCGAGAAATGCAAGTATTTGCTGTAGGAAGGTGTTGGTCATCTGGTGGTCTTATTGTGATTGATGGCATAGGCTGAAATCCCTCTTCACTGGCAGGCAATGATGGGCTTGATGTCCAAAAGTAAACCTAAGTAGAAATAAAATTAGTGTTATATTTTCTGGTTTTGCCATATTTAAAGATTAACTTTTAGTTGTTAGAATGTTTACTATATTTTCTTATAATTCTTACACATTAGAAATGCGTTTTAAACTTATCCAAGGTGGTGGTGATACCTCCCTAGTTAAAATATTTCCTTTTACTTAAAAAAACTAATATAGCAGAAATATTCTGAACTAGTTGGTAAATGACAAACATAGGGAAAGGTCTTCCCCCAAGGAGGAAGACTGGTAGAGTATTTTCAGATAGTGGTATAACGTTACCTTGCTATGATTCTCTTTCAACTGAATCTATGGTCAATTTTCATGCATTTTTCTTGAATAGATAGCTGGCACTGGTATGATAATATGACCACTTAAAGCTGGCCCTGAGAAATGGTTATTAATGAGCCTCTCAATATGCATTAGGAGAATTTAAAATTCAACTTGGTAAAAGGGTGAGTTTTTTAAACTCTCAGATTCGTATCTTTGGAAGGAATTAATCACAGGTCTTTTTTTCTAACAGAAATGGACATTTGCATGCTGAGAGATGTAAGTATGTGTGTATACATGCATGGGTGTGCGTGTGTGAGAGAGACAGAGAGAAAGAGATCGATCTGGTAATTAATTGTCTCAATGAATATATTTACATGAAGGGCAGTAAATAGTTCTACTTCGGCTAAAATTTCCTAAGACGACATACATGAAGCTAGGCAACTATACACCTATGCTAACTATTATGGCAACCCAGATAATTATGGCATAAGGAAATATCTAATATCAATTTTAAAGGGCCTTCTAGGGCAGTCAAATTACTCACATATTTACAGTGAGTTGAGGTTGAAAAAGCACATTCTGCACAAAAACCTAGGGAGGCAGATGGTATCTGCATTATTATAATCCTCTTTTGCACATGAAGAAACACGCACAGAAGAGCTAAGTTGACTGGCCCATAGGAACTGGATTTTAACCCAAGTTTCCTGATTACAATTCTGGTGATCAGTTGAAGAACAGTTGTACACAGACTTTTAAGGGTTCAAGATCTGGAGGGTGAGGAGGACTGTTTGATTAAAGGGTCAGCTACAGAGGTCAAATCTTGAAAACTCTGGGCCATGGGATAGGGAAAAAGGTAGGAGAGGTAGCTGGCAAAGAAAGAAAAATATGGCTCTAGCCCAGAGTTGGAATGAATTAAAATGAATAACTACTCTATATTTCTTTTCAAAGGGCAAGTAAGGATATACTTTGTCACAACTCAAGCACTATCAAATGTCAACAGTCTTCTAGTGGAGTATTTTTCTTGTTAATTTCTATGGGAGTAACAATTTAAGAAAAATGGGTGAAGTTTAGTATGGTGGAAAAGTCTCAACAAACTAAATTAAAACCTTTAAAAAGAAGCCTATAGAACACTATAAGGTGAGGACCTTCTAAAGAACACCACTTTCCACAATCTGGAATCATACTCAAAAAGCACTACATTATATACATGCTCTATCTGGCTCTGTGATATCATTAGTAGGCATATACCCCAAACAAGTCAAAGACAGATGAAAAGGTCTTATATGTTAACAAACAAACACATATTAAGAGCTTCAGGTTCTGGAAATAAAATACAAAAACCAGTCTATCACAAGGAGTTTACATTCTATAAGGAAAAACACCAGTAGTTTGGGGTTGGGGTGGGGGGGAGATCAGGAAAGTCTTCATGTAATTTGTGGCACTTGAACTAAGGTGTGAAAAGAACAATCTATTCAATGGGAAGGATACATGTCTTAAATTTTTATAATCTCATTTTGAAAAAAGATTCACTGAAACAGGTAAAGAGAAGCCTACCACTTTCTACAATGTTGTTTATTTTTTTTTAAGTTTAAGACCTGATGGCCATCTTAAATAGAGTGCTCAGTTTTTCATTACTGTCACCAGCGCCTAATGTATACCTACTTTGTATATAGAAGGTGTTTAATAAATATCTATCGAATTGAACTATACCAATTGAAGTCACTTTATTCCTTGTCTATAGACTGTAAAACTCTGATTCAATTAACCAGTTCTGAAAATACATGCCACAAATCATTAAGGAACAAGGGCATATAAATGATTAAGCAGAACTACTGAACAAATATAAATGCATATATACACATCAATGACAGATCAGCACTGTCTTCTTATACCAAAGAAAATATATTAGATAAGAAAAAAATCAATACGCCTAGAGCTTTACAAATGCTTCAGAAGTTGTGGTCTGCGGTATATTTGTGAAAAAATATGCCCAAGGGCAGCTAGGTGGTGCAATGGATACAGCACCGGCCCTAAAGTCTGGAGGACCCTAGTTCAAATCCAGACTCAGACCAAACACTTGACACCTACTAGCTGTGTGACCCTGGGCGAGTCACTTAATCCCAATTACCTTAAAAAAAAAAAAAGTGGATAGACCTCTGGCACTGGAGTCATGAGGACCTGAGTTCAAATCCAGCCTCAGACACATAACACTCACTAGCTGTGTGGCTCAGGGCAAATCACTCAACCCCAAGTGCCTTGCCCAAAAAAAAAAAAAAAAAAAAAAGCCCAATAAATTTTTAGTTTTTGTCCCCTCCTTAGTAAATACTCTTTACCCCTCCCCCCAAGGAAAAAAAACATGATCGGCATTTCAGCTATTTAGTCTGCTAGTGAGTTTCTAGATTCCAGTAGGTATTATTCATAATCTAAATCTCACCTTAAATTTCCTTCTAAACATTTTATGATACAGGCATTTGACTTACAAGGTCTTGCCGTTCTGTCATGCTCATCTTCTCCACTATTGACCAAAACCATCGCTTGAACTGTAAGAGTTTCTCAGCATTTTCTCCTAAAAAAACAAAAAAACAAAAAAAGAAAAAAAAAAAGAAAAGAATTTAAGTTCAACTTTCTGTAGAGGACGTGATATATTTACAACATTGTAAATTCTTACAATAGAAACAGGTTTGACAGGGAAAATTATACATGTTTATCTGTAATATTTCATGTATACGATCCATAGAATAAAAGGTTCTGAGGATGAGTCAGAATCTGAACCAACACGACAGACATTTTGAAAAACACAGATTATATTGAAATGAAACAATGGCTCTAATCCCAGTTCCTAACTGCTCCAATTTATTCAAGGTAACTCATGTAAGATGTCTGTTTTGGCTTTAGGTTTGGTCTGTAAGTTTTGATGTCCCAAGTATTAGTGCTAATGTCATAAAATAACACAAGGATAGGGTTTTACTACCTTGATGGTAATTATCATCTATTAAGATATTAAACCTTCATTGTCCCAATTCTCCTTTATCAAAAAATGGGGGCATGGGAATAAGGGGAGATAGCTATCATGATGCACTTTAGTTTTTCAAATACAGGTTAAATACTTTACCTTCACAGGTCAAAATGCTTTTCATTTTGTTTAAATAAAACAATATACATTGTTAAACAACATATTTTCAGTATGAGGAACCCAGAGACATCCAGTAGTGTACCAGAAAGGAAAAAACAAGTGCTGCTAAACTAGTAGAAGAATGGAGATGTGTGTCTCTTTCTTCCTCACAGTTTACTGATCTGTATCTTTTGGTAGGTGCATTAAGAGTTGTATTTAGGTGTCTGGCATGTCGCAAGTAGAAAGAGGAAGAAAGCTGAAATATTACATAACATGACAAAAGTGCAAAACAAATTGAATTCATTATTTTATGAGACAAAGATGTCAAACTCATAGCAAATTGTACCCTATAAAACCCCCTGAACTTGATTAAAATATAACTGGGAAAATGTTTAGCAAAAATATTTTAAAATACAATGCAACCTAGATAATGAAGATAGTGTTAATTTGCAGTTTTCTAAATCAATATTCAGCTTGCAGGGATATGTTTCTATTTGAGTCTGATACCACTGATATAAGAGACAGGGTGCAGATACAGCACTTGCTATAGAAAATGTTTTCAATGTACTACACTAGTTTTCACCATAATGAGGTTCTATCTGCATTCACATTAATATAATTATTAGAACCTTGACATGAGTTGTACTTCTAAAATAAAAAAGTCTAAAGAGACTGAAAAACTAACATTCAAACACATGGCATTAAATTCTATCATACATTTTAAAGACAGAGTGGTATATAGAGGAAGAGTAGTGACTACTCAATCATATGACCACTCAATCATAAAGATCTGGGTTCAAGTCCTGCTTCTGACACTTCCTGGTTTTAGGATGCTGAGTAAGTCATTTAATCTCTAAGTGTCCCCAGACAGCTTTCTAAGCCTCTAAAGTTGTAGAGCAGGTTCAGATCAGCTTTTACTCATTGGGAGTTCCCTAAATCAGTGAAATCACACAACTGGCCCAAAAAGGGGTGAAATACAATTTCTGGGAGAGAAGAAACAGCAGGGTTTTATAGCACTTGAAGATTCAGTGGAATAGGTATTTTTTTCTGGCTTATACTAATTTATGTCTTCCTGATCAAATATGTAAATTACGTGAAAACAGGAGTGAAGTCTTTTAATCAAGAAGTTCAGAAGATTGAGCCAAAAGATTTTTAAAGCTCATGATTTAGGTCGCCAAGAACAAAACCCCTTCATTTTACAGATGAGAAAACTGAAGTTAAAAGTCACTCAGCTATTAAATAGTTATATTCTGAGTTTAGCATAGATCTTTTATTAATGTCTCATCAAGCTAGGCAGTTAATCTGCCAACTGAATGATTAAATTAGCAACAGTATCTCATATCGAAAAGAAGGTAAACAAAATTCCATACCTGATTCATCATTGAAAGAAGTGAAGCTGATCAACATTTGCACATTAACTTCACCACAACCATTTACCAAAAGTCTGAAATCTTCTGCTGTTAAATCTTCTAATGAATTCTTTGGAAGGACATCCAACAGACCTTTCCTCATTGCCTATAATGAAAAAAATAAATTATTTTCATTCTCCTCCACTAAGCATTATTCAATTCAACTATTTATTTATGGGAGCGCATGGGAGTAGGTGGCACAGTAGATAAGAGTGCTGGGCCTGGAGTAAGGAAGATCTGAGTTCAAATCCGACCTCAGCCACTTAGTAGATATGTGTGACCTTGGGCAAGTCATTTAACCTTGTTTGCCTTAGTTCTTCATCTGTAAAATGAACTGAAGAAGGAAATGGCAAACCACTCCAGTATCTTTGCCAAAAAAAACCCCAAATGAGGTCATGAAGAGTCAGACATGATTGAACAACTGAACAACAACAAATTTATTAGTATTATCTACCATTTTAATGAAGCAGGAATGTACTGAGTTAAAAAAAAGGCTTACAATTTTAATGTCAAGTGGTGCTATGAACATTTTGTTTAGTGAATGAAATAAGGTTTAAAAGTCCAAGGTGATGCAAGTGGAAGGTCATTTAGGTAACAGAAGAAGAAGAATGGTAGTTCAATTAAATTAGTAAACAGCAGTCAACCAGACATAAAATAAATACGGCCTCAAAATCAAGCCATTACACTGTGCTAGGTGACTTTAACATTCCAAATTAAATACAAATGCAAACCAAATACTATGCAAGTATAGAAGAAAGTGAATAAGCATTTACATAGCATTTATTATATGTCAGGCATGTTTCACAAAGTTGGTTTTTTATGATCCACCCAACAACCCTGGGAAACAGATGCCATAATTATTCTTGTTTTACAGCTGAGGAAACTGAGGCAGAGATTAAGTGACTTGCCCAGAGTCACACAAGTAGTTAAGTTTCTGGGGTCGGATATGTACTCAGATCTGCCTGACTGCAGGCCCAGGGCTCTATCCACTGTGTCACTCTTGTCTCTAAATTTGCCTCTTAAGAAAGGTTATTTCTGATTTTAGAATATCAGAAAAGGTTTCACTATGGAAGAAATAGAATTTAAAATCAGACTTGAATGGGAAAAGAGAATAGTATGAAGAAATAGGAATTATATCTGGACTAAACACAACACTTTTAAGGTCTACAAAGTAATTATCCTAAATAACTAATTTTTTCATCACAATCTTATGGACAGGAGTATTATTCCCATACTACAGATAAGGAAACAAACTCAGAGAGGCTAAGTAACTTGCCCTTGGTGACAAGAAATACTAGCAAGAGGGATTCAAATTTACGTCAGTGAAAGGTTCCAAAGGGGATCCAAAAAGACAGGGTGGTGGGATATCAAGTGTTAGCTCACATTGACACAGCTATCTGGTAACCCCAGAATTCTTAATCAACAAAACATAAGCCTAATCATTCAAAAGTGGGAATGCCTCTTTGCACTACAGACAGTTCTTATTTTATGTACGTGGACCATGCTGCAGACATTTACATAAAGAGATTTTTATGTAATGTGACTGTCTGCCCACAGATATGGAGAAGGGCAAGAGAGGGAAGCAGAAAGGGGCTGTGTGCCCATGGAAGAAGGGAGCCAGCACACAGTTTTAAGGACATGTTGGGGAGCCAGGGACAGAGAAGTGAGAGCACCAGGAAGAATATGTGGAGTAGGGAAGTAGTGGGGTTTAGGGAAGAACAGACATACAGCCCAACAGAAGACAGACACTTGGGACCTAACACAAGGGCAGGAGGGGTAGAGTTGGGCAAATGTCTCCTCTCTCTGAGCTGGAAGTCTCAAGCCACGCCCCCAATCCAGTGGTAGCAGCTTTCACTTGAAGGGTTTTAATTGAAATTTTTTCAGTTTTTTTTTTTCAGGGGATGGGGTGGGGGTAGGAGGGACCCATAGAGTGTCAAGCTGAGGGGCACAAGCGGACTGAGAAAGCACAGTACAGCAGTACTGTTATCACAGTAAAGTTATCACAGGTGGGTTTTTTTTGAAATGTAGATTTCTTTCAGAATTCTTTAAGTTGAATATGCATAATGTGAATTTATACAAAGCTAGAACTGTCTGTATCATGATATGTGAAGTTTAAAAGAATAAAGATAAAAACAGCTGCATACATGCAAAGATTTCACCACAGCTAAGTCAGAAAGCCAAATAATGCCTCTGATTCCCCTATCAATTACACCAACTTATCTACTGATATAGTAATCAGATTAGAAAAACCTAAAAGCAAACAGGAAGTATTCCCAAACTTATTTGGCCTACTGCCTCCTTAAAAAAAAATAAAATTGCCCAGCACTCCTCTGGAAATCTACTTTCTTTATCCCTTCGACGGTTTTTTCCCCCCTAAACTTGCGTCATTTCAAAAAATATAAATTTTTTTGAAATTACACATCTGAAATTTAATAATTTATTATAAATTTGCAGGTTTTTTCCCTGCATTGAAATTTTGATGACACAATACTGCATCATGTAACTGTATAGTACAGTACTGTAAAAAAGTCATTACATATACATATTCCCGCCTATGAGTGCTGGACTTCCCAACAATGCATGACATGCTCACCTGCCAACACCCGCTTAAGACCTGTTGTGGATTTGACCACTGATGGTTTATAATTTGCATTCTGTGTGTTTATTTGGAAAATAATGTAATTACTACAACTTTAACTGTTACACAATAGATGAAAATCTGTACGAAATTTTTCAAGATTTTCTTCTTTTCTTATGCTTCCACTGCCCCCTTATTTTTATTTGATGCCTCCCCAATTGCACCTGAGGCTACCCCCCTACTCTTCCAGTGCCCCCCAGGGGGTGGCATTGCATACTTTGGGAACCTATGCACTAGACACTACTGGGTCTCTCAGGTTTGACACTGCTTTTGGGCCTTCTCTCTCCTTTGTTTCTTGCTCTCAGGAATGTATTTAAAATTTGAATAGTATTGTTATTCAGCCTTATATTAAAATTGTAATAAACAAGAAACACTAGATATATGCTAAGACTATAAGAAGACTTAGGTTTCTACACCTGATGAATACTAGACTACAACCAAAAATTCTAAGAAAATACTTACATGTAGAGGCTGTTCAGCAACTACCAACATTCTGTGTTCAGCATATTTCCGTACATATTCATATACATTCTGAGGGGTGACGGGTATATTTACACCATTAGGAATTAGTTCAACCTATGCAAAATGAAGATGTATTTTTTTTAATTGGATGTAACAAGCAGAAAAGCAATGTAAAGATATCAACTATTAGATTAACAGAATTTTTAAATCTAAAAATAATTCAATAGCCAATGTATACCTAAAATATAAAACCTACACTGAAAACAGAACATCTTTCATTATTGATTTTATCTAGTTCTTTTCACTAATCCATTAATATTTTATGAATAACAACATACTTTTAATAAATACTTCAAATGGAATCCTAAAACCAGGAATTTTACTTACCTGTCCTCCACCCTCTTCTTTGCAGAGGTCTATTGCAAATGCCAAATCCATTGCTGCAAAAACAGCATCAGCATCAGTACTCTGTGAGGCGAGGATAAGTTGCCGCAAACTCTCATACATAACAGGATCAAAAAATGCAAAATCATGCCAATTAACCTAATAAAAAAGATATTTTATGACATTATTATAAAAAACTTCCTTGCATCACTACATGAAATTATTCATACTGTTGTTTACAGCAAATAATCCAGGCCAAAAAAAGGAAAATCACACTAGATGCTAATAATAATCTTGTTCTGGAGAAGTAAGTTTAATAGATCTATTGTTCTGACAATGTACTCCAGCATCATGTGACACTAAATAATTTTTAAATTGACCTTTATATTTCTTATTCTGCGCTTAAGCAAAGAGAAATTTAGTTTTTAAGAATAGTCATCAACACTCCTATATTCTTAAGCACGGAATCTATTTTCATTTCTAATACAGTAGACTGAATAAAATTTTTGGCATTTTTTTAACTTGAATGGTAGCATGTTAATCTAAGAAGGACAGTGTCAAACACATGTAAGGGGAAAAGGCAATGAACTGGAGACCTGAGTTGAAATGTCAGTCCCATTACTTGCTGTCAGTGTGCCTTTGGATAGTTTACTCTTTGGAATTCAGCGTCTTCATTTGTAAAATAAGTGGATAGGACTATCATCTATGATCTTTAAGACCCCTTTGTCCAGTATTAAAAGTCCATGTCTAAATTACATTATTGTGGAACACTATAGCTTATGCTGGACGTGGCTGATGGGTTGCTTGCTTTTGCTGAACTAATTTTTTCTCTTTTGTTGCAAAGGATGGCTCTTGGAGAAGGGGAGGGAAATATATTGGGAAATAGTGACATAAAAAAAGATAGCAATAAAATTTATTTTTAAGAAGTTAACATAGCAAAATAGTTACTGGTCTATCAGTCAGTCAGTAAGCATTTATTAAGCACCTGTTATGTTCCAGGCACAGGAGATAAAGACATTAACAGTATCCTGATTAGGGGGTCCTCAATAGCAATCTTTTCTCTAAACCATTCTACACCCAGCTGCTAAATTGATATTTCTGAATAATTCAGGAAGCTTCCATTTTTTTTTTTAATCTTCCAAGATAAAAAACAACTCCTCTGACTGACATTTAACACCCTTTCCAATATGGCCCCAGCCTCCTTTCCGGACTGATTTGTTACTTTTCATCACGCACTCTATATTCTAGCCAAACTGTACATAATATTCTATCTCCTACATTTGTAGCATCATAGAGACTATCTCCTCTCTTTCCTCATTCAAACAATCTTCTCTCTTAACACTACTAGAAATCTGACCCTCTCTTAAAAGCTCACACAAGTTTTCCTCCTATATCCAGCCTTTCTTGACCACTTCTCTTCCCCCAATGGTTAATGACTTGTGCCTGCTATCCCTACCACCTGAAATTACTTTGTATTTATCTGTTTTTCCCCCTCCCCAAGTCCTAAGAACATAAGCTCCGTAAGGAGGACAGTTTCATTTTTGCTGTGGTATCTACCACAGGGTCTGGTACATAGCCCAATACTTAACAAATGCTTGTTGAATTGAAATATTTCGCTTAGTAAATATTTGGTTAGTAAATTCTATAACCTGACATTGTCACACCTTCACCCAGACTGGTATAATAAACCAAATCTGTAAATATAACAAATGCTGATTATCAGGCTAATCATTTTTATAATGTTTTATTAGTCATTTTAAGGGACTCTCCCATGATATCCTGATATTTCACCGGTAGTTTTTATTTTAAATGAGCATCTGCCAATTTTGTCAGCACATAAGTACATAAAAACTAATTCTGCATAACAGTATATAGTACATTTGATTTTTAATACTAAATTGCATACAAAGAAAGATATAGCAATTATTTAATCAAACAAGCAATTGTAGAATAGAAAGATAACTGGATTTGGAATCAGTGGATTCAAGGGGTTAAGGCTCCACCACTTACTACTAGCTATGACTCTGGGAAAATCACATCCTTTCTAAGCCTCCATGTCCTTATCTATAAAATGGGAATAAAATGATTCACACTACCTACCTTTCAGAGTTCTGAGGATCAAAAGTAAAATTTAATGTATGCAAAGTGCTTTGTGCACTATAAAGCACAACATAAATGTGATCTATTATTATCACTATTGTTTATAAACATTAACAAAATCAGGCTACTTAGAATCACTTACTTTTCTACCAAGCAATACTTTAATTACATGCCTATTCAATGTGATAGGACACAGTTCATTCTGTAGCAAGCAGAGTCCAAGGATTCTGAAGATGAAAAATAAGAGGAAATTTATGAAGCTGCAACTTAAACAATACTGAAGTATGGCATTAACACATACTTAAATATTCTCTAAACGTGAAACAAATTAATTTCATCAGGTAACTTCTAAGGGCAAAATTTATATTTAAGATTTGTGACGTAGGTAGAGTGTATATGCCTATACATGTATGTGTGGCTTTATCAACCAACAGAATTTGATTCTATAGCCGAAGTGAATGTAAGTAACTAAGTCCATAAACCAACATTTTTTAATAAAAATTTGAGACTGGTTATTATCTTACCTGCCAATATTTCTGAAACAATTTAACCTTGCTTCTGTGTTTTTCCCAGGTCTTGGAGTATAAAAACCTCTTTTTCCAGGCTGGTAAAATAATGGAGCATTATCATCACCATCATCTGTATCATCTAATTCCATATCTACCACACTTCTACTGGAGCCATGTCGTTTTCGATTTTCCTAGGACCAAAGAATACCAGAGATTCATTACAAAGATTATTTACGAAAGGGCACCCAAACTTTTAAACTTATATACATGGTGAAGCTGCAAGTAGTAATAACAGAATGTTTTACCTTTTAGGTTTTCTGCACTGTTGACTACACTGAGAATATGGGAAATCTCATTTTGTATTGGGTATAAATCTAGGTAGTTTTTACACTAAGTCTAAAACCAAAGTCTTATCCCCATCAAAAGAAACTCCTACCACCTATTGCTCTTAATTCTATCATCATAGCCAAGTCAAATCAAATCCAAATCAGAGTTTGCTTTAAATGAGAGTGGCCTGTGGGTCCTCATTTAAACTGTGATGATCAAAGATTATAGTCCAAATCTCCTTATCTATTAATTTCCCTTTTTTCTATTATACTTATCTTTGCACCCTTCTTCATTCAACTTTGACTACATTAATTTCAAATAACAATAATTTCTAAGCCAGAGAGCTCCCTATATATTCTGTTCTAAAATGCAGTCAAGTACCTATAGGGCTTCTAATGACCCTACTAGTTGAAAGGGTAGAAAAATAGAAGGAATGAGTCAAGTAAACAATCTGAATTATGGTAAAATAAAAACTGGTGAGAACAAAATAAATTCTATTTTTTTGGATATTTTAGGGAAAGCAAGTAGTAATAACCAGCTCAAATTTCTCTAATTACTTTTGTTTTGATCCTGTTTACAAAAAAGATTTCATACCTGCACCTTTTCTGAAGAGTCTAGCAACCCAAGGTCCAAGATACTATCAGCTCCATTCTCCCTTGAAAGAAAACAGTATTGATTAATATTATATTAATATAATATAAATGTTATATTATATTAATATAATATAAATGTTATATTATATTATATATTATGTTATATTAATATAACAGTATTATACAAACAGGAAAAGGAAATAATCAGAACATCATAATGAGACAGTGTACATCTAAACAGTACCAAAATGTGCACTAGAGACAATAAATGTTTTCAGAGTAACAATACAAAATCAACATTGTCTTTGTGGAGAAGAAAAAAGCTGGGCCTTAGAGAATTGGTGAGATTTTCTAGGATAGCAGAAAAGCACCCAAGTGGGAAGAAAAGGGAAAACAAAAAAATCAGCTCTTTGAACAAAATGAGACCCTACTTTCCTTGAAAATATTACAACAAAAAGGAAATTGGAATTTCAACTAAAAAGGAAATGCTTCAGTATATGGAACCATCTCAAAACCAGGCAGGACCTAAAAACAACTGTGAAAATTCCGCACTAATATACTGGGACTTTAGATGTTCGATTGTGAAGTTTGTTAGAAGTTAATTGGGGGGGGAGGCACTCAGTAATAAGTAACTCAAGAATGGTGCTTTACAGTAGAAATGAAATAAAATATGGCACTAGCTTCATAATATTTTAAACAGAAAGTCTTCAAATAATTCAAACATGAAATTTTTTTTTCTCTGCAAATATATATTTACCTTCCATGTGCAATAATGAGTTCCATGGCCTCATCTACCCTTGCTCTCAAAGAGTCCTCACTTGCTAGGAGAAGTAGCAGCTGAGCAGGGGATAATTCCAATAGCATACCTGTGATCTTACTTGCAAATGCCTATAAGCAACAAAAGAAAGTTATTCAAATAGTCCTCCTAAGCCTCTCCTGTTTAGTCATAGAAAACTATTCATAATATACATATATGGCTTTTGTATGAGGTCTAGAGACAAGTGACCTAAGTCTTAGTGTTAAATGGCAGAAAAAGGAGTCAAACCTAGATCCTGTGCTTCCAAGTCCAACAGGATCCAGGTTCACCCATAATATTTCAATTATTTATGACAGTATTTAAGGCTAAACATTTTTACTAAAATAAACAAACAACTCTCACAACAGAACTATAACTAAGTCCTACCTCATGAGCTAGTGGTAGTTCTCCCAGGGCTCAATTGCTCATCTTTCCCCAATAATATATATATGTATGTGTACACACACACACACACACATACACACACACACACACACACACACACATGCAGGAAGAGTGGTCACATAACTATATCATGAAGAAATTTCTTTGATATTCTCTATATAGAAAAACTGCTGGTATACTTATCTTTCAATAAGATAAGGACTTTGCAAAGTGCTAAGATAACCACTATCTGCAAATGTCTAGTTAGCTATTTTGAATAGTAAACATTTGTACCAATTGAAATCCACAATGATTTATTCAGTTAGTTAGAACCATGCTTCCAAATCACTCATAATGGGAGAAGAAAAAACAAGCCATGTAAACACTGTATGGGCCACATTTCCCACAGTATTTCCCTAATTCTACTGCTTGATGAAAAGCATTGGATAACTCTGGGAATATATGAATGGCTGACTTCCTGACAAGGACAGATATAATTCTAAACCAAAAAATCTTGGGAAATAATACAGTTTGTTACAATTTCACCCATGCATTCTGGTCTTACTGGTTGCATTGCTTGAACCCGGGGATAAAGCCTCTCGCCAAGTGCCTGACGATGTGCTGGAAGAGGATCAGGGTCATCACTGGGATTGCCTTCAGATGCTGGCCTGAAAGGCCTTGTGTCAATGGAAAGCTGTCTCCTAAAATCCCTGAATACCAAAGAAAGCTACTAAATTTTCCATATAACTTTATGTCCCCCAAGTACAAAGTGAAATCCCAATACCATAAGTAACAGAATTAGAATATAAAATTGCATAATTCCAATTATAATATAAAAGGTTATTGAGCAAAATTAATTAACTTGACTTTGCTAGATGAAAGATTCACGTTAAACATTACAATTCCAAGAAATGTTATTAAGTCAATCAAAATGCCCTGACAAATAGAATCATGAATAGATTAAAAAGTAAAATTTCAACATAGAGGTTAATCCTTTGATATACAAATTATATAATTCATTTATATTTATTAAAGGAGAACTTTCATAAAGCATTATATGACCAATTTTCTTTCAGTTATGACATGTATGTCTATATGTCAATGTCATAAAATTTTATTTCTTTAAAAACATACCATAATTCACATTTTTCATTAATTTTTAAGTATGTAGTATACTTGCTAGTCAATAACAGAGAGAATACATTATAATGCAATAAACAGAGTTAGCATACCTGTCTCTATCTCTTCGGGAACCTGCTCGCAAACCACTACTCCTCCGCATTTCCCTTTCTCGTTCTCTCTCCCGATCTCTCTCCCCTCTGTTCCTTAATCTCTGCATCAAACCTATAGGAAAGGAAAGGTAAAAAGCAAGTTCAGTGACCATTTTTCAAGTGATCATTAAAGATTACGAAAGGTCATAAAGATCTACTTTTGCTAAAACATTAAATCTTCTATAAGAAAGATGTAGTAACAAACAAAATGCTTAATATATAGATCATACCAAGTTCACAACAACTGTGATAGATAGTATTATGAAAACTTCTCAGTGGCACCTCAAATTATATGGCACATTTTGTTCAATAAAATTAATGCCCCAAGATTTGGCTAAGAACCTTTGTTCACTGCCAACCAAAAAGTGATGCTGACCCATTCTGTGGATAAAGTGACAGAATGAGGGGCAATAAATTGTCCTTGCTTGCTATCACTCCTTATAACCCAGCACAGTGCCTGGCACATTTGACAGATTATAAAAATTTATTATATCTATAATTTATGCCCTTAACACAGACTTATTTATGTTCTTTATCCTAGTTCTACTACTTCAACTTGTACCATTGTAGGAAAAAGATAATGTATATTCTGTAGTCACCAAACATCTATCTATTAGAGGTCATTTTATCCAGTCTCCTCCTAGAATGTCATGAAATGTGCCAAAAAGCAAAATCTCACTCTTGCTAAGAATATTATCTTATGACCAGGTTTACGTTCTTTAAATAAACAGAAACAGCCACACTATTTAACAATAATATTTTAAGACTATTATTGTTTGCTCAACAATATTAGATAACTAAAATTGTTTTCCATTATTAAATTTTAAAATAGGACTGATTATGGTTACAAAACCAATATTTATTATACATGTACTATGTGCAAAATAACTGTGAGAAGTGCTTAGGTATACAAGAATGAATAAGACATGATCTCTGCCCTCTTTACAATCTGGTAGGATGATGCGATACACTCATAAATATACATGTTATAAAACAGAATAGAAGCTGTATATAACAAAGCTAAGGTGAAATGTTATATAAGCAAGAAGGTGTTATATGAGATCTAAAGAGAAAAAGAGCATTTTCAACTAGTGTGAGATTGGGACGGGAGGGGCGAAGTGCAATGCGGAGGGAAGAAAAGTAAAAGAATAAAGGAAATCTTCCTGGAAAAGTGGCTTTAAGTAAATCTTCAAGGATGGGCTATTCTTCAACAAGTAAAGATTTGGGAGGTGAGGGGAATATCAAGAGAAATGGGGAGGAAGGATATTACATTGCAGTTATGGGGAACAAGGTGAACAAAAGTAAAGAAGAGAACATAGGATAAAATTAGAAAGATAGCAAGTAATCCAAACTAGCTGAAAAAATGGAAGGTAAGGTGGTACTGAGTGCAGAGGAATCTGAATACCAGGCTAAGGATGTTGAAATCTCATAACAGTAAGCCATTCAAGGGTGTTTTAAAAAAATCTCTTTATATGTTCTGAATTTTTGTTTGGCCTGATTCCAATTCCTACTTTTGTGGATTCACTTGAGGGACAGTTAAGTTTTGTTCCAGTGTCTCATTTTTATTCTGTTATGTCTCTGCTTCTTGGGAGTGTTTCTTGTAAGCAACATATTAGGTTGGATATAATCTGTCACTCAAAAAATGTTTTGCTTTAAATCATTATTAAAGTTATGAGTTAGGTTTATATTTTCCTCCGTGTATCTATTTTTTCCCCTGCTGTTGTTCCTCTTTTTCTGTAAAAAAAAGTAATTTGCCTATTCAGTTATTTTTGCTTAATCTCCTTCAAGACACCTCCATTACTACAGGCTCTACTTCTTTCCCATCAAGCCACACAACCTTCTCTAATCTATCAGTTTATGGAGTTTTACTAAATCTTTCTTCCTATTGCCTAGGTATCTAATTCTTCCTCTGTTTTTCCCTTTCAGTTACAAAGTCAAATAAAATCCCCCTTCTACTCCTTTAATTTTTAAAATTGCATCTTTTTCTAAAAAGGATTTCTTTCCCTCTTCTCTTCATTAATATTCTTCATTGATTATTACACCAGTTATGTGGCACAGTGGATAGAACACTGGGCCTGGGGTCAGGAAAACCCGAGTTAAAAATCTGTTTTAGACCACTGTTAGCTGTGTGGCCCTGGGCAAGTCACTTTAGCTCTCCCTTAGTTTAATTGTTAATGTTAACTATAAGCTATGATTATTATTATTCTGGACTTTTATAGTTTGATTCAGGGTACTTATATCTATTTATTCCTTTTTTAAGTCTCCATAATCCTCATGACGTTGAATTGTTTAAGGTTCCTACTGAATTCACTCTTATAAGCCATTTCTTTTTTATTGTTGGAAAAGTTATATAGCAGTCTGGCAGAAATTAGACTTAGATCAACATCTTGTACAATATTCCACAAGAAATTCAAAATGGATGTGACCTTAGAATAACAATATTAAAAATTAAAAACTCATACCTTTCATAACTATGGTAGATTATTAACCAAATAAGGGATAAAAGCAATTACCAAAGATTTTTTAAAAAAGATGATTTTGATTACATAAAACTGTAAAGCTTCTGCATAAACAAAATAAATACATGTAAGGTAACAAAAACACACAAGTGTATATACATGTGTACACCGCCCCCCCCAGCCATTCCCCTAAAAGGAATTGTAAACTATTAACAAACATAGGAAAGAATGCTCCAAATCACTTATAACAACATAGAAGGAAATCAAAACCACCCTGAGATTTCCCTATATGTTCTGCAAAGTGACAAAGACGGCAGGCAATGGTCAATATGGGAAGGGACATGGGAAGATAGACACACTAATGCATAGGTGATATAGCTGTGAATCAGTGCAAGCATTTTGGAAAACAATTTGGAACTATGTAAATAAATTGACTAAAGTATTTATATCCTTCTAGGTTTGAATCCAATGGAGGTAGAGAAAAGCTAGAAAGTCATCGTCACAAGGTTAACTAAAGAACTGCAAACAGAAAAAGCACAAGAACGTTGGGCCAAGATGACAGCTGTTCCTCGGACTGATACATGATCTAAAGGAAAAGGAACCTCAACTCTGAGCACCATCAACACACAGAAAAACCCTGGGAGAATTACATTTTACTTTACCATTTTTCCTAACTTCCAATTCAGCTTAGATATAATGTTTACCTTCTCTCTTAGGGAGATTAAAACTGAGGTAAAAAAACAATTTCCGAACTGGGATGAGGGTTAGGGGAGGACAGAAAAGATTTAGAATCTTAGAATTTAGAATTTTAAAGTTAAATAGATGTCAGATAGCTGGTCTCCTTATTTAACAAATGAGGAAACTGTCATCCAGAGAGTTTAACATGTTACTCTTCTTTCCTTTAAGACTATGACTTCTTGGCATGAAGGGAAAACCCATCCATTTTTGTGATGAGGTAATGGAAAGTATAGGTCACCTTAACAGAAACTACTGATGTAGTTTTGTAGTAGTATTTGGTCTAAAATCCAAATATAATGACTTTTAAATCCATAGTATGTGCTGATATGGATGAAATTAAAAATTAAATTGCTAGGTTTTCCTGAGCACAGCTAGTTAAGTTGAAAACTAAACTGAATTAATCTGTATAAACAAAATATTTGATTATCCATAGTTTAAACTATTATGCTATTTCACCATCAACAAGGGATGGAGTAAACTCCATTACACTAAATTACATAATTTAAATTTAAATTACACATTAAACTCCTTAAAGAATACTTACTGGTATGTGTACCCTTGTTGGCATTCTGAATACAATCTAGATTTGGCAGTTTTTCATTTGACAAAAAAGCTTGTGCAATAGCAGTATAGAAACTTCGTGCCACACCACTGCCCTCCCCTGGTTCATCCTTAAATGTAACTTTCACTCTATGTACAGCCATTGGAGTAGTAGCACATCTGCGACCAAAATGATTGTTAAGTTGCCTCATTGTTTGCTGAATTAGAAGATCTCGATCTCGATCAACCTAATGAAATGCATAAGAAAAGACTCATTTACTTGATCAGAAAACATTTAGTGATTACTTTTCCTAGGTAAAACAACTGAAAATGTAAATGTTTTCTTTCTTAACAATTTAAAATGTTTCTTATGCACAACTGAAAGCTATCAAAATTCTTAACCTTTCCAAAAAAAAAAAGAAAGTGTCTCAAAGCACGAGTCTCAGGTAGATAGCTGGTGGCACAACTGATAGGGCACTGGGCCTGGAGCCTAGAAGACCCAAGTTCAAATCTGGTTTCAGACACTTCTCCACCATGGGCAAATCCATTAACCTATTCGCCTCAATTTTCTCAACTGTAAAATGGGGGTAATAATAGCATCTACCTTGCAGAACTGTGATGAATATCAAATGAAGTAATTTTTGTAAAAGGGCTTAATAGAGTGTCTAACACATAGTAGGCACTACATAAATTCTTATTCTCCACCCCCCTTCATGTAAATTAGAACAAAATTATCTCACTTCTAAAGTTTCTCACAACTAGATAATGTTACTCATGGAATACACTTGCATTCAGTCCTAATAAGTTCACTGCAAGCATCACAAAAAGTGTAAAACTTACACAAAATTGACATTTAAGTATTAAAACATGTCACCATGTAAAATTAGTTATTAAGCTGTCAACGTTCTTGGGAATTGAACAAAAATATGTTCTATATACTGGGAAAAAAAAACCCCACAATACCTTTACCTCTAATGTTAAATCTCTTGATTGCTGATTTCTCAGTTTTTCCATCTCTCTACGGAATTTTGATTCTTTTACTTCAAAACCACCTAATTCAGTGAGTATCTTAAACAATTACAAAATGACAGCATTAGTTTCTGAAATGACCCTGAAAAAACAGAACAGCTTCTACAATGAAAAAATTACATACTGATCCTGGTTCTGCTCCAACATCCTCCATGAACACTCTGCCAAATAACTCCAAAGACAGGCGCCAGCGTCCCAGCAACATATCATGAGATATAACCATTCCCATGAAACTGCATTGAGGCCTGGAAGAAAAAGGGGGGGGGGGGGGGGGTAAAATCATTTAGCTAACACTGGAGATTAATTAGCAATGTAAACTATAAATTAATTCATTTGCTTCAACTTCAACAATCATTACATTGCATTGATCATTGGAATTCCAGAAGACGCACGATGAAGCACATTACCCACCTGCTGATAGAGAGGTGATGGACTCAAGAAAACAGTTTGAGACATTTTTTTTTGGACATGGCCAATGGTGAAATTTGTTTTGCTCTACTACACGTTTGAAACGGTGTTCCCCTCCTACTGGTTCTTTCTCAATGGAGGGTGAGGGTGGAAGGGAGAGAAGATAAATTTTTGTTAACTGAAAAAAAAATTAATTAAAAAACAATTCTACATTCATTTATCACTAAGGAAACAATATGCAAATACAAAAGATAATGTGATTTTTGTCAGTATGGGTGCTGCTTGGTATGAAAACTCGTATCAACACAAACTGACAAGCTATCCATGAGCTAGTGATTAAATTCAAGTAAACCTCCTAAGAAACACAGAGTTTAAGTGACTAGCCTGGGTCACAAAGCTATTAAGTGTTAGGAGTGAGATTTAAACCTATTTCTTTCTAACTCTAAACCCAGTACTCTTATCTATTAAATCACAGTCTCTATGAAACTTATATTAATATTTTAAAAATACCTGAATGATGTTAGAGGAGGCCCTTCACTTTCAGTCAATCCTATTTCAGCCAACAAACTACTTTTCAATTGTGCTGCAAGGTCATGAGCAGATGGTCCTGGTTTTGAACTCTCAGATTCTTCTGTCAGCAAATTTTGTTCTTCTCCTTCTTTCTTTTGCCGATTTTGCATGTTCATTACATTTTTCAGGTTGGCAGCATAAGACATTTTAGTTGGAAGAACCTGCAGAATTTCAGGAATGAGTGATACATTTCAAAATCAATTCAAGACATCATTTCAACTTAATTCTCTCAAGTAAATAGTCAAAAGAAACAATTCCCATCAAGAAAATGTGACTATAGTAAATTCCACCTACTGATCACTCTGGCTAGTACAACTTACCTACTCTGCTGGGTATCAACTACTGCTTTTAAAATTCATATCAGTATCTCAGAAATTTCTAAGACATTTTTATATTTGTGTCATATAATTTCCTTTATCGTTCTTATCATTTTCGCTCTGTACTTTCTTCTAACCATAAAATACTTTCCAAAACTGTTTTCAACTGCATTTTTTCCATGAATACTTCACATCGATTGCTCCAACTTCTCGAATTCATTAACTATGAGTATTTCTTTTTGAGTCCCAAATATACATATCAACATTTTTTTTTAAAAAGGCAAACACTTACACAATCATTTTATATATAGTAAAGGAAAACCCTTAGCCACAAAATATATCCAAAAGCCCTGCGTTTAACAAGTTAGTTTGGGTAGAGAACTTGGATAAAGTATATTTAATATAAACTGTAACTACTTGTACTAAAAGTGAAAATCCTGTGGAAAAAATCTCTTCAGTAGTTATCCTGATTTTCATCTCAAAGTTTTTCAAACATAATACCAGCTAATATTTTCAAAGTATGTTACTGTTCTTAGGACAATTTCAAATACAGCAGGAGACTTTGATTCTAAGATCTCACTGAATTTTCATAACAATCTTGTGGGTTAAACAAAGCACACACATCTCCATTTTCCAAAAGACATGAAGGTTAGAATCAAGATTAGGATTAAGGTTTTCTTACTCTCAATATATTATTTGCCCCATCACCACACTAATATGTTACTCATCATGTTTCACTTATCTGAAGATTTCTAATATGACTTCCCTTGGGAATATCAGGTGGCTCCACAACATATCTGTCTAGGTATAAAATGTACCTGAAAAAAATCATCTGAAAAATGTTAATAGTGTTTTTTTTCCCCCTAGAAAGGTGGCAAACTTTTCAATGACTGACACTCTTTTCATTAAAACTCTATGCCCTTGCTTCTTACCTTTAGCACCTCAGTTATTACAAAATGCTGCCATTATGGCAATTCTACGTTTCAAAAGCGATGCCTATCCCATTTTGATGGAACATTCTGAGGTGTCAATTCTAGGAACATCATGTTTTGAGGGATGGTCCTTACTAACGGGAAAAAAAAAACCTCACAACTTTTCAAGATAATAGACCTTTGATGATAAAGGTACAAAAAACAAAAACATAAAGTTGCTAATAAGTTTCAATCAGTTTTTAAGAATCATAATTCTTGAGAGATTTTGAAAATTTCCAACACAAATCTATTTACCTCTTTACTCAATACATGATGCAGGTCATCAAAGAAACATCAAATTCACCCCACTTGCTAATAGTCTCACCTCCCAAACAACATTACATTCACAAGAGAAAAATCAAGATTTACAGAAGCACCACCTGTAGAGAAAATGTGTGTAAATGGAAACAACAGTGCTTTTGAACACTTCCATTAGTTTTTTGAGTTTTGGAGTTCATGCTTTCTTTTAAAAGGTGCCAAAGTAAAACTGCATTAATTTCTTTTTAAAAATGATTCAGATTATTGCAGCCTTACCTCAAGGCAGTTTCTATCCACTGTAACTTCCATTAAGCATTTCCCACTACTGGCAGATGATGAATAGAGACCCTGACTGGGACGGCCAAAAAGATCCTCTTTTCTAGCATTTGGCTGTAATTTCAACAGAAACATTCTAGTTATGCTACACATTTAATTTAGTTACAATTTAGACAAACCAAAAAGATTTTAGAACTGGCCTTTAGTTTCACCTGTAGTAGATGTGGCTGATCAGCCAAAGGGATGGCTTCAGCCAAAGGTACTTCAAAAGGATTTGGAGGTATACACCCAAGGAATGTCATGGAATCTGATCGTCGGAAAAATGGATGATTCTGTCCAGTTTCTGCAGTAAGCGTATCATCATCTTTATCATTCAATGTGGCACCTAAATATCAAGACACAAAATTTGGTTTTTTTAGTGGATTTATTACCCGCATCTTTTAAAAACTGAAACTCATTCTAAATTTCTTGGTCTTATTATGAAACCTCAGTGCCACCCAGAAACAATGGATAAAAAAACAGTCCCTGAACTTTAGAAAATAGAATTGTTAGAAAGATCTGAACCTTCAGTACAAATTATCCTGACTCCACTAAGGAAAAGTTTCCAGTAGGCATTTATAGGAACAGTCAAAGATCTTTCCTGGTTTCTCCCAAAACTGCTATAATTCTCTCCCCCTACAGGAGAAAAGTGGAAAACTTGTCTAACAACTTAGACCTCAGTCCTGAATGATATTTTGATTGAGAAATGAAGAGACTGCTCAGACGTTAAAATCTTAACATGTGCTACCCTCAACAAAGACAAATCCAAGTTAAGAGCAAAAAATTCAGAAGCAATTTATGCATAAAGATCACCCAGGGACCAGCTCATAGTATGTGCTAACATGTCAATTTGTGATATGTCCCTGGAACAATACTGAAGTAACAGTGGGTTTGGAGTTAACTACTAACATAGGAATATCCAAGGCTGCCTTACTCTTCACTGGTACAGAAAAGTTTTTATCAACAAGATGATAAATTTAATGTCCCAATCCTGACACTCATGAGCTAAAATTATAGTTCAATGTGTAACACAGTCAAGATCCCCTGGCCATTTTCACTGTTTTACAGCATATAACTATAACATAATAAACTAAATTTAGATTCTTATACTTGGGTAATTCTATTCTATTAATAATACATATTTTACTATATTCATAAGATAAATTTATTAATGAATACAATGATTAATTAATAATTAATGAATATAATTCTGTTAATTCTTTGTTCCAAGTAGCTCCTCAACAACACATGCAAAGGAAAACACATACACCGAAAGGAGAAATAACAAAAAGAGATATGAAGGAAAAATTAAGAAATATGGAATTGGAAAGCTAGAATAAACCTCCATATTTAAAAAAAATTAGCAATAAATATAAAAATATAAAGAAGATGCATACAAGCAAGAAAATATTTGGAATACAGCATGAAGAGAAATTCCCAGCCAGACAAAAAAATATGAAGTTAAAAAGTTTAAAAGAATAATATTGAGGCAGTCATTCCTTTGAAGCATATTAGCAGTTTTTCTGTACACTAACTTTGATTGGTGTCATCATCATTTTCATGTTCTGAATCCTCATTGTCAATACCTAGTTCCAAGAGGTCCCGTGTCCTGAAAGAGAATCAAACTGTTGGTTATTTGGCATGAACTTTTTTTGGCTGCATTAGCACCAGGTAAAGTCGGGTCATAGCAAGCAGAAAGGGTTGAAAATATAACTTTAAGAAAACACCAAAGCACATCAAAACATGTTGAAGAGTCATGGACTTCAGGGAAATGGCAAAGAGGCTAAGTTGAAAAGTTGCCAACAGCATCTGGGTGGTTGGCTAGGTTTTTTTTTTTCTTTTTCTTTTTTTTATAGAGGGGTTATCTTTTTGTTTTTCTGCATTAAGCTTATGTTTGCATTTATGATTTATCTTGAATCCACAAACTACTTTGGCCATCCACTGAACTGACTAGTTGGCTTAGTTTAAAAAAGAAAAAAAGTCAATTCATCCAATAACCAACAACTCATTAATTCAATTATAATGGTGAAAGCAATTTCTCTGTGTAAACATGAAAACAAGGATATGCTATTACCTGTCACAGCTAAGAATAAAAGAAAACTCATAGAACTTTTGACACTTATACGCTGAGAAGCTGCTGTCAGCACATTTTTTGATTAACAACTTGAAATGGAAACAAAATTGCCAACTTAAGGATAGCATTACAAATGATATCAAATTTCGGGCTGTAAAAAACATTTTGCTGTACTTCTCATCCTTAGGGATCTTATGTATTATATGCAAACACAAAATTATATGCAAACAATGTGTTAAGTCAGATGGGTTTATACCACTATGTTTTCTCCATAAGTTATTATTGCTGGGATTATTATTTCCATTATTTGTTCTCATCATTTATTTCCATTATTTTGTTCCAATTTATAATTTGAATTCTTAAGAGTTCTAAATTTCAAAAGAGGGCATATGCTAGAGTCAACTATGAATGCTAAAACCATATTCTTTCTTCTAAAACAACAACACTGTACAAATCACAACTTTTGAAAAAGACTAAAAAATTTCCCAGTATTTTATTTTCCAAACCAAAGAAATTAGTCTAACTAAAAAAAAAAGTTGCCATAAAAATGGCAGTTAGTTGAGTAAAGTTTTACAAAATTATGTTTTAAAATGAACCAGATAGATAATAAAAGCGCCCACATATCTTAGTTAATAAGGTTAGACAGGCCTAAACTCCATTTCAACCAATAATTTGATTTGAGTAATAAGGTACAACCTATCAGACTTTTTAGCTTAACAATACAACTAACTACTTGCTACATGAGTGAATACAGAACACCACCAAAAGTTGGCTACAAATGTATTACTATTTTAACTCTGTACTCCAAAGTCTGTCCAGATTGCTTGTCTGTATTAACAGGGATGAAGAAGAGTTTACGTATGATTTTTATGCGAAACTGAAAATTCAACTCTCTCATTCCCCTTTAGAAAGCATGAATTATAATACAACATACAACACAATAAGATTCTACAGTCAAATATATTCCAAAGAAAGAAATAAGCAGTTGTCAACTTTTCATATGGAAGTAAGTGGTATTTCACTTAAAGACCTTTAATCACAAAAGATTTAAAAGAGGTTCCTGCTTTTGACTATTTTAAGCCTACTTTTTTTTTTTGTTCATTCTAATTTAAAATTACTAAAGATATGAGTCAGCCTTATTATTCAAGATTCTTAATAGCTCTACTCTGTGACTAAGGAGTAAGGGGTAAGAAAAAAGAAGTTAAGAATATGAGCTTGGTAATACTGTAACAAAGAAGTAATAAATAATTAAGTCTAAATTGAGACAAAACCATAATATAGCCACCTCAAACATTAAGCTCAGTACAACTACAATGGTAGGTACAGAGGAGAAAGTAAAAACATAGAATACGGTCCTATATAGAATCAAGAATTATTGGGTTGCCTACTTTGGCTATTCAAACTTTTTCCTTACAGTCTTCTTTGCCCAATTCTGATCTCCTAGCTCCAAAGTCTGATGACTTGAAAATAAAGGTAATCCCAAGCAAGTAAGTTTTAAAACTGCATTTGTTTACCTTTTGCGTTCCAGCTGAGGTGTATCCAAGGTTGTCTGCTGGTTCATTGCTTTAATCCAATAAATAAGGGCTTGAAAAACATATGCCACATGTTTCAGCGAGCAGACATCCAAAACAGGAAGAACATCAGAATGCTCATCGTTATGAGATCGCATCAAAGAAAGGGCGTAATTTAAGAAGTCCCCTCGAGCAGACATCATTCCTTGGCGGGCACTAAGTAAAGTGGCACGCCTGTAGAAAAAAAAAACAGAACAATTGAAACTGAAAACTGTGAAAGTATAATGACCAAGTTTGACTCCAAAGTAGATATATAACAAGCCACTTCTCCCAGGTCCTTTGCAGAGATGGGGGAAGTATGGGTCTAGGACACTGAATACACTGTCATTTTCTGAATATGTTGATTAGTTTTGATGAACTATTTTGTTTTCCTAATTTTTATTCTTTGTTGTAAGAGACTGTTTTCTGGCAGTGATGGGAAAGAGAAATTGGGAAATACAAATGATGTGTAAAAACAAAATGAATCAATAAAGTTTATTTAGCAAAGAAAAATGGATAAGTAGTGTGATTTTGCCATCATAATTTTATCAATCAGTAGACTGAAAACACTAATTAATAACAAAAGAATATAAATATTATTTCAGGGCAAAGAATTTTTGTTTTGTTTTTGTACGCAAGGACAATGCTTTCCTTAAACAAAATAGACACATACAAAATGCCTTTTAAAATGAATGGATTACATTATCTCCCAGAATCTGCTCCCTGATGTAATACTTCCTACTTCTATGTCCAATGCTTAGCACATAGCACTTGACAGATGTTTTTATTCATTCACAATAAATATACACTTTCACATCTAGCTGTGAAGGAATTTTCAAGTGCCTATTGTAATGGATCTCACATTTTAGGATGGACATTGATGAGCTGGTAACCAGGATGTGAAAGGCCATGAGGATAGGTTGAAAGAAGAAAAAATCCTTGGAGGGAAAAAGAATGGGGAATTGGTGTGGGTACATGGAGACAGTGGAAGACAGAACATGATACCTGTGTTCAAGGATTTGAAAGCCTATCACCTAGAGGACGAATTGGATCAGATACAAAGAGATAGACATAATATAAGGAAAATATCCAAATACTTGGGAAGGGGTGGGTTCTGTCTACCTCTTTAGAGGTCTTTAACAACAGGCTATATGGCAAGGTGATTATTCTTCCTCAGGTATGGACTGGACAAGTAGCTTCTAATGTCCCTTCTATCTTGAAAGCTGTGTTAATGACAGAGAAAATATGCTCCTGCTCAAAGAAGTAGGCCCAGTATGCTACACACTAAGCGAAGAGTTAAATCCTTCAAAAAAGTTTTTGTCGCTATTCTGTCATTTCAGTCATGTCTGACTCTTAGTGACCCCATTTGTGGTTTTCTGGCAAAGAGACTAGAGACGGGTCTTCTTTATTCCAGGCCTGGTCCTCTATCATGCCATCTAATTATCATTTAATTGAGCTAAAAATGCATAGGACTAAGACTTTACAGAGCAGACTTCCTAAGAAAAGGGATATCACCCACCTTTACAAGACATCCTGACATACTAATGATTCTTGATCCTAGATATCTAGCCTGTATCTCAAACTAAATACATCTTAATCTTACCCCTAAAACCAAACTTATTTTATCCCCAAATAGACCTTTATTCGTGATTGTCCTTATTTTCTTTAATGGATCCTCCATCACTCTACCAAGTAACTCCATCAACCAAGAAGTCTTTACAGAATCTTCCTTCCCAATGTCTCTCTCAAAATCGTTCCTTTTCCTCCTTTCTCTTCATGACCACTGCCACTAGCTCTGGCCCTTATCTCACATCTAAACTAAGAGTGGAGCCCATAGTCTTACCTGGTCTTCTACCTCATGGACACTGGTACAACCTATACACCACCAATTGTTCTCAAGGTACCCTTTAAACTATGTCACCACCCTCCTCAAAAACTTTTAATTTTCCTGCTTACTGAATAAAATCAAAGCTCCTTATGCTGGAATTTGAGCTTCTATACAACATAGTCCAAAAGCAACTTTTCAGCTTGATTTCCAACATTTATCTGTAATATTCTCTAAGGCTCTAGAAGAGAAGCTAGGTGGCATAGTAAATAGAGTGCCTGACCTGGAGTCAGGGAGACCCGAGCTGAAATTCAGCATCAGACACTAGCTGTGTGACCCTGGGCAAGTCACTTAACTCTGTCTGCCTCAGTTTCAACTATAAAATGAGCCGGAAAAGGAAATGGGAAACTACTATAGTATCTTTTCCAAGAAAACTCTAAATGGGGTCAGAAAGAGCTGGAAACAACTGAACAACATTTTTATGGAGAAGGAAATGACAAACCACTCCATTATATCTCTGCCAAGAAAACCCAAAATGAGGTCACAAAGACATATACCTGACTTAAAAAGGACTGAACAAAAACAAATACTCTAGCCAGACTATAATATGTGTCCTTTCCTAAATCATATTTCTTGTACTAATAATGACTGTCTTCCATTATCCCATCTTTGTCTATAAGTTTCTTACATTCTAAGGTCCAGATAAAATACTACATGTAATCACTACAGCTAGAAGTAAACCAGTTTTCCTTTATGAGTCTATTTTAATTCTACTTAAACAGCACATTGAATTCTAGCATTAGAATTATTTGTCATTATCTCCATTTTTGGATTATGTACCCCAAACAAAAACTGTATCTTGTATGATTGCATCTGGTGAAGCATCAAGCATAATATTAGGGAATAATTATATTATTTTTTATATCAATAAAAAAGTACGCAAACTAACCTTGGTGAACTTAGGGGAAGACATGGACAAGAATAGCACAGAAGAAGTTGAGACAAGTATTACTGGAGGGAACATCCAAATCAATCAAATGACAAAACAATACTTGAAACTCATCTGAGTATGTATTCAGGCTATCCTTCCAGGACAAACACTGTACCTATGATACAATCCTTCCTCTCAAATTGGAAATGATCTTTCCTTCAGCAGCTGGTGGCACAGTGGATAGTATGCTTGGCTTGAAGTCAGGAAGACCTGAGTTCAAATCTGGTCCTAGACACTTACCAGCTGTATGACCCTAGGCAAGTTGCTTAACCTTTTGTTTGCCTTAGTTTCCTCAACTGTAAAAGGGGGATAATAACTGCATCTACCTCCCAGGGATTTTGTAAGGATCAAATGAGAGAATAGTTAGAAAAAGTGCTTAGCACTGAGCACAAATGTTCTCTTTCAAAACTGGGGACAACTTTTTTTTTTTTTTAAACTTCATACCGTCTGCCCTCCAGCGTTCTTAAACTAGCCTCCTCACGAGCAGTCATTCTTTCTCTCCTGGTTGAATTCTGAGAAGCATGAAGAGGGTGGTTTGGATGCCCAGGATCACCAGCAGATGCTAATGCTGAACCATAACGCAACTGGGCTTCTGTAGAATCCATAATACTGACCATCCAATTCCATGTGGGAATCAGCTTTTCCTCTACATAATTCTATTTAAAAATCAAACAACAACAAGATGATCCAATAAGACAGAGCAAGGCTAATTCAAGAAGTCCATTTAATCTTATCTTTAGGTATAGTGATCATAATAATAATAGAATGTAGAAAGATAAAATGCATTTTAAGTTGATTCATACCTGTAAGTTTACTGCATCTTGATAAGTCAGTTTTACAGCCGCTGGGATCTGAGAGTAGACAAGGTGGTTGTATTTGGGAATAAGCCCCATCAAATCAGAGATCTGTCTGATGACAATGCTATACGCTCTTGCTAAACTGCTTGCAGATGTTAAGTAGCTGCTGGCATTGCTAGCTTCAAGAGCAGCTGCAGCAGCCGCAGCACTTGTACTGATGGTACCACTCCGGCGTAAGTTGGATGGATCAATATAAATCAAACCTGCTGAACTGGCTAAAAGGAAGAAAAAAAGCCACAATGAGCTATCCAACTGTTGATCATTATATTTCTCTAGTTCTGTACATACTTATTAGATAGTATTAAAATTCCCACAATAAATCTATTTGTACAAGTCCCAGAAGGTTAAATGAAGATTCTGATAATAATGCTGATTTCCTTCTTGGGAAGGAAGAATTATTATAACTTACAGCAACAGGTTTTGTATTTGGCATTTGTTTTTAAAACACAAGTCATAACACAAATTATTTTAAGATTTCATTTTTTTCCAAGATAAAAATATTTTAGTAAAAATTTTATTCAGTCACTCATTAGAAAACATAGCATTTAGACTTGCCTGCTGGTGCTGATGTACTGGAAGGAGTTGTGCTGGTAGTTCTCTGATTTTGGGTGTTGCGTACAGCCCACTGCATAGAACGGGGTGCCTGGGCGGCACCATTAGCATGAGAACTATTTGTGGTTCTTTCCAGTGGTTCATCAAGCATAAATGTTTCCTGCTCTATGTCATCACTCTGGCTACTGCTGCTGTCTGAATCACTGGAGTCATTGGACTGAGAGTCATCTTCAGAAAAAAATGCAGGTACACTGCTGGCACCTAAATTTATCGACATAAAAAAAAATTTGTCCTGGATTTGATGGTACACTTAAATGAAATTATTCTGCTATTATAGCATATTCACTTTCGAGAAAAGAAACATGTATAACAGAATCCTCAGAATATGATCAGTGGCCCATAAAACCAATTGCTAGTAAATGCTTATTATAAACCTTTTTAAGGTAATAAAATTGAAAATAAATCAATGTATGATTGGGAACATAAAGCTGCAATATGGCTAAAATAATTTCTTTAACACTAAATAACCTATAGAATGAGAAAAATGAAGCTAAAAAAGATTTAGCATCTCCTTCTATATACTGTAGCATTTTTATCAATTTAGACTGAGCAATTCAATAGTGGTCAGAATTTAAGCTACTCTTTTCCCCAAAATCAGATTTAAAGAAAAACTGAGAACAGCCTACAACCCTGTTCTTAATACCACAAAAAGAAAAGCTATGATTTAGGCTGAGACCTCAGGAAGCAAAAAGAAATTTAAGATACTTCACAACTTTTCTTCCACAGCTCATTTGTCCTTGTGTAAAGTGACACTAGTCTCCTGGTGAGATGTTAGAGACTACATCTGTCTAAAAGTTACCCATGTTTTATAGATGGCATAAATGAGTCAATGTCACATAATTAGACATCTATCATTTAGGCTAAGATGTGGTTATGACCCAAATTTTAAAACAGCAATGATGAATACACTAAAACACATGAGGTGGTGTGGAGCACATGCAACTGGAGTCTGACCTTGTCTCCTTACGTGGGAGCCACATGCTGCTCATTGGCAGCTCCTGAGTTTTCCCTGGTATTGATTCTTTATCCATAGAAAATTAGGGGAATAATATTTAGCTATTTCTTTCAGGGAGTTATTGGGAGGAAATCACTTTGCAAATACTAAAGTGTTATATAAATCTGAGTTATTATTATTATTACAATTAATATGGGAGAGGAAAATAATATAGATGAACATGTGTGTCATTCATTGTAGGTCAGATAAAGGTAGGAAAAAAGAGGGTTGTTTTCCCTTAAGAGAAGCTTTCAAAGGAACAATATAGGGTAAATTCTTTACTTCATAAAGCAACAATGAGAAAATGCAATCAGCAGAGAAAATACTCAATTACAAACATCAAAAACTGTGTCTAAATATTACATATGATGACTATTATTAAGCAACCTTTAAAGGCGACAGAGAACTGAAAAAAAAAATAAGCTTAGCTGGTACAATTCAGACAGAAAAGAGTTTGACTATTTATCACAAGTATTATTCTTCACTAACTTTCCCAATTCTAGTACAAACTGTATATGGAGAGGGACCCAAACAAAACATCACAGTCAGGGTGTATCTTATGCAACCTTAGTCTCAAGTGGTCAAACCTCTGTACTTCTTCCACTGACTCACTGTTCGCTACAAGGTCATGTCATATCATTTCCCCCATTCTATGGCTCCCTTAAATATACCAATGCAAGAGCCAGTACAGTCATTTACTATCTAATTTAGCTTTTTACCAAAATCTAAGTATTCTGAGGAATGTATGAGAGTATCTCATGAAACCTCAACTGTGCTCTCTTCTGCCTCTATTAACATATATGCCCTTAATATAATAACACAAAGTCTGTCTTTATAAAAACTACAGGAAATGGGGGTAGGTGGGGTGGGAGAAGAAAGAAGTTTAATGAACACTAAAAATAATCAAATAATAAAATTTAAAAAAGAGGCCTGGTGCTCCTCCCCAATGAAAGACTAATGCTAGGAGGAGAGGATTCTAGGAAGATAGAGGTCAGAAAACTTTCAGCTCTCCAAATATCCTCCACAGAAAAACACAGAACATTGTCTCAGAGCGATTATAGAGGAGTGGAAATAAACAAAAGTCAGGGTAAAACAGATGTTCTCCTAAGACAACCTAAGAAGATTCCAGGAAAGATCCAACCTGCGTGAAGTGCAAACACCTCTAGCCCGACTCTGCAGAATAAAAAAACAACAAGCTCTGGGAGCAGCTAGGGTTGGGAGGCATCCTCAGCCTTAGAAAGTTTCATCTCACATACAGCATGGAGGTCTGATAGCTGAGGAAAAGGCTGAAGGACTTTTGACTGTCAAGGGATGCCAAGCACAGGTGTGCTGCTCAGATGCATCCCAGGCTGTGGCTGAGGGGAGGAGAAAATTATGAAACGAAAGTAAACTAACTTGAAATAGAGAATCAAAAACTTAAGGAAGAAAATAATTACTTGAAAACTAGAATTGGGTAAAGGGAAGCTAATGACATTCTAAGATACAAGAGAAATCATAAAACAAAATCAAAAGAATGAAAAAATAGAAGAGCATATGAAACACCTCATCAGAAAAACAACTGATCTGGAGAATAGATTGAGGAGAAATAACGTTAAGAATAGTTGGACTGACTGAAAATTATGATAAAAAAAGAATCGTGATGAAATATTACAAACAGTTATCAAGGAAAATTGCCCTGAAGTTCTAGAACAACAAGGCAAAGCAGAAATTGAAAAAAATCTACCAATCATCACCTGAAAGACATCCCAAGATAAAAACTTACAGGAATATCATAGCCAAGTTTCAAAGCTCCTAAGTTAAGGAGAAAATATTGGAACAAGAAAAAAAATTTTTTTTAAATATCATGGAGCTACAATAAGGATTACTCAAGACCTAGCAGATACTACATTAAAGGACCATAAATTTTGGAATACTGTATTTTGTCGAACAAAAGAGATTGGGTTACGACCAAGAGTAACTTACCCAGCAAAGTTAAATATAATCCTGAATAAAAAAAAAAAGTGGAAAAAAAAATGGACATTTAACAAACTGAAAGACTTTCAGGTATTTGTGACAAAAACAGCAGAACACAAAGGAAAATTTGACATTTAACATCCAGGAAAAATTTAAAGTAAACACTAAGGACAAATTACAAAGGACTCAATAAGGTCAAATTGTTTACTTCTTATATATGAAAATATTATCAGGTCTATTATGACTGTCATTTCCATTTGGGTAATTTGAAAGCAATGCTTGGGTTAAGCTGAGTATGATGGGGTGATTCTTGAAAACAAAAAAGTGTAGGGGAGATAAAAAAAGAGCAATTATCTTATACAAATGAGGCAATAAAGGAAAAAATTGATACAGAAGAAGCCAGTGGGGGAAAGGGCAGATAGTGCTGAAACCTAATTCTCATGGGGAATGGGTTAAAGAGGGAACAACATCTAAATCTAGAAGGGTATAAAAGTCTTCTAAATTCAGAAAGTAAGAGGTCAAGAGGATCAGGGGGGTGGGGTGAGACGACAAAGGAGGGATTCCTGGAGGGGTGGGTAGCTTAAAGAATAGGAGGACAAAGTAGTAGATAAAATGAATTTATTATATATAAATTAAATTATTTATATAAATTTATTATATATAAATTCATATGGCATGGATTTACATATAAATGTATTATATATAAATTCATATGGGATGAATTTACCCATAAAACGGAAACTGATAGCAGTTTAAAATTTTGAATTTAATAATATGTTGCTTTCAAGAAATGCTATAAAAATGAGAGAGGCACACAAATATTAAATAAATGTCAAGAGTAAAACTTGGTATATAAAAAAAGCAGGGGTAGTACTCATGATCTCAGACAAAGTTAAAGCTAAAATAGATTTAATCAAAAGAGAAAAATAGAGAAACTACACTATGTGTCAGCCATATTATTCAATATTGCTTCAGACCATTTAAAAACTAGACAGGATAAACTTGAGAGTATACCTGCCAAAACAGACACAGGAACTATCTGAATATAAATATAAAGCATGTTTTATACAAATGCGGTTAGATCTAATTAAATGAAGTAATATATATTGTTCATGGCTAAGTAAAGCCAATATATTAAAAAAATGACAATTTTACCTAATCTATTTATGTAATTCTATCTTAATTAAACTACTAAAAAATTATCTTACTGAGTTAGAAAAAATAACAAAGTTCATTTAGAAGAATAAAAGGTCAGGAACTTCAAAGAAACCAGCAGAAAAAAGATGTAAAGGAAGCAGGTCTACTAATATCACACTTTAAAGCATAATAAGGTGAGAACATTGTTGAGGTGGGTAATTGATTTTTCTAAAATTTTCTTGTATTAAAAAACCTATGCCGCCAAGAATAGAAGGAATGCAGAAAATTGGGGGGGAAACTTTCATAGACAATCTCTCAGAATGAGATTGGGTTGGAATATTGCTGTAGTGTAGGAAATGATGAGCTGGTTGATTTAGAAAAACATGGAAAGACTTAGACTTATGAAAGAAGATGCTATCTACCTTCAGAAAAACATCTATAAACATGTATGTTTATAGATATCTAGGTATCTGTATAGTGTGTGCGTACTTGTGTGTGTGTGTATCCTGCCATACTTTGTTGTATAGCCTTCTCTGGGGGAAGAGGAAGGGGAAAAAATAAAATAAAAAATGCAAAGGAGAGGACAAAAGAAAACCTACAAGGAAGCAAAGAAAAGCTGTACAGCTTTGAAAACAATATATGGTATTTATTATATAGGTTTTCTTGAAATGAAAATTTATTGCTTTATATTAAATCTTCTCTTATGTTCTGCATGACAATGTTTTTTTCTTTTCTTTTGTAATTAAGTTAAAAATACATTTAAAAACTTAAAAAAAATAGGAAAATAAAAGACTAATGCTAATAAGATCCATCTATAGGTCATCCAAACACTTAAGAATAAGACTGGATCCTGAAAAACATATCTAGTAAGTATTCCAGATGGTAAGAAGTCTTCAATATGATTTTGTATAAGTCCTTTATGGAAAATTTTTAAAGAAAGGACTCAAATGTTCTCTGGTAAGAGATCATACAAATGGCAGAAGTACCCACATGTACAAAAATATTTATAGTAGTTCTTATTGTGGTGGCAAAGAATTGGAAATTGAGGGGATGCCCATCAATTGGGGAATGACTGAACAAGTTGTGATATGTGAATGTAACGGAATAATACTGTGCTGAGCAGACAGACTTTAGGAAAACCTGGAAACACTTGTATGGACTGACGCTGAGTGAAGTGAGCAGAACCAGGAGAACTATACATAGTAACAGCCACAATGTGCAATGACTGACTTTGATAAACTTGGCTCTTCTCAGCAATGCAAGGACCTAAGACAACTCCAAAAGACTCACGATGGAAAATGCTATCCACACCCAGAGAAAGAACTATGGAGTCTGAATGCAGATGGAAGCATCCTATTTACTCTCCTTTTCCTTTGTTGTTTTATTGACTCATTCTCGTGGTTCCTCCCATTAGTTCTAATTCCTCTTTGCATCATAACTAATGGGAAAATATCCTTAATATGAATGTGTAAATAGAGCCTATATCAAGCTCTTGGGGGAGCAAGTCAGAAGGGGAGAAAATTTAAAACTCAAAATCTTATGGAAGTAAATGTAAATAAAGTATTTAAAGAAAAAAAAACCACCCTCAAATTAGCTGTTGCTGCCACAACAAGGCTGTACAATAGGTTTTTAAGTACATAGGAAAGTTAATTTCCAATATTATCATTCTTACACCCTCCCCAACATTCTTCCGAATTCTATGGATGATATGGATAATATAATATGGTAAGAGACAAAAAAAGTGATGAAAACCAGAAAGTGATCATAACAATAAATAAAACATCTTCTCTTTGAACTTAAAGAACTTTACATCAATGTTGATGTAATTCATGAAATTATTTTTTCAGAATAAACCTTTTAAAAAAAATTTCAAAGACATCTATCTCATTTTGGGGTTCTGATGTATTTTGGGACGAGTAAGGTGTGCTCAACATGAAAAAGGGAAAGAGAAGCTGCAATGAGACAACATACCTGCTTCTGAACCCGCAGTGGCTGCAGTCACAACACTTCTTCTCCCGCTAGCATTATCTTGGTTGCTGTGGTTACTCTCACTGTCACTTTCTGTTTCAGCAGCTGCTAATAAATCCAGTTCCATATCACTCCCTAAAAAGATTTTAAAGGAGAAATATCATCAGTCACTCTATGGAATCAAATAAAAAGCATTAAGGAAAAGAAATAGTGATAGAATAAGATGGAAATAAACACTATCAATCTTAATAAGTGATAGGCAACCACAAGCTCAACAAGCTTAGATATGAACAAAAACAAGAATCTGAGCATAAATGTACATACATACATATACACATATATACAAACACACATACATGTACATAATGGTACTTTAATTTATATGAAGAACTATTTAAGAGCTTATAAAGGCTACGGTCCTTCATTTTTATGCTCTCTATTCCATCCATTTTAACAAAATGATTCCATTTTTAAAGTGTTTTGTTAACATAAAATACAAAATCTCTCTCCTCACTCCACCACCAACCACTGCAGAACAAAACCCAACTAACTGGCCTCATACCATCCTCATCATGCTCATCATGCTGACCCTCTGCTTCAGCATTTTCTTCTCCATGTTCTTCTTGTTCATCATGATGATCTTCTTCTCCAGCAACACCTTCCACAACCTCAACCTAAACCCAAAGTCTTATTTTTAGACAAATGATAATAACATCCATTATAAAAACTGCATTAATACTAATGTTCCTTTATAATACTCAAATGAAATGAAAACTATGTTAAAAATTGAGTGTGTACTAAAGTCAGAACTGAAAGCAAACCCTGCCACTAATAACTTTGTTTCAGAAAGTGATGGTCTTTCTAACCATTTGAAAAATATTGTTTAACAATAATGAGTTAAAATCAATTTCACTGGCATTTATCTTCAGTCAATATGTTCTTGAAAGATACACTGATTCAAACATGCCCTACTTAAGTCAAAGTAACTATTTTCTACCTGGTCATGAACTAAGGATACCAGGTATTCAACTATATATATGATGGTTATGCCAGAAAGATGCAGTTTAATTAGTGGTCAACAAGTTACCTGATTCATTTGTTATTTGATAATACTATTATACTAATAAACCAATTAAATATTAACAAATTAATCTGATAAAACAAGACGACCTCTTCCACATCTGCTGAAACAATATCATCTTGCTCTTCATCTCTGCCTCGAACAGGTTGGGATTGACTAATACGTCTCTGTTGAGGATTCCTTATGATATAAGATGACTGAGATTGACTAGAACTGTAAGAAATTAGAGAAGTGTAAATACAGTACTAATATAAACAGATGCCATTTCAAATTATGTTAAGAAAGCATATTTTGGTTCATAAGAGAAAGATCATTAATAGTTTAGAAATAAGATACTCTATATTTAGACTCCACTTCTAGTCGATTTATAAGCACCATAGAAAGCTTAGTGAAAATTTATATAGGTATATATTAAATATCTCAATAAATGTATTTTAAACATAGTGTTTCAAACGCATGAAGCCAATAAATCTACATAACACATGCTACATTAATCTGACCACAGAATAGTATTTGGCCTGGAATATGTTGAAAGAAAACATAAAATAATAGCCCAATAGGTATACTGCATTAAACACCTACACAAAATTTAAAGAGTGGAGTAACTGGGGTGGGGAAGTGATTTAAGATAATTTTTATACTGAAAAATTGTCATACAGCATTTAATGACATAATTTCATATTAAATATTTTGGAGTAGAAATTGATGTTTACATTAAAACTTCCCCAAAAGTCCCTTGATAAAAGGTATTATTTCCTTCTTTATATTAGTATACCAACCACAAGCACAGTGCCTGGCATATTAAGACTTAATAATTAGCGCTTGCTGATGGATTTGTGAAATTAGTTAAAGTAACTGATAATCTGTAAACATAAGATGCAAATTTCATATCAACAGACAAAATAATTTTACTTATCACAAATCTGTTAGAAAACAATTTGCCAATCTCAAAAGTAGTTTTTATCTTTCTGGTGGGCAACCTCCATTTCTTCATAGGTGTTAAGATATTCATGACCTTCATGCAACCCTCAAATTAGTACCTGAACACTTGGTAAGACAGCAGTTTTGTCAGTGAGAGCACTTCTATTCCAGATGAAGATCATAGCCCCTTAAGAAAGAACCTTTTGAGCTGCTAAGGCAACTCACCACTACTGAGTTGTTCAGTCATTTTTCAGCTGTTTGCAACTCTTTGTGACCTCATTTGGGGTTTTCTTGGCAAAGATAATGGAATGGTTTGCGACTTCCTTCTGCAGCTCATTTTACAGATGAGGAGACTGAGGCAAACTGGATTAAGTGACTTGCCCAGGACCACACAGCTAGTAAGTGTCTGAGGCCATTAATGAACAGTGAATTGCCTACCAGAAAACTTAAGTGGTATTCACGATATTTCTAAGTTATTTTGTTAGTAGATTTTGAGGCAACTAAAATGAATTGATCATTTACTAGTTAACCTTCCACTGATTAGTAACAGAGCTCCTCAGAAGACAGATTTTATCCATCTTCGCAATATCTGGCGGACATTACCACATTGGTAAAGCTTTCCAGATCTCAAGGTCATCACCATACGACAATGAATTAAGTATCAGAACAGAATTATAAGTTTAGTACAAAAAAATTGCACTAAATTTGGATCCCAATTTTTAGTGGTTAATTTGGAGTAGGTTGAGTTCAATATATAACTACAGCAAAAAATGAAAAGTCTTCAGGAGGAAGATGGGGAATGAATGAACTTCTCTTTTCTAGGTTTTCATGACATATTTTCTTCGATCTCCTTTCGCTTTCTGAACACTCCTCAGTTTTCTTTGCTGGCTCATTATCTACATTTTGCCCCCTAATTGTGGATGTTTTCCCAGGGCTCTGTTCTGGGACTTCTTTTCATTTCTCTCTAAACTATCTCTTGGAGATCTAACTAGTTCCTACTGGTTTAATTATTATCGTTATGCAGATGACTCAAAGATTTAAATATCATAGCCCTAGCTGAGATTCAGTCCTACATCAACAACTGCCTACTAGACATTTCAAACTGGATGCCTCTGAAACATCTCAAATTTATGTCTTAAAGAGAACTCACTGCCTTTCCCACAACTCCCCTCTTTAAAATTTCCGCATTTTCTGCTAAAGGCACCAACATTCTAGTTTCTCAAGTTCATAACTTTGGATTTATTCTCAACTTCTCATCCCTTATATCTAATCAGTTATCAAATCCTGTCATTTCTACTTTCACATCTCTCCCATCTGACCCCTTCTCTCAATTCACATAGCTATGACTTTGGCTCATAATTGCCTTCTCTAGTCAACTCATTCTACAAACAGCTACAAAAATGATTTGCCTTCAGTAGATATGATCATTACTCTCACCCCCTCAAATTCTAATGGGTCCCTGAAAGCCTCTATAATCAATTATAAACTCCTCTGTTTAGTTTTTTTATTCTTCAAAATGAGACCCAAATCTTTTTTTTTCCAAGTCTCATTATACTTTGTTCTCCTAATAACACTGTGTGTTTCATCCAACTGTTATTTTTTTGTATTCCTAAAACACAGCCTTCCATTTCCTGCTTCACTGACCTTCCTCCAATCACCCCTGCCTCCCCCGGCTAGAATTATTCTCTTAAGGAGAAAGGTGTCCCAGTGGAGAGAGCCAGCACCAGGCCTGGAGTCAGGAAAACCTCAGACACTTACAACCTATATGACCTTGGGTAAGTCAGTCCACGACTATTGGCTCCACTTTCTTCAAGGTTCAAATGAGATACTATTTGTAAAAGTGCTGGCACACAGAAGGCACTTAATAAATGCTTTTTCCCTTCCTCCTCCATTCTAAAACACTACTTTCTTTAGAAAACTGTTTTTGATCCCAAGTACCTGCCCACCCTGAATATTGTGCCATTTGTTCTGTAAGTATTTAAAAACATCTATATATTCAGATACATACAGGTTGTCATCTTTCAAAGAAGGTAAGCTCCTTGAGAGCAAGGGTCATTTTATGATTTGTATTGGTACCTCTAGCCCCTAACACAGTGTCTCATACACATTGGGAGACCTATTTAATCATTAGATCATTAGACCTAATACCTTAGTCCTATTTAGCATGGTATTTTTCTTTTGCTAACAAAATCTCAACAAGTCTTGAACTTTGAAAGCAAAGTAAACAATGTTGCAAAATAATCTGTGTTTGCTGAAAGTAATTGCAAAGTCTCATCTCATGTTTAGGCTTCAACTCTTTCTATCAAAAAGGCCCTAAAGGCTCTGAAATGAAGCTGCCAGAACATATATTCTCCATTTTCATGGATAAAAATAGCCTGCAAAATCCAAAGATGTTCCAGATGCAAAAGAGGATACATCCTAATGTCTAATCTACAGGAGAGAACCAAATAGATTTAAGCACTGTTACCATTTAATTACACAAAATGTGCTTACCACAAATAAACCTGTATCATTTATAGACAGGATAATGTAAATCATCCTATCTGAAATTTGCACACAATAGATGCCAAATGTTTGCTAAAGTAAACAAAGATTTTTATAGATCTGCTCTTTCATTGAATAAGGTAAAAAAAATTTATCCATAGATTTTTGTTTTGTTAACTCCTTTTCTGTTTTGTGAAAACAATGATAGGTAGTATTTATATAACACTTTACACGTGTTATTTCTTACAGATGCAAAAAAAAAAACCAAAAACTTTTCTGTCATTTTTTTTAAACAGTCAGAGTCATGTTGAGTCATTCACAAGAAAAAAGATTCCCAAACTTATTTGGCCCAATACCCACTTTAAAAATTACTCAGTGCCCCTATAGAAATCTACTTTCTTCAACCCTTTAAGAGTTTTTTAAAATTTTCATCATTTCAAAAACATATAATTTTTAAATGACACACCATAAATTTAGTAATTTATTGTAAATTTGTAGTTTTTTTCCTGCATTGAAATTTTGATAATACAACGCTGCATCATATAACTGTATAGTATCATATTACAAACAAGTCATTACATGCAAATATTCCTGCTGATGCATGCTGGACTTCCCAACAAAGTAGGACATGCTCACCTGCCAACACTTGCTTATTAAGACCTACTGGTGGTCTCGACCACTTATCAGTTATAACTTGCATTTTGTATGTTTATTTGGAAAATAATACAATCACTACAACTTTAACTGTTACACAACAGATGAAACATGTATGAACAGTTTTTCAAAATGTTCTTCTCTTCTTTCCTTATGCTCCCACTACCCCTTTATTTTTATTCAATGCCCCTCAACTGCATCTGAGGCTACTACCCCAAACATCCTTCCAGTGCCCTCCAGGGGTTAGTATAGCCCACTGTAGGAACCTGTGCATAAGAAAAAGGTCTGATGTAATTAGAAACCATTAAGCATAAAAATGCCTTCATCATAAAAGATGAAAAACTAAAAAGTGACTCTTGGCAAATTGAGGACAAGATGAATACTCAGAGAAAAGGGGGCAGAAATGCCAAACAAACTTGATGGAACTAGTTAAAACCTTCCAGTTGCTAGTAAATAGCCAGGCAATATGTGATATTTAAATATTGGGAAGTTGACACTTTATTTGATAAAAAAGTAAAATGAGTGAGGTGTAAACAAAACGGCCCTAAGGAACCTATAAAAGAAAATATTAACATCTTCTCCCTATGTCTGGAATACAAGCTTTTAACACCATCTTCAAACTTCACAGAATGCCCACAAAATGATGTTATCTGTGAACAACAAGGTGACTGAAGGACATGGAATTATATAATCAGAAGCTGGCTAAAAGACTAACACAAATAAATCCCACTTGGGCTTATCAAACAATCAACAGGCATTTATTAAGCAATGACTGGGATTACCAAGACAAAAGGAAAACAATACCTACCCTCCAAGGACCTTGTAAGTCATAAAGGTAGGCAATGGAGCATCACTTTTTAGGAATATAAAAAGACCAGTTTAGTTGGACCTCTATATGTATATCAAAGGGAATAACGTTTATTAAGGTAGGATGGCACTATATTATTAAGGAGACAGGACTCTGATTCTAGAGGCTAACAGGGAAATCAAATCATGAGTGTACTGAGCAGAGGAGTGACAAGGTCAGATCTGTGCTTGAGGACTATCACTTTGGCAGCTGTGTGCATAATATATTGGAGTGGAGAGGGACTCAAAGTCTCAAGATCAATCATCTCTGGACCATGATTCAGTTATTACGCTTTTATTATCTTTTTCAATTCTTTCTGGTCTGTGACACTGGGCAACAGAAACTGTAGCTCAGTGAAGCAGATGAAGATAAATAAGCACCTGGGTTTACAGTCCTTTCCAGGTCAACACATGCAGCATATACCCAAGATGAAAAGAGACAGAAAAGGCAATACGTGTAAGATGTTTCCAGGAAGACCACTGAGTTTATACAGGATTGTTTTATAAATATATGTTGTTACTTCACCTTTCCCCCTCTTGGCAGTCATATAGGCAAGTCAAGCCAACAGTTTTCAAGACTTGTGTACTATAAACATTAATGGCAACAGACGGAATTCAGAAGACTGCTGCCAGTGGCACCCAGCTAATGAGATAATGAGAACAAGCACTAGAAATGAAATTTACCTGTTAGACTGGTCTGATGATGGTCTTGGCGGTAGTGGCTCCACAGAAAAGAGCTCTTCACTGCCCTGCATAGCGTCTATACTAGTACTAGCTAGAGTAAATGGGGCAGTGGGACGAGCAATCCCCATCCTAACTGGAATAATCAAGGATTCAGCTACATTACACAGTTCTTCCACAGCATATGGCAACAATGCTTGAAATACTCGCTTGCACTTCCCAATTGGCTGTGGAATAAAGTTGCTGAAAAAATAAGAATAAATTTTTTTACAATCCTTTGAATATAACGAACAAGCTAAAAAACTATGTGCCAGAAAAACCAAAAAAGGAATATTGAAAATAAACAGAATCTTACTTTTTCTTTTTGGATGAGGCCATTTCCACACTAAGAATGACAAAAACTCTTGCCACTGAACGCAGAAACCTCATTGTAACAGCAATAGCTTCTTCTCTACGACCAGGTGTGTATTTATTTTGTAGTTCTTTCACAAGAGTACCAAGCAGTGTGTCTAAAAGCTAAACAGAGTGCTCCAATTATAACCATTTTTCAAACGCCATGAAGTTCCCCTATGTATTTTTATTCAGCACTATTGTAAAACTCAGTGTAGGATTTTCATTTGTTCGAACAATGCTTCAAATAAAAAAAAGTCAAAATCAATCATAAAAGAATTCTGAAAACTTGCCAGCAGTCACATGACAAGAAAGCACTCTAATTAAACAGTACTCAACTAAGTTGGAATCCACAAATTAACAGAGTTGTGGAGGGGGTTTTTTTGGGGTAGGGAAGATTGCTGAAGGTTAGTTTTAGAAGGGAACAGCAAATAGGGGAACAAAACCTATAATAAAACAATTAATCACAACAGAACACTACTACACATAAACATCTTCCAGGGGATGTGTCTAGGGGAAGTATAGATTTAGTCCAATCTTCCTACAGCACCTACATCTATAATACAATGACAAATGATACACATAATAATCTTAAGGCTCTGCAGGGTAGTTAAACATATTTCACAACAGTATACTAATTTGAAAAAGATTAAATATCTAAGAAGAATATCATTAAGTTCAAAAAAGGGAAGCTTCTGTTTAATTTTAAATTAAGCCACTCATAATCCCTAAATGCAGTCAAAGCAATACTTCCTTACAAGAGGTCTCTTTCTGGCTAACTACTCTATCCTCCTTGAAATTTCTTCATATTTATTTTTTATGCACTATAAATATCTGTACAAGCAACAAATCCTCTTCTGCAAGCTCCTTAAGGGCAGACAGTTTCATTTTTGTCTTTATATATTTCCAAGGGCCCAGCACAAGTGCCTGGAACACAGCAGATGTTTAATAAATGCTTGATGACAGATTGATTAAACCAAAATTCCCAATCCTCAAATTCTAGTTTATTTTACTAGACTTACTGCTTGGATTGGTAGCATTTTTCAAGTAAACAGGAGCACATTTGTAAAGTTAGTATTTTAGACAACATAAATTCTAACAAAATTTTATAGTAACACTTTAAAGATGTCAAAGTAAACAGTCAAGTTACTCACCAAAATGTCTGCTGTACACTTAACTATAAGGCAGTGTGTGAAACAGTCCAATCGAATTGTGCCACTTTGCTGATTAAGGTATACTTGCTCTTCAGGCAAAAGGTGACCTATTCTACTGCTGGCACTGAGACTTGAAAAAATGACAGAAAAATTACATTCAAGTGTCTACCCTATGTAAATACAAATTACTAAAATGAAAATTTACTGATTAGTACATACGGATCTTTATTCTCTTGTGAACCAAACATAATCATAGATTTCAGAGCATTCCAGTCCTGTAAAACCCTCTCCAAAGCAAGTTGAGCAAATCTTGGAGGCTCTAAATCATGATCAGGCATATCTGAGTCTGGAAGAAAGTAAAAAGAGAAGTTAAGAGTGATGAGGGCCTGGGGCTTTACTTTTCACCCTCGAACCAATATTTGTGTCATGCTCACCCTCAGGATTTGCAGTTTTCCGGTTGCGGTCTTCTCGGATTCTAGGTGGCCGATACTGGCAGTGCTCCACTGTCTGCCTGGCCACAGTCTGGACTAAAAACAGCAGAAGGTGTTCTCCCCTAGGGAACAAGAGAGTCAAAGGGCCACATAAAACATTAAAATAGAAAAAGATTTCTACTGATACCATCTATTACTATTTCCTGGTGTACATGTAAATATACATGAGGAGCGGGCAGCTAGGTGGCACAATATAGAGCATCGGCCCTGAACTCAGGAGGACCTGAGTTCAAATCCGGCCTTAGACCAAACACTTGACACTTACTAGCTGTGTGACCCTGGGCAAGTCACTTAACCCCAATTGCCTAAAAACAAACAAACAAAAAAACAACAACAACAAAAATATACATGAGGAGACCAACCTGTTTGTGTGCACAGTGATTTCTATACTTGCCTGCTGTTTGGCAGAGTGACCAGGTTAGTGGTAGTGAGCAGCCGATAAAGCAGATCGAGACGTGCAGATTTTTGCCCAGCAATGAGGGTTTTACATTTGCATTTCTCCCAGCAATCACAGTAAGCTGTCGGGGAAGTCCGCTTGAGTCTAAAAAGAACCCATACAGAAGTCTTCAAACTAAAGTTCTGAAAATATTTCTCAAGTAAGTGTCATTTGTATAGGTATGTATTGAAAGTGAAGAACCCTGTGAAGCTTATGAGCCCATTTTCAAATATGCAGTAAAAAGTACTGGATATACAAGATGAAGTGGCATCAGAGCTGCATGCCCTGCCTAACTAGCCGATCACACAGAACTCCTGGAAAAAGGGTGACTGATGCCTACCACGTCTGTCTAAGCATTATTAATCAACTGCTTCAATATTTAAAGCAAGAAGGTGGTATGAAAGGTGCTAGTAAATTTAAGACTAATACTTACTTGTAATCATGACCTTTATGACAAACTCTCGCGCATTCTGTACAACAGCAAAGTGATTCTAGTAATCCACAAGTTCGACACTCAAAAATATCCTAAAATCAAAATGTATAATATAAAAATAATAATTACACTTTTAAAGTTGTATGGCTGTGACAGACAACTACTTTTTTTCATAGGTTTGGCAACTGTTAAACTCAATCACAGGATCATAGATCCTTATCATCTCAAAGATGAGGAAACTTGGGCCCTGGAGGTTCGGTAACTTGCCATAAATCATACAAAGTACATTGCAAAAGTGAAATTTGAGTCTGGGTTCTCAAGACTCCAAATCCATTGCTCTTTCCACTGTGCCACTGGGGAAAGTCATTGTTCCACATATATCACATGTAAAAATGCAGTATTAAAACTAGCACTTTAAAAAACACTCAGTTTTCTGAAAAAAAGTTGCTATGCTTGCTGCATGGAAAGATACACATGTACATCAAATTACCTAACAAGGTTCTGTAGACCTGATATTACTAGTTTTTGAACTATAATAGTGTATTACATGAACTCAGATTTTGTTAATATAGCCTTCCCTCAAGGGTACTGCATAAACTGCCCTATTCCCACTTTGAAAAAATTTAAAATAAAATGTTTTTTGAGATCCACAAATAGATATTAAGACAGGTGATTTCTTTTTCCCAATTCTTTTTTCCTTTTCCCCAGAAGGAGCGGAGCAAATCAAATCACAAAGACTACTAAGGAATGGTTGGGTTACAATCTACACTGGTTGAAAAAGTACTCACACAGATAAAATCATAAATCTCTTAAATATGGAAGTAAAATAAATAATTCTTTTTTGTGAAAATTTTTAATACAAAACCTGAAAATTATTTGATTGTCTGGTACCCAGTTAATGAATTTCAACTGTAAAGTAAGAGTACAGGACAAGGAAAGTGGAACTGGAGAAATATTTTTTACCATCTTAACTGGATTACAATTAACATTTCAGACTCCATGCTACATAGTATTACTTACCTGATTAATGTGCTCTGTTCCAGTCCAGGTAAAACTACATGTATCATTGCAACACAAGACATATAAAGGAGAATCATCAGGATTTGTGCCAGATGGACAAACCATTCCCATAAATACATCATCTTCTTTTTCACTTGAAGATGCCTCTGCTATAAGGATTGAGAACAATGATTTATATGAAAGGATTCTTTCACTGTGTCACTTAGTTCTTTCCTCAAATGGGATGCTTAGCAAACACAGTATAAATATTAAACTATTACATATTAAAGTCAAAAGAATATGCAGAATGAAATCCAACCAAGTGACGCAGAATATGATATATCATGAAATAGCAGCATACAACAGAGGCAGGCTAAATAAGTTCATCTGAAAAGATGCAAGTTATTTGTTTGCTTTACTAAAGCACGTTTGTAACAAAGAATTTGTTTTTTTTTCCTTTCCTCTTATTCCCAATGGAGGAAAAATGAGAAAAAACAGATTTCTGTTTATCAGAAAAATTTTTTTAATAAAGAGGTTGGGGGGATGCTACAGATACAGAATGTTTCATGCACTTACAGATGAGGTAATTTTGTTGTTAGTTTTGCTTAATTCTTTTACGTTGTTACAAGGGACTTTTCATGTAATTTGTAATGTAAAAAGAAGACATCAATAAAACTTCTTTAAAAAGTGGAGATAGTTCATCTAAGCAGACAGAATGAAAATCTTATCTTAAATTCCCTTATCAGACCTACATTAATTTTGTTCCTGCAAAAGCTTAATTATATGTAATCCAAATATTCTATGGTCCTCTCCATTCCTTTAGCCACAGTATTCAAATAACAATAACTGTCATACCCTTGATCTTGCCATCACCCACAAATGTACTACCTCCACATTCAAGGATTCTAAAATCCTTATCTATTGGCTTTTCCTCTCTTGTTCTTCCTTATATAACCCTATTCTCTATCCTCATCATGATCTCCAAGCCCATGACCCTTCAATTTTTCCCCAGGGCTAGCTCCCGCTCTCTCCTCTTTTTCCCATCTTAATCTCACAAATGAAGCAATTAAATTCTACTCTGTCTTCGTCTCTTGAATTCCTAACCCTCTCATCATTTTGGCCTCAATGCTGAACACTCATTCTATGTGCCACCTTTACTCCTATATACATGCTGTTGAATAAAGGTGCAGAAAAATCACACAACTGTTCTGAAGGGTCCACTATGCTCTCATTGCTGTTAGGCAATCCTACTAACTCCTTATCCTACTATCCATGGTGGCTTTTCCAAAATTTTTCACCCCTCCTCAAATCTCCCATTGCACTCTCTACCCATATCCTCTTAGCACAGAGGCTTGCCTCATATTTTACAAAAGAAATTGACATCACTGAGATTTCTCTCTCACATCTCCTATCACTCATATACCTTCTGCCATTAACTCTTCCTTCACTTCATAAAGTGGCCTAAATCTTTACCAAGTCTCACCACCTCTAAAGGGTTATTGTAAATTTATATGGCCCACAATTCAGTTATCCTGGCAAATAGAAAGCTGTATTCTTAAGGATAAATTTCACAAGAGGAACATATTTTGGAAGGGGATAGATCTTTACTTGGCAAAATGAGCATGAGGACAGGGACTTATACTTGACTGGAACCTCTACTTGTACTGTATTAGTATTTGTACTTGTACCGCACCAGTATTTGTGCTTGTGCCAGAGTAAAGCTAAGTATGATAGCACTGGAGAAGTTGCATTTCTCAGGTCCAAGTGGGAAGGCCCCTATGTGTCAGCTAGAGTTAAAAGCCTTTCAGAGTCAAAGATTTTATTTGGGAAGGGTTTGTTTGTATAATAAATTGAGAAAATGAACCCTCTCTCTACTTAAGGGGTGAGAGGGAGAAGGGGAAGAACCACCAAGGAAAGAAACTACAGCATTTTCTCCCCCTTTTTATCCAAGGCTCACCACTATAGCTTATATACCAGAGCACCAATGGAGAATACCAGTGAAGATAAAAAGGACAAGCTGGAAAATGCTGAAAGAAGATGCTCTGCTATAGAGATGTTTAATATTGAGATGAGAGACACTTGGGATGGGGCGTGTATGTTCCTCCTGTTTCTGTGCTTGTATATATGGTTGAAAGATAATTATAAAAATGGATTTTTATATTAGAACACTATGTAATATTGGATTTTTTAGATGTAAATTTTGTTAACTGTTAAATCTGTTCATTTTTTATATTAATTTTAGGTACTCCTTTCTCCTTTATTCTTATTATTAAAAGGAGGAGGAACTGGGGAGAGGAAGAAAAAAACTGACAAGCGTAAGTGATAAAAAACAAAGTATCAATAAAGTGTATTTTTAAAAGAGAACATACAGTAATAAGCATGTTATCTTAAGGATACAGGGGGCAGACAATAGATGAAAGGAAATGGGGTCCTCTGATTTATAGTTAGTGTCCATCACTAACAGTAAGAGATAATCAAAAGATAACTAAAGAAAGGCAGGGCCAATGAATATCAGGTTAAAAAATATCCAAGAGAAGACGTAAGTGCAAAAGGACTCATGTACTCATGTTATTAATTGCTACTAAGAGAATCAAAAAGCTCTCCTCCTTCATGATGCAGGTGAAATCAAATGTAGAAAATAGGCAGTAAACAATAATGGAAAGAAACACTGATGACACAAATTCAAATGACATTTGGAAAAGGGTCAGAGGAGAGATGAATGAGTCAAGTATGTGGGAAGTGACTCTCTTAAGGAAGAGTACTGTGTAGCAAAAAGGAAAGTTAAATTTGAGCTACATATACTCATCAAATGTGTAGACTGTGGCCTAACTCGACTATTGAGTCGAAATACTAAGTAATTAGCTAAATTCAAGAATCTTTCTACATTATTCTATTATATCTCTGTCCAGGACAGAAAGGTAGGACAAATCAAAACAAATCTAATTCAATTTCTTAATTGCTATCCATAATCAACTCTTTAACAAGAACTTATTACATGTGTATTATATATACCAATACAAAGAATAAAAGTACTCTTACTTGCTGACAGCGTACATTCTAATGGGGAAGAAAAGAATATGTTGAGAAATTTACATTCCACAATTTGTGAGGAGAGCTGGGAGATACACAAAATCTTTTTCACAAAAGAAAAATATTTCAAAAGAGAAATTTTCTCATTAAAAGATGTAATTACCTATTTATTAGGTTCCATTAAATTATATTAAATACAGAAAAATTTTTTTAACATAAAATAAATGAATAATTCTGTATATTTGGGAAATTAAACAAATTTACCTTTTGCAATTTTCTGCGCTGTTTCTAAGATGGTGATTGCAGCAGGGTAAGCTCGGCCACTTACAGCAGACATAAATGGTGTCATACCTCTTGCATCCCTAGGATAAGAAGAATCTCATATTATAACTTAAAATATTTCTATTAATGCTTGAAATGTTTAATTGATTTCTCAAAAGTATTAAATTCAAATAATACTTATTAAGTATCTACTACACATACAAGACACTGTACTAGAGGTACTAGGGATTCAAAGATTAAAAAAACAACAATGGTCAATGTTAATAGAACTACACAGATGAAGCAGATAATGTGTTCGTGGGAAATTAGTTAATATACTTGTCTTTGAAAAGTGTTCCTCCTCTTTGGGTTTGGTTACCATTATCATAGCTCTTAACTCAATAGGCATGGAAGGTACCATGTCTCTTTCTAGTTTTTTGCTGGGTCTCCTTTCTCCTCAAGTATTACTGTTAAATAATTTACTGCTTTCTCTCTCTTTCTCTCTCTACTCTTCCCATTCAGAAACTGACACAGTTGTAACAATTAACATGACATGAAGGAAGATTTTGTACTGATCTTCCAAATTCTCATTACAAATCGTATTTCATATTGTGGTTTAAGTAATTCCACTTTGATGTCCATTTATTGGAACTTACTATGTCTAATATGAAATTCATAAGATTTAGGGCTAGAAAAGACCTTATGGATCACCTTCGGATTCCTCTCCCCTCATTTAACAAATGAAGACACTGCAGTACAGGAAAGGTCAAGTGATATGCGAAAGGTCGTCTGGGTTTGAAGTCCCAGTACTTTTCCCACACTATATGAGAGTTCAATGTTTTTCTGATAATTTCATGGTTTTGTGCATAGGTGTAGAATTAAGAGAAATAAGGAATACCTCTTTTACTGCTCATACCTAATAATTTTGGTATTAAAGACATTATGACAGAAAATTCAATGCCTCAATACCGAATTAAAGATAAAATAATTTTTAAAAATAAAGGGAAAGAGAATCTAAATATACCTAGAGGACTCAGGGATAATATCCCAAAATATCAGTTTATATATGAAATTAGATTCAAGGAAATGCTGAAGTAGAAAGATGTACTGTTTCTGTGTACATAAATATGGATTCTCTCCTCACCTCATCCTTAGATCTTTCTTCTTCAAGCAATACCACCTAAATGTAATATTTTCTGACATCTTCCCAAAGCTACTACTGACCTCCCCAACTATCTGAAGTTATTCTCTGTATAGACATATAATACCTAGCATTCGTATAGAGCATTTTAAATGTTTGCAAAGCACTTTACATACATTATCTCATTTAATGTTCACAACTGTGTTAGGTATGTTCTATTATTATCACCATGTTGCTGATAAAGAAACCGAAGCTGAAAAAAGTTAAATGACTTGCCTAGCAAGTAAGCACCTAAGGCAAGAGTTGAACTCTTGACTCCAAGTCTAACATTCTATCTGCTATGCTACCTGGCTGCCTCATATATAACTAGTCTTCCATGAGAATTGGGATAGTTTCATTCCTCATATTTGTAACCCCAGCACCTAGTACAGTGCCTAGAACATAGTACATTCTTTATAAATGTTTACTGACTGAGATACCCACATGCATAGATACATTCTTGTATGTTTGTCATAATGCATGTCAGCAGTCAACAAACTGAGAGGTGACTGGTCCAAAGTAGACAACTCTCTTTAAGGGGAAAATACCAAGGCCCAGATATGACAAGTAACTCGCCCACTATCACACAGTATAAGAGGTAAAATTAAAACTCAAGCGCGCGGACTCTGAAGACAGAATTCTTATAACTGTGCTCAAGAACCTAGCAAATGATAATTTGTACTCATTTGCTACTGAGACAAAATACCATCTTTCGGATATAAGCAGCATTAAATGGGGGCAGCTAGGTGGCACAATGGATAGAGTACCAGCTCTGGAGTCAGGAGGACCTGAGTTAAAATATGGCCTCAGACACTCAGATTCTTACTAGCTGTGTGAGCATGGGCAAGTCACTTAATCCCAACTGCCTAGCCCAAAACAAACAAACAAACAAATAAACAAATACCAAAAAAGCATCAAATGAAAACAAGCCATTTCCCTTTAGTTCACGGCCAAAGAGTGGAAAATTCTGACTTGCCTCATGATTGGGTGACACTAATTTCAATACACATGAGAAATAAATCTTTATGATGATATAACTAAATAAATAATAAATCTTCATGCTTATATAACTAATATATAACTAAGTGTCAGATACACACATACACACACACACACAAATGTTATATATTATGAGGTTTTTGTATTGGCAGATGAGCCCCACCTAATTTACTTTTGATATTAAGTAAATTAATTTGTATTTTTGAATGTCCATTAAATGATGGCAAGATATAACAACTCTAAACAACAGGCTAGAGAACCAAGTGGGGAACATGGGATTAGAAATTTCTTACAGACAAATGATGTTAACATAAAAAAATTATTAATATTTTCTATGAAAAAATTTCAAACAGTTATTTAAATAACAACTTCAACTGAATTTTAAAGTGAAAAATAAAATGTCTTACTTGGCAGATAAGAGTTCTCGTAAATAAGGCTGCAGAACAACACTGTCACATAACAATTTTAGTATAAAGTGAGCATTTGCTTTTCGATCTTTTGACTCTACTACAGATGGCTCAGTGGAGGGACCTGTAATTAAACACAAGAGATTTGTAATAAAACATCAAAATCTGTGTTATATAAAATATAACCCAGAATTATGTATTAAGTTAAATGATTAAATAGATCATTTTGTTAAGAAAAAATCTACTATTAGTTGTGAGTTATTATTTTCATTAAAAAGAATTTTTACAAGTTCAGAATACTTTTATAAACCTGAGTAAATTCTAAGGATATCTACATATATGCCACATTTTTGCTGGAGTGTAAAACGTTAATTTAGAGAAGATCAGACACTTTTCCAATCAAGACAATAGAACTTTAGGTAATATGAGTATATGTAGAAGCCTATGAGCAAAGCAAACCCTCTTCTTTTTCATAATGCCTATGCAGATAAACAGTGGATTCTCACCTGGGATGGTGGAGGTGCTTGGTCCTTGACCAGTGCCAGTCGCTGCTGTGGTAAGAGATCCCACAGCGGGGGCCAGGATAAAATCAATGTCACCATCTTTCAGTAAACAGAACAGCAGGATGTACATCATTATATAAAACATATCCCTAACAAGTTGCTCTCTTAATTGACCCTAAGGCTTTTTACTGCTAGCCACGTCAGGTCAGACAGAGGTCAAAATGGATTAAAAAAAAAAATACAATAAAATGAATCCACTTAGATTAATGACTACTCTGATTTATTAACATATAAAGGGTTTAACTTTTTAAAAAAGAATATAAAGAGAACATTCTTATAGAGAAGAGATGCTGAAAGTAATTTAAAATTCTATTTCTAGCATTTCAACAAATTTTAAAATTAACGCCTTTCTCAGAGAAATTATTTGGTAGCTAGATTACTAAAACTATTTAAGATATTGTATAGATAAATAACATTCTTTACTCCACAGAGGAAATCAGTTTCTTTTTTCTTAATATCTTAAATACTATATAAAAATAAGAGTCCTTACCAGGATCCATGGCGGGAGGGTCAGGAACCCAGCTGGGAGGAGCTATCGGGGGAGAAACTGGATCTTGGTGGTCACTAGATGAAGCTCCAGCTTCATGTCTACCCAGACCCGCTGCTCTCAAGGAACGTCTCATCATTTCCCTTAGTCTCATACTAGAAAGAACCAGATAAGAAAGGAGGTGAATACTAACATCTGGCTACCAAACTATAAGTTAATGAATAGCTACACAGAACTTTTTTTTTCTTCAAAGTTCAAAAGGTATTTTACAAATAAATATTACTCCAGTTCAGGAAAATTTATGGTACATAGAATGTCAGAGCTGGAAAGAAACTTAAACATCATCTGGTCCAAACCCATCACTTTGCAGAGGAGGAAAGGTGAAAGTAGAGGGGCTAAGGTGTGCCCAGTATCACACATCAAGTTAGTGACAAAGACAGGAACAGAAACTAGGTCTCCTAGTATTTAGACATGTGCTCTTCCCACTATGCCATATGCTGCTTCTAGACAGATATATGACAACTCCAGGTTCACAGAATGAGCCAAAAGGTGAGTGAGACAGAGAGGGAGAGGGAGAGGGAGAGGCAGGGAGAGGCAGAGAGAGAGAGAGAGAGAGAGAGAGAGAGAGAGAGAGAGAGAGAGAGAGAGAGAGAGTGTGTGTGTGTGTGTGTGTGTGTGTGTGTATGTAAGGGCCTAGCTTCCAGTTCAGTCCTATAATCATTGTGTCATGCTCGTATATTAAATGGATCATAAGGAAACAAATCCACCCCTTTAATAAAAGGGATTACAAGTAATTAAAAACACCTTTTACAACTTCAAAAAAAGTGCAAACAGTTCAATATGAGAAGCCAAATATTGTTTTCCCTGATTCATAATTAGTAAGTATTAAACAAAAGTACAAAACGGAACATTGCCTCTATCTAAATTAGTTTTGTGAAATCATAGAACACTTACCACCTCTGTGTTCTAGTAATAGAGGCAAATTAATATTAAGCAAAAAATTTGATCAAGGAAGTTTAGTTCTCGAACTTATATAAATATCAGAAAGAGATGGTTCCAATCACAAGGATAATGAAAAAAGAAACTAGATCTTTGAGGTATACCTTTAAATGGCATTACTTTTAGTACTTCTTGCTCTACAAAAGTGAAACTGGACAAATATGCCCTTCATTCAAAGAAAAATGAAATGAAAACAATTACAAAGGCTACCAAAAAAATTGCATCACGAACAACAAAAATCCTTACGATCCACTAGAATCTCTAAAGCTTTATAAAGTGACAGAAAGTCAAACAAAAGGGCCAGACAACATATATGTTGCTCTCACATTATCACTTTGGACATGATTTAAAAATGATAATGTCATTTGTAATAGTATTTTATGAAAAGAAAATTTCCACTTAAATGGGTTACATTTTAAAATGTTTTCATTTCTTCTTGAGATCACATACATATTTCCCATAATGCCACTATAAACAAAAAAATTATCTTTACAGGAATTCTTGTTGCTGCCAAGTTTTGAAAAAACATCTGAAATATGGAACGTTTCACTGTGCTTTACGCATGTGTGTGTATGTGCATGTGTGTATACACACATGTATTCTGAAAAAAGTAACATGGAGCTATCTATGCAAGCAATCATTTTAAATATGCATAAAAAAATTCAATGGTTAATACTTTCTCTAAAGGAAACAATTCTTCTGCAATATATCTTGTTTTGTAAATGCACAGGTTGTGATCTTAAACTGAACATCCATAGAGACAATGTAAGAAGTTACTTCATTGAGTCTGGATGACCTTAATTCCTTTCTAAAAGAAATACACAGAAATTCTAGATTGGTATCAGAGATCTATGACTAGAGTACTCTAACAGGACAATAGTTAACCTGTGGTACTTGTTTGTACTTCTACAATTTTAACTAATTAGAAGTAGACATTTGGTGTCCTTAAAATGTCTTAAGATACAATGAACAGTAACTGGGAAGCACCACATAGCTGATTCACATAGAGTAAGTACATGATACAGTTTTGTCAACAAGAGGAATGCTTAGAGTGTGTGAAGAATACATGAAGCTTACAAATCAAGAACTTGCGAATTTCCACTTTTGTAGTTCTGATTTAGTCAAATGCCTATAAAAGAGAGGGACAAGAAGTCATCCCTCCCCCTATGTTTTTGTTTTTTTGTTTTTTTTTTTTAGTTTTAAAAAGTCCTTAGCCTCTTTTCTTCATTTTCCTTTGGGTAAAGATTTTAACAGAATGCCCAGGTCCTCTTATAGATTCTTAAAAAAAGAAAATTATTCTTCAAGATGTCGTACACAATTCATGAAGATTCACCTGGATCCTCAGTGGCTGAGGATTATACTGAGGATATACCATCTTGGCTGCTAAGATTCAGAGTTTTGAGTTTTCTTCTTATAGGCTTGCCTGCAGTCATCGTATTTTCTGACAATATGGAAGAATTCAAGGATGGTGTAATTTCCTCTTTGTAAGCACGTTATATCCATACTACAGAAGCCTTAGTATCCAGTCATGGTTCAAATACACCACTGTGACAAAAAAGCGAAGGTCATGTGTCTTCCAGATTAAGGAGCTCTAGGGTAAATACACCTGCAATCAGATGCATCAATCATGTTTTCCACTAAATTTGCCCTTTGTACTCTGGACCTAGTCAGTCATATAACAAAACTTGAGGTAAATCATCATCTGAAGGAATATAACAGAACTTAACACTGAGAGTGCATCAGTTTTGGGCATACAGCTCATAGTTCTCAAGCCTGCACACTCATCAAGGGGCAACTTTTATATAATCCATTGCTGGCTATCTGATGACATCAATGAAATTGATTCTGTGGATTTCCTATTGTCAGACATTGATTAAAACTCCTGTACTTTCATCTGTTTCAACAGACAGCCCTGATTTTGAAATGGTTAAAAATACTGCAGTAAAATCTTCAGCAAATTCCTCAGAGGAGCTTATACTGCAAATTATTTGTGAGCCATTCATTACCCACTCCTGAAGCTCCTTTCAGTGTTTGCCTTCAAAATAATCCTCACATGAACAAAGGATGGCAGCAGTGGTATTTGGACCAACCATATCACAGAAACCAACTGGATTTCCATCAGCACCTTCCCCAAGGAAGTAAAATGCTTGAAATAATTCAGATACTAACTTCTGAATAATGTAATCTTTTTATAAATTTTAGACCCAAACCTTTCCTTCTATCTAGCAGAGTCCTAAACATATAAGTTGAAGACAACAGTGAAAATATTTTTCATTTTGTACATTTTACTTTCTGTGCCTCATTGAAGTCATAATTTTGGACACAGAGAAGCAGTGTAGTATAGTGGAAAGAGTACTGGACTTGGAGTTACTAGAATTGCTCCACTCACTATTTTTGTGATCCTGGCAAGGAAGTGTGGGAGAAGTGATGAGGGAACTGGGTTGAGGAATGGGGCAGCAAGTCACTTAAGCTTCCTGAGGTTCAGTATGCTCACCTGAAAAAATGAGGATAAGACTTTCACTACCTATTTCATAGGGGCATACATAGTTGTACAGAAAATATTTTGTGAAACATAAAGTAAGCGAGAGACAGAAAGAGAGAATGAAAGGAGTTATGTAAAGGCACAAATGCGTGCTTTTTAGCTTAATCTCTTTTTGTACCTAAAAGCTTTATTTGCAGGGGCAGGCTTTTTGATATCAATTGGAGAAAAAAAATTTTTAATGGAAGTTTGATTCCTTGTTTTTACATTAACATTTGTTTTATAATGACAGACACACCAGTAATCAAAAATTATGCCTGCATTAAGTATGAAATGAGGGTGCTTTTCCTTCCTGTCAAAGAAAATTTTCCTGGAACATTATCTATTCAAAAACTTAAAAATTTTTTGAACATGCCATATAGTCTTCATCTCACAACTTAGGCACACTAACATGGTGCAAATTCTTTTTGTGCAACACAGTCCTAAATTAGGTGGTAAGAGATTTTCCTGGTATTTCCTTTCATTATCAGGACATGCTAACACAGAGACCTAGGTTATATATACAAGAATAAATAATGGGAGTTCTTTTCAATTAGGTATCTGTTTCTCCTATACAACAATGATTAATTTAAAACACTTGGAAAAGTGAAAAGTATACTATCCCTTTGGATTATAACAGGATAACAATTCACTAGATTTTGGAGTTTGGGGCTTTTGGGAGAGGATGGAGGATGATGACTGCAAATGTTGCCCTCAATCACATCAGACATTCCTTTCTATAGTGAAACTAGAATTACAAGTGTTGCAAAAAATATTAAGACTACTTTCTTCTTTTGTATTTTTCTGTTCTCAAAATCAAAGTTTCTGGTTAAAAATCACTTTACCTTCGGCTACTTGATGATCCAGTCCGATTACCTGGGCCATTACTTGAAACCACGGATATGGCATTTGCAATAGCCTCTACTGCTGAAAGTCTTTCTGCAAATGTATTTCTTTCAGAGCGCTCTGCTTCTGAAACATAAGAAAATATTTGGTACCACAGGCAAAAAATGAAAAATTAAACTAACTTTAGCTAATACTTTTATTTGTTAATTTTTCAAATCAGTGTAACATGATAAAAGTAGGAAATGTTTCTATTCTATAGGAAATAACATCTAGTTAAGAAAAGATAGTTTTACCACTGTTCTTTTATGGTAATTATTATGTCTGCTTTAATGAAACACTAAGATAAAATTCAGAAAATAGTACATGTACAAAAACTAGGTAATCAAAACATTATACAAAATAAAGTAAAACCCTGAAAGTTTTCCCATCATTTATTCTCCTGGATATTCTCAAGGAAGTGAGGTTTATATGATTAATAATGAACACATTTCAAGTATAACATTTTCCAAAAAACAGTATCAAAGTAATTTCCCTATCAATGAGTTTGAACTTCAAGAAATTTTCTACAGTAAGAAAACCAGGCAGTGATGACTAAAATCAGTGTTATTCACTGGCTATTAGGTATGCAATAAGTATGAATGCAAGTATGCAATACATATATATTTTCCTCCCAAAAGTTATTTCTATGTCATATACCCTTCCATTAGGTAAGATAGATAATTTTTACCTTCCAGGCAGTTTTTAAGCTTACCTTCTTCTTCCTTAGTTTCTTTGTTGCTGGTTGGAAAGCACACAGATACACAAGCATGCAAAATATTACGATTTCCATCACATCTATGACTGAGGAATGTCTGTAGGATCTGTGGATTCTGATCCAAAACAACTGCTTGCTCAAGATTCAAAAGATACTGTCGACAGGCCTCATAGTCACATCGGAGAATATGCTGCATTAAAGTTTGTTTCTGTACTCAAATAAAAAAAATGAAGGAAAAATGATGACTACATTAAGTACCAAGACTAAAATTTTAGGTCACATCTAGAAATGAATAATCACTTCTGTAATCCAGGATATTCTCTCATACACATTTAAGAAAGAGAACCAAATCCATCTTTTCCCTGATAATGTGAGGGGAAAAGGTTTAAAATATCAACAAAAGGTAAGATTACTAGAATTGTGTCTACTGTATATTCAATTAGTACAGTAATATCTTGTCTATCTGGCAATGCAAGTGACTGAACTGTTACACATAATTATACTTTCTAGAAGCTTTTCCTTCTCCCCTTTCAAGCACCAAAATTATAACCGTTTTGATGCATGTGCTTCTGAAGCTCTAGAATAAACAAAATACTTCATTTCCTCGATTACAAACATTATTCCTAGGACAGTGATACCATGGATGGCTTAAGTATACAAGTTTTGCCACTAAACATCCTGACAACACTATGCTTTCTTTGGTTGTTTTTCTGTCACTTTCCTGCTGTTATGAGCACACCTGTCATTAGCAACAGAACACTACACCCTCTGATGCGAGGTACTTTACCAGATCTTTTAGATCTATCCCTGAAAAGTGACTCAACAGCTCAAAGTCAGAGGACATAGACAGGATCTTAGAATCATCTACTTCTCTTATGAATTATGAGAGAACATTAAGTGCAACCCCTGAATTTTACAATTGAGGGAACTGAAGCTGAGAAAGGAACAAACCCCAGGTCACATGAGCAATGAGCGGCAAGGCCTAGGCTTGCACCCAGTTTCTGAATCCATATGAAGTGCTTTTTCTGCTGGACCTTGATAGCCCTGAGAGGCTTTACAATGACCGAGGTGTACGAGTTTTGATGTCCAGATTTAGAGGCACAAATATCTGGTTCTCCATGTTCCAAATACTTGGCCTCTACATAAGCAAATTGTATTGAATCTCGTTCAATTTCTTTTAGTTTAGAAAACTCTATTTTTCTTTATATAACATTGATCAGACTTATTTATAAGTGTGTCCCTTCCTAAAAGGGCCTGAGGGACAAATACTTTAAAGAATTAAATATCTCAACTCTCAATAATATCATAAGTAGCATGAATGAGTGTGCTCTAATTTCAATCATAGCCAAATCTATACAGGCCTGATAATTTTAATTAGACCTCTAGTTTTGATTCTACAAAAACCCTAAATATTTTTGACTCATAGTGGAAATTCCATAAAATTGGTGTGAATTAAAATCTTTAGCTCTTATACAGTTTCATTACTTTTTTTAATGATTGCTGGAATAAAACAAAGGTGTTCAGCATACTGAACATTTAGGTATTTTACATCTTCGCAAGGAACTTGTCAAACAAAATACTTCTGGAGACAGGTTTCTATTTTAAATATCTTAAACCTGAAAACTTTAGGATTCTTTAAGTTTTCCTATAGACAAAGTGATTCTCCTTTCTTGTAGAAAGTATGTCAGCAAGTATGAATACCAAGTTAGAACATTCAACAAATAGTTTTTAGTCACTTTTTTACAAACCAGGACACTATGCTAAGCATTGGGGGAGTATAATACCAACAATTAAAACATTTCCTTCCCTAAAAAAATCTAACCTTAAACCTCAACAACAGTTATTTACAAGTTAGGACAATAAGTAAGAAACAGTGAAAAAGTTGAAATGCACATAGGTAGAGAAATAAGAAATACTGACTGATACTTAACAATGAAATATGAAAATCAAAACTGCAATATAAACCACCTATCTGCAGGAATGGTTTGTTATTAATTCAACCCAAAAATAAACATTATTTATTGAATGTCTGCTATGGCAAATCACAATACTAGGTGTTGTGTTGTACAGTTGTGATGGGGGAGATACAAGAGTATAGCTCCTTTCCTCAAGCAATTTATAACCTATCTTGGGAAATAATTTACAATCTGCAAGTTGAAGGGATGGGGTGGTGGGGAGGGGAGATAAGTAGCTTCTAGGCAATAGTAAGCACCGTCAAAAAAGACAGAGTTACGTTTCAGACCTGATTCCTCTGGAAGATGACAGAAGCTGGGAGGATGGGAGAGTGTCCCTCTATCCCTAACCTGGTTCTTTAATTCTCTTTGTCCAGACCAGGAAGAGCCATAGGAAAAGCATGTGTTTCCTGCTGCAAGAGAAATTGGAGGGCTGTCTCTACAGGACAGACAGTAGGGGATACCCAAAACACAATATACTGCACATGACCTGTGAGTAAGGCATAAATTTCAACTCGCCAGAAATCAGTAAGTAGAAGGCTTATCCATTAGTGACATCTAATGCACTTCACTGTTCAAAGAAGCTGGGAATACTGATGGAATTACTTGTTGAACATCCCCTAAACCTACTGGATTTAGCATTAGACAATCTAGGTTCTCCTGGATCTGTTACTACTTTTGCCTGACCTTTGGCAAGCCAGTACTTTGGCCTCAGTACTCTCTTCTAGAAAATGAAGGAGTCTGACCTACATGGTCTTGAAAGTCCTTTCCAGCTCTAAAAAAACATACTGAGTAGTAGGAAACAGATTCAGAAGGTAAAAGTTCAGTTCTTTCCATGGGCCATATCAAAGCTAACACAACTTTAGATAAGTTCCTTTTAATTAAATTTCTTCTCCATCTAATAATAGTTATCTAGGAATTAGTTAAATCCTGAAATGCTAGGGGCAGCTAGGTGCGCAGTGGATAGAGCACTGGTCCTAGAGTCAGGAGGACCTGAGTTCAAATCCAGGCTCAGATACATGACACTTACTAGCTGTGTGACCCAAGGCAACTCCGACTGACTCATCAAAAAGAAAAAAAGAAAAAAAGAAAAAAAGAAAAACAAAGAAAAAGAAAAAAAATGGGGCAGCTAGGTGGGTAAGTGGATAGAAAACCGGCCCTGAAGTCAGAAAGACCTGAGTTCAAATCTGGCCTCAAACCAAACACTTGACACTTACTAGCTGTGTGACCCTGGGCAAGTCACTTAACCCCAATTGGCTAATTTTAAAAAAAAAGAAAAGAAAAAAAAGGCAAAAAAAAAAACCAAACCAAAACCTGAAATGCTGCTAAGTCACTGTTATGCTTCCCCAAGAAGATTTTAAAATATCCTACCACATTTGGTGGCATTAAATAACACAACACAATAATCAGGCCATTTGATACACGGGCTAGAAATGTCAAAATCAGCACTTGTGTAAGAGGCCTCACTATGGTCCATGATAAAGACTCAAGAAAGGTCTTTAGGACAGGCTGTAATTGGCTACACTGGAATGGCCAAGAGGTCTGGGGGTTCCCAAATACTCAACTCAATAAGTACTTATGAACTTATATGTCAACACTATGCTGACAAAGAGCAGTATTTAAACCGTGCTGACATTAAGTAGTATTTACAAAGTAAATCTGAGGCATGCTGAAATATAGAACTACTATATACTACTATACTATACTTTCTGCATCTTAAACGAATCATGCATTGTTGGATATTCAACAGGCATTTAACAGATAGTTGAATAAATGAATTGTTTAAAAAAAAAAAGCCTTCGGTTTGAAGCTCATAGAAGGAAATCTTGTAACTGTCTCATTATTGAGCAGAAACCCTTAAATTACTTGAATATTTGTAAGGGAAACACTAGCCAATTTTTTTTTATAAACATTCTTTTTATTAGTATTTACACCTAAGATTACTATAATGGGAATCTAATTATCCATAAGGCTTGGACTAGAAAACTAAGCTTATGAGACAGGACCAGAGGAGGAAGTATGAAATTCTCTTTAAAAAAAAAAAAAAAAAAAAGACAACCTCTAAGCCTTCTAAAACAAGTGACAGCAAAACAAATATAATACCTCTCTGGCAAAATATACTGTCTGGAAATAGGGTGGTAGACTTGCTAACAGACTGACACACTATAGGGAAGACTCTATGCACTCCTAGACTAAATACAGTAACAATAACCATACACTACTTTACTCTTTTATTTGTTAGACCTGTTTCTCAGAGGAATTTTAATCAAATGACACGCTTACAAATTTATCCTTTTAACAAAAAGAGACCTCTGCTTTTTTGAAAGTTAAATTTTTAAAGAGAAAACACACATAGTCTACATTTACTTACCAAAAAACCTCAATATCTGAAGAGTCAAAAACCAGGAAATAAAGTTTAAAAAATGTTTAAAAAAACAAAGAAACAGATCTCCTGGGGAAAGGGACTCAAGGCCCCTGAACTAAAGCTCATGAGTATTATTAGGAGAGATTCTGGAGTTAATGGTGCTCACTGAAATAATATTTAATATACAAATCTAATCGGGTTTTTCAGCCCACAGCAAATTAAAGGTGGCCATGAGGCAGGGAAGGGTTATTTAAAAAAATGATGCAAAGAAAAAAAAATTAACAGCTAAGATTTAAAATGAGAAAATAAAAGCAGTCATAGGCAGACACAAAAATAGATGGATAAATCAGTCCAGGGAGCATAATATGAAAGGCCTAAGCCCCAATACCTTAACAGCTCCTCAAAGATATGGTTGTGCAATGATGTATGACTCCTCAAGGGCATACACAATAAAATAAACCGATGGTCCTAAGAACGACTGTGAGTCACCAAGAAGAGACTAAATAAATAATGCAGTGTAGTTCTGATGGAAGGATAGTTTATAATAACTTTAGAAATATTTCTATCCATAAAATAATTCTCAACAGAGTAAACATCAACTATCCGAGACATTCATATAGATAGAAAGACACATCTACACATCTATAAAAATTAAAAGGGTACAAATGTAGTTAGAATATAAGAATACATAGAATCTGATACTGCCAGATCTGAATGTTTAAACCTTAATAACTTATTCAAATTTAAAAGGAAGGGAGGTTATATTTTGCACATAAAGACTTGTTTTAACATACTAAAGTGTCAAATTATTTCTATGAATATACTGTACAACAAAGTAATTCTAATTTACACCTCAATTTCTACTACTACTCAGAACTCTCTGATTAATCTAGGCTGCTTTAACTGACATGTCAGACTCACTGACCAGCTTCTTGGATATAGTCAATTAAAGATATTGCTAAGTATAACGAAATTTGTTCCTAATAAGGCTTGCTTTTCAAAAACACTGCCCAAACTCAAGTTACACATAAAACTTTATTTTGATTGTCAAGCCCTTTCTAGAAATTTGACAGATTCTAGACACTTCAGTACCTGACTGTAAATAACGTTGATTTAAACTGTTTACTTCAAACTAACGAAAAATATTTGTCATAGTCATACATATAACTTCCTGTAACAAAGAAATATTTTAAGAAATGCTACCAAGGTAAACTTGCCAAACCAAAGAAAATAAAGAATATGCTGGATCAGGGCAATGGCTCTGATTCCTCATAAAAGGAATAATGTGAAGTATTACCTCTACGGCCATGATGATAATAGCAGCTTTCTTTTTGATAGTTGAATTAGCAGGAAGATTTGTTAAAGAATGCACCCCCATTCCAAGACTACTGATAGGTGGAAGATCAAGCCAATCGGGATCCCTTATTCCTCCCATACAATCTTTTGCCATAGGATAGATCGTACCATTTCCATCTCTAAGAATAATGGGTGACTCCTGTATTGAGGAAAGGAAAGGGAAAACAAAAGTACTTGAGTTTTGCTATAATAGACTTAATTTAAAATTGTATGTTAAAATGAATGTAAGAGTTCTGATATTAAAATATGCTAAGGATAGGTAGGGGAAAAACCAGTGATTTCACTTGTCTCAGGAAGTCCAGGTGAGGCACTTTTTCTACCAATGGAGGTCAGCACCATCCCCGTAATTTATAGTTTTAAAGTTACCTAGAACATGAGAGTTCAAGAGACTATTCCAGGGTCATTCACAAAACAGGTATATTTCAGAGGTAAGACTTGAAACTAGGTCTTGCTGACATTAAAGTCAACTTAAAAGTTCATTATGCCCCACTGCCTCATATACAGGGTTAAAATAGTCAAGAGGCTTTAGAATCTGTCTGTGTTTGTCTAATAAAAGACACAGGAATATGGGTTCTTAAAATTTTAGTGTTGGCTCATTTATAATTGTTGGTGAAAATCAAGTCGGTGGAGAAGAGGCTGGAAATAATTCTTTTCTTCAAATAAGCAATACTGGTAAGAACTGAACCCAAGCTGCCATGGAACACTTACAAAATGGGCTAAATGCTTTTTAAATGTTGCTACAAGTTACTATGCAAGCACCCTAAATCCTAATAAACTTTATAAAGTATGTATTTCCTCCAAAATTCTATGTGTCTCTTAACTAAACTATTTCACTATCTTCATACCTGTCCAGCTGTGAAAATAGCAACATTCCTCTCATTCTGACCAAGGAAGGCAATACTACTAGTAGGAAAATTGTTTTCCTGTTCTGCTTTTCCTGTAGCAAGGTCAAAGATACAGTATCGCACCCAATTCCCAGTTTTCAAAACAGCATGCACACCTTCAGCAACATGTAAATGAAGAAGAAAAATTAATTACATTCATTGATTTATCTAACACCAATACCCTTATCACAAACCCAAAAATTTCTAGCAAGTCAATATGAAAAGCAATTCAAACAAAACCCACCATATTCAGTAGGCTTACAGCAAGTTCAATCACAGAATACCACCACCACAGCCACCCACCTTCAATGACACCATCTTAAATTTATTACTTTTTTATCTTGTCTCACTAGATCATGAAAACCACATGAGGTGGATAATTTAGGTGTTGCTATTTCAATTTTACAAATAGAGAAACTGAGGCTCAGGCTAAGTAACTTATCCAAGGCAACATAATAAATGGTGGGGGTCAAGACCCAAACCAAGGCTTGATTCCTTTACGATATTTTTTTCATTACACCATAGCGTCCCTCTATTAATAGATAATGCCTTGAATCAGTCTGTACTATTTCCCCAAACTTTCTTCATATCACCTTTAAAACCATTCCCATTTATTTATATGAAAAGGATAAAAAGATAATGAAGGGGCAATTGGAAATTGAAAGAAAAAAGTTACACAGATGAAAAAAGCTTTACCTTTTGAATCTACATTAACTGCTAAAATTTCTGTTTTTTCAGGAATACACAGCTTCTTAGGGGTCCTTTGGAAACAGTCAGGAACTTTAGGTGTGCCACCAGTTTTGACCACCTACATAGTAAAAAAGAAATTATGTTTCTGAGTCTACATACAACCATAAGTTAACCCAAAACTTCAGCTGAATATAACTTCTAAATGTACTAAAATATGACTTCAAACATACCTGTAATTCATCAATTCTAAGAAGCCTACAATCTTGAAGAAGAGAAGATGGATCAGGATCTGAACTAGAGCTGCTCTGACAATTTGTATTACTGGAAGTGCCTGGAAATTTCACAGCAACATAGGCACCATCTACTTTTAGTACCTAGGTGTATAACATATTAAAAATGTTACTTAAAGCACTAAATTGAAATCAATATATAGATTCTATGCATCAATTCTATTTAAAATTAAGAAGAGAAAGTTAAGATTCTTTTGGTCATTATTGTAGTAGGAAACAAAAAAAAGATAACAAAATCTATGCATCAGAGATTCCAAGCTAAAAGGAACATTTGAGGTCATCTATTCTAACCCCTTCATTTTACTGTTTAGGAAAATGAGTCCAAGAGAAGAAAAGTGATTTGTCAAGTCACAAAAGTAGTATGTAGAATAGCAAGGATTATTGTAGTAGACAGTTTACATTTCAGTTTTTGGAAATCTTAACCAAAATTAAATGACTAATAATTGTAGACTTTGAATCATCAACTAAACAACTGCAGGCAAAAAGTCCACAAAGTTAACCAACTTTTTATCTCTATTAAAAAGCAATCTAGGGGCAGTCAGGTGGCATAGTGTATCTGGCTCTGAAGTCAGGAGGCCCCGAGAAGTAAATCTGCCTCAGAAATTTGACACTTAACTAGCTGTGTGATATTGGCCAAGTCACTTAACCTCGATTGCCCCCACCAAAAAAAAAAAAAAAAAAAAAAAAAAAAAACCACATCAATAATCATTCCTCATTTTAAATCATGGGATATATCATACCACCATGCAAACCTGCACTAAAGTCCTGCTTAATTTCCTCTTAAGGCATGTCAGTGACCACTGGTTATATCAAAATCAATGGCAAAGAAGCAAAAACTAGGTCCTACCAAACTGTAAAGGCTTTGATTACAGGTCTGGTCAAATGCTGTTTGGCATTTGTTTTCCAATAGCAGTACTCAAAAATCATCTATAAAACTGTAAAAGAAGGGATCAGCAATCTCCTTTGGAGGAAGCGGTCACATGTATAAAGTCATGGATCCCTTAAGTAAGTTTAATAAGATCAGATGAAAGGACAATAATCTATTTAGAAGCTGAATAACATAGAAGGATAAGACAATTCAGCATATAAAAAACATAATCCCCTAGCCTCCCTGATTGTGGGTTTTGTTAAATTAAATGAGGAATATTACAAACTGCAGATAAGCATATTTTACAGAAATTTCAACAGTTTTAAGATGAAATACCAAACATATGAAGAAGCTAGGAGCTAAACTATTTCTAAAGCAATGTTTTTGTACTGAGTACCTTGTCACATTGTAGAGTAAAACTAAGATATAAAATAAACTTAAATAAAACTAAGATAAATTAATTTAGATAAAGTTAAGATCATTGATACACAGAAGGAAAAAAAAAGGTTTTCAATTGTATAAACATTCTCCTTCCTATCTTAAAGGATAGCTAGATAGAGTAGTGGGATAAAATATGGGGCCTAGAATCAGGAAGACCTGAGTTCAAATATAGCCTCAGATACTTACTAGCTGTGACTAAGTCACTTAACCCTTGTTTGTCTCACTTTCTTGGGCAAGTCCCTTCAATCTCCCCAGGCCTCAGTTTCCTTATCTGTAATGTAAGTTGTACTAGTTGGTTTCTGAGGTCCCTTTTGGCTTTAGATCTATGATCCTAAGACCTCAAAAATCCACCCTCCCCGCCCCCAAAAGACTTACTAGCTATGTGCCATAGTTTCCTCATCTATAAAATGGAGATAATATAATAGCACCTATCTTCCAGAGTTGTTATGAGGATCAAATGAGATAATAACTGTATAGCACTTAGCATAGTGCCTGGCACATACTACTATATAAATGTTAGCTATCATTACTATTAAATACTATTATCATTACTACTAAGACTTTGCAGAAAATTTTATTCAGTCCTGAAATATCAGCTAGGGGGCCACTAGGTGGAGTAGTGTATAGAGTGCTGGGCCTGGAGTCAGGAAAACTCATCTTCCCAGTTCAAATCTGGCCTCAGACTAGCTATGTGACCCTGACTAAGTCACTTAACCCTGTTTGCCTCAGTTTCCCCATCTGAAAAATGAGGTGGAGAAGGAAATGTCAAAACCATTCCACTATCTTTGCCAAGAAAACCCCAAATGGGGTCACAAAGAGTTGAAAAAAACTGAAAAAGACTGAACAAGAGCAGCTAAGGTAAGACATTTACATTTTCAAAGTCTTAATCTTCAAAACAATCTGGGTCAAGTCATTAACCTTTTGGTAAGTACCTACTGTATGCCAAACACTATGGAAAAGCCCTTGCCTTCAAAGTTCTATCAAATTGAGAGACAACACGTACATATGAATATAAGATTTATACAGGATAAAGTGGATATAACTACAAAATGAAGGCGCTAAGATTACCTGTAAGTTAATTATTATAGGAATTGCCATCCCTGCTTTACAGATGAAAAGACTAAACGCTGAGAGAGCAAAGTATTTTTCATATAGTCACACAGTGTTGGAAGTAGGATTCAAACCTCAGTTGTAATTGCCTCTAAGTTCAGAGTCCTTTACATTATCATAGCAAGTTGCCTCTCATCTTAAAAAGGTCTCAGGCACCCCTTCTTTTGACAATTGTGATCAAACATTCAAAACGGAAAATAAAATTACATTACTCCAATGTGGATACTTATGTCTAGCAATGATTGGTAGCAAAGTAAGAAAAGCAAGAATGAAAAGAAAGCAAGAACTGCCTAAACTCTTCTCTATTAGTTTTCTTTATTAGCCTTTTTAGGGAAAAACACACAATTATTCCCATTTGGTATTAGGCAGAGATTTGGTATGAATAGCAATACTGAAGTAATAAATTAAGAAATCATTCATTTTAGCCAAGAATACACAAAATGTCGGACACAAAAAAGTGTTGTTTCAGTTACGTCTGACTCTTCATGATCCTGTGGACCATACTGTCCATGAGGTTTTCTTGGCACAGATACTGGAGTGGTTTGCCTTTCTTTCTCCAGCTGGATTAAGGCAAATGGAAGATTAACTGATTAAGTGACTTATCCAGGGTCACAAATCTATTAAGTGTTTTGAGGATGGATTTGAACTCAGTTCTTCCTGACTCCAGGCCCTGTGCTCTATCCACTGTGCCACCTAGCTGCCTCTGAATAAAAAATAATAAACCTCAAAACTATACCTAAATAGTTAGCTTCAAGTTTCTAGGAGAAAAATTAGCACTTCTAGGAGAACAGAAGGATTTCTCTAGAAATATCATCACTGAGTTTTGTCCTGGAACTGATTACAATTCCACAAACCCTGAATAGAATTAAGTGATTGCAATGGCTTAGGTAAAATAATCTCCTTCAGGAAGCTCAGAGATAAGACTAGCAGCAACCAAGGGAAAACAAAAACAAAAATCCCAAGTCAAATATGCCGTTATCCTAGTTACAGACAACTCAAAATAACAGTGCTGCTAAATGTCTTCTTTTGTTTGTTTTTTATCATTTATTGAGGTCTTTTCGAATTTTGTACTTGTCATTTCCCCATATCTTCATCACCACATACAGCAAGCCTGTACGATCTCTGGCTCACAGGCCGCTTACGGCCGTTGACCTCCAAAGGATTTCAGGTGGTCCACGAAAAATGTAGAGGAAAATCTTTGGCATGCTGCAAGCGACCTGTGGGCCATAAGCAGCCCATACACCCAAGGTTGTACAGGTCTGACACACAGTCTTCCCTTGTAACAAAGAACAGATAAGCAAAAATCTTGGTGTGTGTTTGAAAGCATATTTAACATTCTACAATTATACTTCTCCCTGCTCTACTACAGGAAGTGAGGAGTTTCTTCAACTATTCTTTGGACCACAATTGGTCAATAGATTTTTTTTTTTAAATAAAGGTGATTGAAACCTTCTGTTTTTACATCAGTCATTTCCAAATATAGTAACTCCCTTCCCATATCTTTAGCAATGAACCTTAAGTTTCTATCAAAGAAAAGTAGTTAATCAAAAAGAAAAACTCAATAAAACACCCAATCCTGATAGCATACACAACGTTCTGTACTCCAAGTTCCCCACTCTAAGCTGAAGAGAAAGAAGAATGTTACATTATCTGTTCTCATAGAACAAAACTGATCATTATAAACACTCGAGAGTTTGGCTTCTTTTTATGTTCTTTGTATTTACATCATGGTACTCATTTGTAAGTTACTTTTTCTGGTTTGCTTCCTTCACTTTTCATCATTTCATATGAATTTTCCCATGTTTCTATCACATTCACCTAGTACAGTTTGTTCTACTATTACCAAACTGCCCCACCCCTCACTCCCATCTGTACTAAGGGGCTACTAAGACTACACTGGCACATAAACAAACTCTATCTCTGTCATTTATTTCCCTGGGATACAGGCTTGCTGAGTCAAAGGGCATGAATATTTTAATGACTTTGTTGACATAAATCCAAGTTGTTTTCCAAAATCAGTAATTCACAGCCAATACCAGTGCATTGTGTCTGTGCTCCCAGTGCCTCCATCTTTGCCTGCTGAAAGGTAGGAAGTGAAAACTCAGAACTGTTTCATTTACAATTCTCTCACTAGTGATTTAAAGCATACTTCAAATATGGCTGTCAAAATTTTGCAATTCTTTTAAAAAAAAAATACGAACTTATATTCTGGGGCATGATCCTTAACATTTTCTGACTCAAAGATTATTCCGCACTTATCAATTTACCTTTTTATTCTGGTTACATTAGTCTTATTTTTGTAAAACCTCTTTAAAGTTATACAACCAAAATTGTCTCTCATTTCCTTTATGCTCACTTCTACAGATTAAGTCAAGGAGTTAGCTAGCATTTTTAAGTACCTACTACATTCCAAAAATCGGAATAGGCAATGGAAATACAAACAGTCCTCAAGAACCTTATATCCTATCAGGGCAAATAAAGTACATATGTAAATATATTAATAATGAATAAAATATAAATGTGAAGTTGGTTCAGGAGAGAGTGCAGCAGTAGTCAGGCAAGTAAGGGGTAGAAAAGGCTTCGTAAAGAAACTCTTAAAGGAAGTATGAGATTCCAGTAAGTTAGAAGTGAGTACTAGCCTTCTGGGAATAATGGAAGGTCAATAAGGAGAACTGCCAGAAGAGGTTGGGCAACAATATAAAGGAAAAAAAGAGAAACTATGTATTAGGCTGATTATGAATTCTCTCACTAACCAGAGCTTCAAAGCACAGTAAACTATAATGTGATAGTTAATAACAGGACCTTTATATATTTAGAGCTTATGGGATAAGTGATATCAGCTGCATGTCTAAATTTATTTTCTAGCTCACTATTTTCTAGTTTCCCCAATATTTTCTATCAGATATTTTGTGTTCCTGAGTTTACTAAATTTTGAAATACTATGTTAATTTTCTCTGGGCCTTCCTTATCTATTCTGTTCCACTGATCTGCTCTTCTACTATTCACCCAATACCAAATGGTTTTGACGATCACTGCTTTACAATATATTTATGTTGACTAGTAATACAACCATGCCTTCCTTCTTTGGGCTATCCTTGCAATGCCCTGTCCCCGTTATTTTCTAGACCTTTTGCTCACCCAAATGAAGTTATTATTTGTCTAATATTTAAAGTATCACTCATTGGCAGACTGAATGGCATAGCACTAAATTTGTAACTTTTTTATATTCATGCAGCACTATAACAAATAAGCATTTCTCAAATAATTACTTGTTCCAGGAAAGAATGATTTATACTTTTATTAACATTAAACTGTGAATGTATCTTGACTTGGGCATTTAGGAATAGGTCAATAAATAGGGCAGATTAAATTGATATAGGAATAACAGTTCAAATACTGAGCATGTATAAATCTGGAGAGAAGACGTAAAAGTATAATAGCTGTCTTCAAACAATAAACAATGGGTAGCAATGTGCAATGGGTGAGAGATATAAGGAGGATATTTTGGCTTCAAAGATGAACATTTTTACGAGTCCAAAAATGGAACGAGCTAACATGTTCCATGGCATTATATCTTTGGAGATCACAGTTATTCATCTGCCAAACAAATATTTATTAAGCACCTACCGGGTTTAAGACATTGTCATGGACTCAGAAGGTAATATAAAGTTTATATTAAAGAATTTCTCCTATCATAGAGTTTTTTAGTCCAGTAAATTCAGTAAAGGTGTAAGGAACAAATAAGTTAACTACAATTACTATTATGTATTAGAGAGTTGTCAAACAAAAGCAGCTAAGGTCATTACTGACCAGAGGTTTCAGGAAAAGTTCATGGAGGTTATGAAGCAACTTTTGGTAGTAGGATTCAAAAATTGGTTGAGATATTTAACAAGATGCATTCTAAGGTTCATTCCAACTCTAATATTCAATCAATAAAAAAAAAAAATGACAAAGGTAGGAGAGTACAATGGAACTAATGTTATTAAATTACTCAAAAAATTCTTTAAAAGCTAAGCTATGTAACAACCAGAAATGACAATGATTAAGACTAACATCTCAAAAAGACAGAACAAAGGTTTTCTCCAAACCTTGCCAACAGGAACGTTCTTCACATCTTCCACGAACACCACCTCCCTAAGAGACCACTGCTCTTCATTCACCTTCTCCTCTTCTTTGGGAGCAGGAGTAGACCGCCGTCGTTCTTAGACAACAACAAAATGGTAAGTACCAAAAGAAAAAAAATTTAAAAGAGATTTTATAGATTTCATCTAAATATGAGAAAAAATTATCTACAATACACACACACACACGACTAATAAATAACACTAAGGTATAAAAAGGTGAAATGCCCAAGAACAAATGATTAATGAATTGTTGTATACAATGTCTTTATAAACTGACCTGTTTAAAAGGAAAAAAAAAAGCAGCCACTGTAGTAAATTGCCAATTATTTGAATAATACATTAGATTTGAGGAAAAAATAAATAGGATAAATAAACCCAAGTAAGGTTTATTTAAGGAATGAAAAATCTAGTAAATTATACATAGCTGTGGCCACAGATTACTCTGTGAAAACTAACGTTTCACTACAAACATTTCCTAAAGTCTTCCATAGCCAGAATCTGAAGAAACTACTTGACTGTAAGATAGAATTTGAAATGTATGGCATATACTACATGGTTTCAGGCTTTTTTTTTTTTTTTGGTATTGATCAATTTTTGCTGATTTTTCTTTTAAAAATATTTGTTTTCTGGAAGGGGAACAAGGAGAAATGCTGATGAGAAATCAATAAAAAAATTTCTTAAATTTATATTTTCTAACAGTTTATTATATGGATTACGTGAAGTAATCATATAATTATAAGTAACTACAGAATAATCAATTACAGAAGTCCAGAAACCTACAAAAAACTACTAGACAGCACATAAACATTCTAGAGCTAATCTTTCCTTAATATGAGATACAAATGGGTTCAGCGACAAAATTTCCCCCCACAAATTCCAAAGAAATAATATTTTTACAATACACACTTCAACAGAGCTATAATCTCATGGCTACAAAGTATTCTTTTTACAGATCAAAACATGTTATCTTATCATGTGCTGTTCTAATCCATGTTCTCCTAATCTAGCCAACATACTTGAATCTGTCTTCCAGTAGTTCGTAAATTTTGGGAGGACAGCATTTAAGCTATTATCCCTCTTTATTTCTTGTCTCTCACTCTTACAAGACTAGCCCACCCTCTTGCATTTCCTTGATGAAATTCCTTATATCACCACTTACTGAACAAAGGTCATTTTAAGAAATACAACAGAAGTCTACTTACACTCATCATTCACCTGTCTACCATCTTTTGAGTCACCTACAATTTCAATTCTTTCAGGACTATCATGTTAGAAGATTCACAACCATACAAAAATGAGACATAATTTTTTATTTTAATTTCTTTTTGGTGAGGCAATCGGGGTTAAGTGACTTGTCCAGGGTCACACAACTAGTAAGTGTCAAGTGTCTGAGGCAGCATTTGAACTCAGTTCTGCCTGATTCCAAGGCCGAAGCTCTATCCACTACACCACCTAGCTGCCCCAACATAATTTTTTAAAATGGGTTTTGGGGATAGGTAGCTGCTCGGTTCATTAAAAACACTGCATAATTTCCAAATGCAATCCAGCCTACTTTCTTGTTCCTCTATAATTCTGAATACCTGTCCCAGATATTGGTATTAATGGATACAGTAATTCAACAAACTGGGCAAACAACTCTAAGTTATGGTTGGGACAACAGAACTTCTCTAATTTTTAGCTTTTTCTTCATTAGATTAGGTGGTCCATCTGTTTTGAGTCAACACAAAACTCACAAAAGGAACCCTGTAACATAATGCTAAACTACATTCATAAAAGTAATGCGTCATACTTTGGAAATTATTCCTTCATTTCAACCTGATAGAGAATGCCATCCATGACAAAAACAGATAAACCCTTTTAAGGACAAATGTTTTGCTATTTTATCCCTCACATCTGATATTAATCATCACAGATGATTATCGTCACTTAAGAATGTTATCTCAGTGATTGTCAAGGAATCTTATATGGGTTCAACATATGCAGGGAAGATTCCTTGTTGCCTTTCACCCTACCAAGCCAAGTATTTTATTGTCAATCATCAACACCGTGAGAGCTAGCATTCTTCCACTCTTTGTATTAACTATGTGACTATGAAAATGTCACACGATGCAGAGAACTGTTTCTGAAAGCCTGCTGGTTCATTTCTGGTATTTTTCTCATCATTAAGAGAAAATGGAGGCACATGGATCATTTTATGTTTTTTTTTTTCCCTAGCAGTAATAATTTTTGATTTTTTTTCCCCTGCTTTTTCTAATCTCCCCCTACTCTGAGCTATGTAGTTAAATGATCCAATACTAATTTTAAGACCATTGCATATACCACCTATTTCCTTGGTATGCAATTTATATGATACAGCTAATCTTCCTGATTTCACTTTTATTAAAAAAAATCTCACAAAAATACCACACTAGATTTGTAATCACAGGACCCAAGTTCAAATCCCAGTTCTGTTACTTATTCTTATGACCATAGACAGGTCACTTCCCTTTTAAGTGTCAGTTTTCTCATTAATAAAATTAGGGAGATGAATTCAGTAACCTATGAAATCCTAATTTAAATCTATGATCTTGTGAACTTATAAATACAGAACATTTGGGATTGAGAAGTGAGCCCTATAACCCTGAACTATACATCAGACATTTTACTAAGTCCTAGAATTGTTTTTCAGTCATGTTTGACTCATTGTGACCCCATTTTGGGATTTTCTTGGCAAAGATACTGAAGTGGTTTGCCATTTCCTTCTCCAGCTCACTTTATTGATGAGAAAACTGAGGCAAACAGTGTTAAGTGACTTGCCTAGGGTCACACAGGTAGTAAAGATCTAAGGCCAGATTTGAACTCAGGAAAATAAGTCTTTCTGACTCCAGGCCCAGCACTTTATCCACTGTACCATGAAAATGCCCTTAAAAGAGAAGGCTATTAGAACAGATGAGGGGAGAGGTGATAAAGTCCTGAAATATGTCAGTGGGCATGGGAGCAGAGAAAAGAAGGAAGGGTAGAATCAATATGACAAGGGACAGCTAGGTGGCACAGTGTATAGAGCACTGACCATGAAGTCAAGAGGACCTGAGTTCAAATTCAGCCTCAGACCAAACACTTACTAGCTGTGTGACCCTGGGCAAGTCACTTAACCCCAACTGACTAAAAATTAAAAGAATCAATATGACATAGCATATGTTTAGGTAACCTGACTCAAGGTTCAGCTCTATCCACCCTTCTACCTAGCTATGTAAAGAGAGATTAAGTGGCTTGAATAGAGTAGTAGAACTAGTGTATGAATAAGTATTTGAAGACAGGTCTCAGACCAGCACTCTACTCACTATACAATGATGCCTCTTAAACTGAACATAATCTCTCTGTTCTGTTGATGACAAGTATACTGAAGGACTTTAGAGGTGATTCACTCTAACTCTACCATTTTACAGGAATCTGAGACACAGAAAAGTTAAGTGACTTGCCCAGAGTCACATAGCTAGCATGCATGCAAGCCAAGATCACAAATCTGGAGCTGCAGTGACCTGAAAAGCCTCTAGACTAAACCCTTCATTTTACGGATAAAGAAAATGAAGACCTGGACAGATAAGCAAGCTGCCTAAGGTCACACAGCAAGTGTCAGAGATGGGCTTTGATTCCAGGTCTTTGGACTCCAAGGCATGGTTTTTGCAAACTTGTACTGCAGGCCCTTATCAAGTTCCCAGAATTTCTCTAGCTCTTCATCCTCAGCAAAGGATGATGGAGCATAAACTGCAATCACCTTCATGGTGGTCTTTTTTTTTTTTTTAACTTATCATAAACACTAAAAAATATAACCAAGAGTTCCCACAAATGGTATTCATTTTGAACAAACCACCAACTACTTTTTTGTCTGCCTACGAAAAATGATTTAATTTAGGTACTAATTCACTTTAACTAAAGGTTTACTTTATCCTGGGAATATCAACATTACTCCAATACGATAAATAAAGACTATTATCAAAATTATAAAACTTTTTCTTCCTTTTAGATTAAGTATATATTTATACCATTAAAAAGATCACAGTAATATTTTAAAACTTATGCATCATCTAACAAGAGGTAGACTGAATAGAGCTACAATAAAAACAAACTTATTGTAAATATTTATGTAAAAATTTATACCAGCTACATAACTTACTATATGGCATTGATGCACTGCTTGCAATTGAAGACGCATCACTACATGTGGAAGCTGGAGAAGGTGGGGGACCCATTTCAGTTTTCACAGGCTCCTGTTTACTTTCAGGTCTAAAATTCAAAGTAAGATTTTATTTCTCAGTAAGAAAATAGGTATTGGAAAAAATATAACACTAAAACTTGGCAAAATGGCTTTTGAAAAATTAATTTTGTGTTAATCCATATTTATTAAAGCTTTGAAATATTTAAAATATACATGATGAACTTTTAGCGAAACTGGTACTTAGATGAGAAAATTATCAACCCTCAGAATACTAACAAACATGATTGGTTTAGGTATTAAAATATAAACCAAAAAACAAATTTACCAATACACATAATTTTCATACACTATTTGATATATTTCCTTCATTAAAAAAAAATCAACTATTCCACATATCTAGCATCAAGGAAGACAGTATATTAAATTCATCTGTACTTCAAGGGTTCAGTTAAGGGAAAGAATTCCACTAATGAGATATCTGCTATTGTTCAGTCATGTCTGATTCTTCGTGACCCCACCTGGGGTTTTCTTGGCAAAGATACTGGAGTGGTTTGCCATTTCCTTCTCCAGTTCATTTTACAGAAAAAGAAACTAAACAAACAGGGCTAAGTGACTTACCCGTGGTCACACTGCTACCAAGTGTTTTGAGGCCAGATTCGAATTCAGGAAGATAAGTGTTCCTGACTCCAGGCCTGGAACTCTACTGCACCATCTAGCTGCCCTTTTAGGGAATGTATGTAGCACTACTCCTTTGTCCTTAATCAAGAGATTTCCCACATTGGTCAAACAGATCAAACAAACTCAGTGATCTCTAAGCTTCTTAATCTATGCACTAGCAGCATAAACTTAGATGGCTCAAAAATTAGAATCTACCACTCAGACATGTCCAAATAGATTCAAGTGTTATCTACTAAAAGGTAACTAAATAAAGGTCTAAAGCTTTCTAAGGCATTGAGTGATGCAATGAGACACTGTAGTGGACTAAAGCAACAGACTTGAATTGAATCATCTATAACTGAAACGTTTTAAGCTTTTCAGTTCAATTTGTTAACTCAAGTTGGCAAAGTCAACTATATACTTCAGAAAAAAGTTTATTTAATGACCCATTTTTTTGTCCTTTAAAGAAATCCCACAAATAAATTTTTAGCTGGAAAAAAAATGTTATCTAATATCATTAGGTTAAAAAACAGAAATGAAACTAGCAATTCATTCTGTGAACCACTCTAATTATCTAGAACTATATTCTAGAAGCTTAAGGGGTCCAAGGCCTCATTATCATAAATTAATAATGTTGTTTACCAGAAGAAAAATGAAACAAATCATTGTGATATCTCCCAAGCTAAGAATAAGCAAGGAAAACAGGACGGGTTCTCCTGAAAAGTGTAAAGAGTTGAACCATAAACATTCTGAAACCCAAAAGTAAAATACTTGTGTATATTTACAACTATAGAACAATTGAAAATATTTTTCATCAATGTCAAAAAATAGACCAAAATAATTATACCAAGTAAACACATGTTGTTGAACTACTACCACCAGCACTACCACCACCACCACCACCACCACCACCACCACCACCACATTATGATGGTGGTGGTAAGTGAATGCTGAGTAATGATTTATATACTTCTACAAGAAAGTAACACAACAAAGCTCAAGTAGAATATAAGAATCCAGTTAAAATCACTATCTTACTTTATTTTTCAACTTAACAGCCTTTTTTATTAAGTTTAAGAAAACTAAGGAAAAGAGGATATAGAACTTTGCACATTTTCAAGTCAACTTTAAAGATTCTACAGCAGCTTTAGATGACCATAATAATCTCAGATTTTCAGGTTTATTTGATAATTTCCTAAAGAAACAAATATTTAACATTATTTATTAATGACAGTTTATAGTTAAAATGTGTAACATTAAAAAACATCTAAAAATAAAGAGAAACTGGGGGAGTGGGGATAATGATAAAGTTTTCTTTAACATCTCTGATGGTTGAAGGGGCTTCCTCAGAGTGAGGAATACATGCGTCAAGCAGCCTAATTTTTTTATTAGGTACCCACATTTTAATGATTTATTTCCCCAAGGGGAAAAAAAAGGACACAAAACTTAGAAATACTTCTTTCAAAGCAAACAGTCCTACAATTTTTCTAAGCTATGATCTGTGACCAAGATATAGTAAGAAGGAAAGATGACAGAGTAGGAAAAAAAAAAATACCAGGCTCTCCAAATTTCCCTCACAAACATCAAAGTGAACTTAAGAGTGGCAGAAATACTTAAAAGTCGGGGCAAAGATGTTATCCTCCTAAGACAATCTGAGAAGCCTCAGGAAAAACTCCACCTCCATGGGCAGAGGTTTGGCTAGAGTAAAATGCAAACACTTTCAGAAAGACTCTGCTGAAACCTGCAGGTAGCTGGGTCCTCCACTTCTGGAACTTCATGGGACACTGTGGGGGGGTCTATTTGGCAGGCCCAGCCACGCTGACCCACCAAGGTCCAGGCTGAGGCTGTGGGTATAGGAACAAGCCCATATCTGGGGGTGGGGACCCTGCTGGCTGTGGCCATGTGCAGAAGAAGAGTTCCTGGTTTCCATTCCAAGCCAGAGGGATGAGTTGCCCAGAAGGGACCACAGGGAACAAGAGCAGCCATAGACGGGGCCATAGCTTTGGCTCAGGTTACAAAGCCAGGATTAGGCACCCAGGCAGTGCTTAGGAAACAACACTATGAAAAACTGGAAGCCTGAGGCATCACTCCCCACTACTTAGGACTAGACACTGACTATAATAATAAGCCACTAAGAAAAATAACAATGAGTAAGCAAAGGAAAAAGAATTCGACCACAGCAACTATGGGGATAAAGAAGATCTGCATTAACACTCAGAGATAGTGCAGTTAAAAAAGCCACTCCTACTTTAAAGAAAAATGTCAAATGGTTACAAGCCCAAAACAGTTCTTGGAAGAACTTAAAAAGGACTTTAGAAGTCAAGTAAGTGAGGATGAGGAAAAATTAGGGAAAAAATTAAGAGCAATAAAAGAAAATCAAGAAAACTATGAAAAGAAAGTAAATCAACTGGAAGAGATCCAAAAGCTTAAGAAAAAAAATAACTCCTGGAGCAGCTAGGTGGCACAATGGATAGAGCACCGACACTAGATTCAGGAGGACCTGAGTTCAAATGTGGCCTCAGACACATAACACTAACTAGCTGTGTGACTCTGGACAAGTCACTTAACCCCACTGCCTAGCAAAAACAAAAAAATAAAACAACTCCTTTAAAACTAGAATTAGGCAAGGAGAAGCTAATGATGTCACAAGACACCAAGAAATAATAAAACAAAATCAAAAGAATGAAAAAAATAGAAGACAATGTGAAACATCTCATTATAAAAACAAGTGATCTAGAGAAGAGATCAAGGAGACACAATATTAAGAATTGCTGGCCTACCTGAAAGATATGATTTTTTAAAAAAGAGCCTAGATACAATATTATGAGAAATCACTAAGGAAAACTGCTCTCTCTTATTCTAAAGTGGGTAAAACAGAAACAGAAAAAAATTCATCAATCACCATCTGAAAGACATCTCGATATGAAAACTTATAGGAACTTCACAGCCAAGTTTCAAACCTCCCAGGTTAAGGAGAAAATACTATAAGAAACAAGAAAAAAAAATTTAAATACTGTGGAGCTATAATCAGGATAACATAAAATCTAGTAGCTTCTCCATTAAAAGTTTGTTGAATATTATTGGAACATTTTATTCAGAAGAGCAAAGGAGCTGGGTTTGCAACCAAGAATAACTTACCCAGCAAAGCTGAGTATAATCCTCAAAGGGGGAAAGGGAGGGAGGGAGAGATGTGCAGGCATTTTATGAACTGAAAGACTTTCAGCTACAAACATGAAAACAGGATAGAGGAAATACACAGTTAGTAACCGTAACTGTGAAAAAAAATTTTATAGCAAGTTTCCCTGATAAAGACCTCATTTCTCAACGACATAGAGAACTGAGCCAAACTTAAAGAATTAAGAGGTAATTCTCCATTGATAAATGGTCAAAGATATGAACAGGCAGTTCTCAGATGAAGTAACCAAATTATGCATAGTCATATGAAAATATGCTCTAAATCACCATCGATTAGAGAAACACAAATTAAAACAACTCCAAGCTACCACCCAACACCTGTGATATCAGCTAATCTGACAGAAAAGGAAAATGATAAATGTTGAAAGGGATATGGGAAAATAGAGACATGAATACACTGTTTGTTGGTAGAATTGTAAACTGATTCAGCCATTCTGTAGAGTAATTTGGAACTATGTCCAAAGGGCTATAAATCCATGCAGACTCTTTGACCAAGCAAAGCACTACTAGGTCTGCATCTCAGAGATAAAAACAAAAAGGAAAAGGACCTATATGTACAAAAATATTTATAGCAGCTCTTTTAGTGGTGGCAAGGAATTGGAAATGATTGGGGATGATCATCAATTGGGGAATAGCTGAACAAGTTGTTGCATTTATGATTGGAATATTTTATTTATGATAAGAATACTATTGTGCTATCAGAAATGACAAGCAAGATGGTTTCAAAAAATCTGGAAAGACTTACAAGAACTAATGTAAACTGAAATGAGCAGAACCAGGAGAACACTGTATACAGTAACAGCAATACTGTTCATACTGTTCATCTACTATGAATGACTGAGCTATTCTCAACTACACAATGATCCAAGACAATTGTGAAGGACATATGATGAAAAATGCTATCCATATCCAGAGAAAGAACTGATGGAGCCTGAATACAGATTGAAGCATACTTTTTCTTTACTTTATTTTTCTTTCACAATGTGACTAATATGGAAATATGTTCTGCATGAGTGCATATGTATAACACATCAAAATCCTTGCCTTCTCGGGGGGGGGAAGGGAGGGTTTTAGACCTCAAAAATTTTTAAAAACAAGTATTAAAGATTGTTTTTACAAGTAATTGAAGAGAAATTTTTTTAAAAAGTTAAGAAGATGAAAAGAATCTTAGATAAGCTAGCTCTGACATATATATATCTGGAGAGAATTGAATGGGAACAGATACAAATATACCTTCTTCTCTACAGTACATGGTACCTTTACAAAAACTGACCATTTATTAGAGCATAAAAACTTTAAAATTGAGAATTTTTATACAGTTTCTCAGATAAACACCTCATATCTCAAATACATAAAGAACTTTGTCAAATTTATAAGAATTTATAGTCACTCCCCAATTGATAAATGGTCAAAGGATATAAACAGACAGTTTTTTGATGAAGAAATCGAAACTATATATAATCATATGAAAAAATACTCTAAATCACTATTTATTAGATAAATGCAAATTAAAACAACCTTGAGATATCATCCGACAGCTATCCAATTGGCCAAAATGATAGATGGGGAAAATGACAAATGTTGGATGGGATATGGAAAAATTGGAACCTTAATTTACTGTTGGTGGATCTGTGAGCTGATCCAACCATTTTGGAGAAAGATTCGGAATTATGCCTATAGAGTTATTAAACTGTCTATACCTTTTGATCCAGCAATACAGCTATTAGGTCTGTTTCCCAAAACGATTACGGAAAATGGAAAAGAATTTTTATGTTCTAAAATATTTGTAACAGCTTTCTTTGTGGTGACAAAGAACTGGAAATTGAGGGGATGCCATCAATTGTGGAATGGCAAAAAAAGTTGTGGTATATGATTGTGATGAATGTTATTATGCTATAAAAAATGATGATCGATTTTGAAAAAACAGACGACTTACATGAAATAATGAAGAGCAAAATGAGCAGAACCAAGAGAACATTGTACACAGCAATACTGTTCTAACAATAACTTTGAATGACTAAGTCATTTTGAGTATCATAAATATTCAAATCAACTATAAAATACCTATGAAGGAAGATGCTATCTTAACTCAGAGAAAGAACTGACAACTAGAAATATGTATAAGATGGTTTTACGTGTGTGTGTGTGTGTGTGTGTGTGTGTATGTGTGTGTCTCTAATGGCATTCTCCAGGGCAGGGGGGAGAGGGAGGAAGAAAAAAAAAAGCACAGAGAAAAAAAAAAATTTAAAAATCAGCACAGAAAAGCAGGGTACCTTTGAAAATGATGCACAGTATTTATGACATAGCCTTCCCAAAAAAAGTAAACTGCATGAAATGGAAATGAATGGTTTTATATTGAATCCTCTTTTCATGTTGTGCTGTGTACATGGAATGTTCCTTCTGGGGGTCTTTTTGTGTTTAAAATTAAAATGAATAAAAGTTAAAAATAATAATATTAATAAAGACTGTGAGGGAAAAAAAGATATAGTAAGAAGCTTGAAGATGATTCAGTAGGGTTAACTTACCAAGAACTTCATCTAATGTTGGTCTAAATAAAGAATATTTTTAGCAAAAAAAATAGTCCTGAATTTGTAAGAGGGAGTAGTCTAATGGATAAAATGCTGATAGGAAAATTCCATGTTACATGACAATCAATTCTTCTCATTAACCTTCCTATTAAGAATTACCAGGATTACTATAAATTAATGAAGGCCCAACTTAAAACACTAAATGACTAATAATTTCTTCTCTAGTACACATAGACTTTTAGGGAAATGAACAAAGTTGCTGCTAGGCAGTTTACTATTGTCTTTTATTTATTTCATTAAACAAAACACTGAAATATGCTTTTCAGGTAAGTTTCTTGAAAAAATAAGTTTTTGAAGAAAAACAAGTTTTCATAGGATCTTTTTATGTGTCTATCATGTAAAGTTGTTGCAGTTCCTTTACAAGGTCATGAATTTCAAAAAATATTTTAAAATTAACACTTCATTAAAAGTACTTACTTAGCTTCAGTAGTTTTGCTAGCTTTCTCCATGTTTTTCAAGCTTTCAGGTGAGCGAAGTTGGAATCTACAGCTGTCATTCATATTCCAAACTGACTCCATTAATACACCAACTTTAGGAATTCCAGCACTAATTGAAAAGGCAACTGCTCCAGCATGATAGAGAGGATTATTTCTCAAGCACACCTGACAAAAGAAAATTATCAAGCTACTTAAGACCATATTACAAAGGAAATTAAAAAAATGACAGGAATACTAGGAATCAAGCATTCCTGCCCAAGCTTTCCAAATCAAGGGAACATGAAATAAAGAACAAGAAAAACAAAGAACAAATTTAAAGAATTCCATAAGCAAAGTTACATAAGTTAAGAAAATTAAGAAACTTAAGTAGTCTTTACATAAACCTCAGTATTGTGGTCCATTACCAAGTTGCTGTTGTTTTTTTTTCTTAAAGAAGGTAACAGTAAACAGGAAATCATTTTTTTTAACGGCAGCTTTACAAGCATCACAAAAGGAACAAGGAGAGAATACATACGAAAAATACCAGAGAAGAAAGCAATACAATTTAAAAATTATGACTCGTATAGAATAGTACAGTATTTGGTTCACTGATTTACGAGATAAATATACATCCCCTCTTTGTCTTTATCATGCCTGGGGCTTTTTGAAAACTACTACCCCTGCTTCAGTTTTCTTCATTCTAAAACAGGAACAGTAATACTTCCCAGGGTTACTGTGAGTTGGCAAACCTTAAAGCCTTAAACATCAATTGAGAGTGTTTGTGAATTTCTTGAGAGGAGGAGAGGGATGCAGTAGGGGCAAGCATTAGACATGTGACTTCACTTGAGATAGTAAACAGGATGAGAAAATTTCCTTTACCAAAATAAATGGGAATCTCCTTGTAAGTAGGGACTGTCTCATTCACTGTATTTGTAACCCCAAGGCCCAGTTTAACTTACAGTCTCAGAAAGGGAACCTTAAAAGTCAGCCCTGGATCCAAGCCATTAGCCCCTCAGAGCCATTATCACTGACTTCTCTTCAGAGACATCCCTAAGAATTCAGTCCTTAACCAACATGCTTGCCTGCTTGTGGCCTCTTCACTCCTGGGATTTCCTCAGAAGCCATGTGTTAACCTGAGATTCAGGCCACACACCTGTAGTCATTTGCTCCTGAGGCTGCCCAGGGAACCTTTCATCATCCCGGACCCAGGCATCCAGCAAGTGGACTCTTCACTAAAGATAAGTCCCTGCTCTATAACAGCTCTGGATGCAGCAGCCCATCCCTATCTTTACCTCAGGACATTCATGAATACACCTACAGCTTTTATCACATCAGACCCATCCTGAATTACCAGCAACCTTCCGATTCATACTCACTCTGCCTATACCTGTGCTGTCAAATGGTTCTCCTGAGTCTCACAGTATTCAACATCTTCACCTACTACAAGGTTAGAGGAAAGGCCTCTAACAGTCTAATCACCCGCTCCCCCATCAAAAAGACCTTTCTTCAGACATTGATACTCTGTACAAACTTATTCCTCAACGGTTAGCGTCCCATTAACGTGATTCTGAACAACGAATTGTCATTGTACAAAATCTATTACCCATAACCATAGCCCACCCTTTTAATCAGTCTCCCTTAATCCTATCCTCTATAATTTCAGATCTTCTCACACCTTCCACTAGATTCTCTGTAAAGCCTGCCTTCTTGGTTAAACTCACTTTCATCTTAAGTTTTCTTTTCCCACTTTCTCTCACCTTCACTGAGACCTGCATATTGCAATGAGACCTACATATTGCAATGAGACCTACATATTGTACTTTCATTCAAATCCCCTGATTTACTCGTTGTAAATAGTCCCTGATCCTCAAGTGACACTTTAAGAATCTCCCCTTATAACCATCATCTAGAACCTCTCCTCTGTTGAAGTTCATTAACTCTATCATATTTATCCCCCCAATCAAAATTCTAGAATAGTGTTATCTATCAGGCTCCAGGCTCCTTCCTCCCTTCTTCAACTAATTCAGTGCCTTGCTCAAAGTCTTTCTCTCTTCTCTAATTCTTGACATAATAGAAGAGAACTTCAACATACATTCCAACAACCTAATTTCCCAATTTCTCAATCTACTCATTTCAGATTACTGATGTACTTCTCTTTATCTAAACAACATATAGATATAGTCATACCTTTGTTTTTGGGAGCATCCATATGTGTTCCACTTCCATATTTATTAACTGTAATTCCTTTCTCTGATTATAATCTCCTATCTATCTTTCCGTCTACCTTGTAATCCCAATCTCCCTTTTTTATCCTCACTATGACCCTTAATTCCTATACCTTTTACTTCTTTCCCAGATCATCAACTCTTCTCTGGCTACATACCCCACACCTTCCTATCTCAACCCCTTGATGAAATATCTCAATGCCAAACTATACTCTACAGTATATAGTACTTTGATTACTTGTCTAGGGTTGTTCAATTGTGTCCAACTCTTCATGATGCTATTTGGGGTTTTCTTGGCAAAGATACTGGAATGTTTTGCTATTTCCTTCTCTAGCTCATTTTCCAGAAGAGGTAACTGAAGCAAATAGGGTTAAATTACTTGCCCAGGGTCATACAGCTAGCTAATTAAATGACTTGCCCAGGGTCACACAGACACACAAGTGTCTAAGGCTGGATTTGAACTCTGGTCTTCCTGACATTGGACCTGGTGTACTTTGCCTCTTTATCCTATGCATTTATCTTCAACCTTGTATTACACCTCTACTTAGCTCCTATTCAAATGCAGCTGAATGGAGCTGGAGAAAATTTACTGAGTCCTCTATAAATTTATGTTATATCATCTCAACTGGGTCCCTACTGAATCACTTTACACACACCTGATTCACCAGTACAATAATCTCAGCAGCTATTTCAAACTTTTTCATAGTTCCTTAAGCCTCTCAGAGCAGTCCCTCCACCTAGACACTGACCTGAAAACCTTGTCTCACATTTCACTGAAAAAAAGAGGCCATTCCTTCCCCTCTCCTCTTCACCTCACATCACTAACATGTCTTCAGTCACAATCTCCTCCACCCTCATTTTCACAAGAGATTTGCACTTAACCTTGACAAAGCAAAACCTTCCACAGGAATAAGTGGTCCCATTTTTTCTCATTTTCTCCATGAAATTCTCACCTTTACTATATCCCCATTCTTTCACTTCTCAGTCTACTGCCTGCTATAAACCTATGTCTCTCCTCCATCATCCAAAAAAAAAAAAAAAAACACCCTTACTTGACTTGACAAATCCAATCATAAGAGACTCAATAAAGTGAAGATAATACATGTAATTCCTAAGAACTTTATCATCATTAGGGCACAGTTAGAAAATCTATATCAACAGAAGGCATAGGTCAGAGCCAAGATTTTGAGATTAGCTCAAAAAAAAAAAACTGAAGGGGTGAGAAAGAGGAAATGTACTGGAAGGGGGAAGGCAGATGTAGAATGGGGAAATTATCTCATGTGAAAGAAGCATTCAGAGAAAAGCTTTTACAGTGGAGGGGGAAATAGGGAAGGGTGAGCAACAACTGAACCTCATTCTCATTCAAAATGGTTCAAAAAGTACACACACACACTCACACCCACAAACACTCTCTCTCTCCCCCTCTCTCTATCAGTTCAGAATGGGAATGTACCTTACCCAACAGGTAAATAAGCAGGGAAAGGGATAAGAGAAAGGGAGGTAAAATAAAAGGAGACAGCGGTCAGAAGCAAAACAGACTTTTAAGAAGGGATAGGATAGAGAGAGAGTGAGGGACAAATGGAAGAAAATAGGATGAAGGTAAATACAATTAGTAATCATAACTGTAAATGTGAATGGGATGAGCTCACTCAAAGTGGAAGGAGAAAGTAGAAAGGATAAGAAACCAGAATGCAACAATACATTGTTTAACAAGCGACACACTTGAAACAGACACACAGAGTTAACAGGGAAACTACATTTTGATAAAAGGTATCACAGACAACAATGGATACCTAGGTGGCATGGTTGAACACCAGGCCCGATGCAGGAAAACCACAGACAAATAAACAAAAACTTTTACAGCAAGTTTCTGTGGTAAAGGTCTCATTTCTGAAATATACAGAGAACTCTGTCAAATTTACAAAAATAAAAGCCAATCCCCATTTGACAAACAGTCAAGGGATATGAACAGGCAGTTTTCATGAGAAAAGTTATCTACAATCATATGAAAAAAATGCTCTAAATTACTATTGATTAGAGATATGCAAATTAAAACAACTGTGAGGTACCACCTCACACCTATCAGAAAGGACAAATGATGGAAGGAAAATAGGCACACTAATGAACTATTGGTGGAGTTGTGAATTGGTCCAACCATTCTAATAAACAATTAGAAAGTATGCCTAAAGGGCTACAACCTTATGCATACCCTTTGACCCAGCAATATCTCTATTAGGTCTGTATAATGTAGGTCTGTACACTAAAGAGATTTAAAAAAAAAAAAAGGAAAGGAAAAAGATCTATATGAACAAAAATATTTATAGCAATCTTTTTGTGGTGACAAAGAATTGGCAATTGAGGGGATGCCCATCAAATGGGGAATGGCTGAATTTTAAGGTTTGGCATATGATTGTGATGGGAGTACTACTATGTTATAAGAAATAATGAGGGGGATGATTTCAGAAAAACATGGGAAGACCTATATGAACTAAAGCAAACTGAAATAAGTAGGACCAGTTCACTGTACATAGTAACACCAATATTTTAATGATAATTAACTGTGAAAGACTTAGTTGCTTTTATCAATACAATGTCCCAAGAAAATTCCAAAGGACTCATGATGAAAAAATGCTATCTACCTCCAGAGAAAGAGCTGATGAACTCTGAGTGCAAACTTTAGTATAGTTTCCTCACTTCATTTTTCTTGCTTTTTTTTTTTAATTGAGTGGTAAGTCTAATATGGAAATGTTTTGATATTTGCCTTCTCAGTAGGTGAGGGAAGGCCAGGAGAACTCAAAATCAAAAAAAAAAAAGAGGAAACGTCCCAATCTTTCCGGAGCTTTTATCTCAGAGACAAGAAGCGACATGACAGTGGAAAGAAATGAACCAAGAGTCCAAAGCCCTGGTCTAGTCCAGGCTATAAAACTTAATAACTATATTACTGAACATGAGCCTAAGTTGGTTTGCCTAAATTACAAGACTGATGGAGAAAAAACAGAGAAATGTGTGCTGAGGCATTTATTTCCCTTGCTAAACAATGAAATTAGTTTAGTAAGGGAAACAAGGAGGAAAGTTATTTAAAGTTATTTAAAGAAATTTAGAATCACATGGGCAAAAGACTGAAGGTTCAATAAGTATTAAATTCTAAAAAAATTAAGGGAAACTTGTAACTGAGATAATGATCAAGTAGATGAAAACAATAATTTATTTTTGTTGGCCTTTTAATTCAAAGATGTAGGTGAAAATGATTAGGATCCATGAATGTAAGTATGGCTGAACATAATAAATGACCCCATGGTCATATGAGGATCATTGTCTTCACACTTTGCAACCTAAGGAAATTTCTCTGGTAAGTGACTCAACTGACCATAGAAGAAACTGTTTTCAACTTTAACTGCCTCAAACTCTATTTTACCCAAAAATGTTCAAAAATACTATCCCATTCTTTATTTATACTCATCAGACTGGTCTAATTTATTGCTGATTCTAAGCTATCAAAAGCCATAGAACCCTGTGGGGATTATTTCTGATTTCTCCACATACAGTTAGGTCACTTAATCTTCTAATAATAAAACAGCTACTTTGGAATCTACCATGAAGTGGGTCCAGCTGGAAAAAAGGACTAAAAGAACATTAAAATTCTTTATTTTGATCCAATTAAACATATATTAAGCACTTATTCTATGTAAATAAATCTAAAATTGGAAAGCCAAAAAGGGATATGCATGATTGAAAAAAAAAATGATCAACAGCCATAGCCATGGGCATTAGCATGGAATATGCTGCACAGAAACCAGGAGCAAAATTCAGTGAGATTAATGGGCAAGACCAGAGATATCCAGTATTACCATGAGATTTTCTATATAAAGGACAGGCAAAAAAGAGTGCTGCATCATATCAACAGTAAAACTGAACAATGAAGAAAGCTTCCATGAGAAAGAATTCGTAGGATTCTTGTAAAGCTGAAAAGGACTTTAGGGATCATCTGGTTGATAACCCAAATCATTTATGTAATACTTTAAAGCTTATAAAACATGTTATATATGTTATCTCATTTGATCCTCACAACAACCTTGTCAAGTAGGTGTTATTATCCCATTTTTCAGGTAAGGAAACTAAGGCTGAATTAAGGTTGGGTGACTTGCCAAAAGGGTAGAGAATGTACAAAGAAGGATTTATTCAGGTCCTCCCGAATAAGGAATGTCATATTATTACTAAAAAGGAAGAACAACTGCACCTGCCAATGGAGGTTAACCATAAGACTTTATGACTAAATTTTTAAAAACACCATGAAGAAGGAGAAAGCACCTTTTAAAGAGAGGCTCTTTTCTCTCTATCAAACAGTCTCCACACTTACCTGGGTGCCAACTGTGATATTTGGCATTGAGGAGATACCAGCACTGGACTTGGGCTTTTTATTTTTTGCCCTCGCCTTTTCTAACATCTTCTTCCTCTGACTAAAAGGGACCACACCCCTAGAAGAGAATACACACACCAGACAAATGAGAAGCTATAACTCAATAGGACCTTCCATTACTTTAACATGCTATTCTTAAAGCACTGCTATGATCAGGAAGAGGTATTTTTAAAGACTTTATTTATTCCAAGAATTTTAGAATCAATTTAGAACAACTAGAATTTTAGAATCAATTTATCCTTCAATGCTTGAAGGATAAATTCCAGAATATTAAGAAGGAAGACTGCTATAATGTGGAACAAAATTTTAAACACTTTATTTAAAAATGTAAAAACCAGTCCTCACTCCTGGGCCATACAAAAACAAGTGGCTTTGCTAGGGCCCTGCTATGGAGAAAGAAATTCATGTGCTAAGTATAATAGATGGCATGTTCACATTTCTGCGTATACTGTAGAGTGCTTTATCCACTGCCAATACTGTTAAATCATCTTCACTAGCTGATAATCAGGTATTTTCTGCTACCTCGCATTATTTGGAAATTTTTCTAATGATAAACAATAAAAACCATAGCTTGCTTTTTGTAGTAGACATGGATAAGAATCCCTTTGCCAGTAATGAGTTGGCCCTCATCTCTAATCAAATTTGCTTAAATCCATTCATTGTTAAAATTACCAATCCCAGAATGACAGCTTCAAATTGGGTTCCACAGGGCAAATAATATATTATTTATTTTATCACCTATATACCTTCTAGAGATTCAATAGCTAAATACTTGCAGTTATCCTCAAAGCAGATCTACTTTAGAAAACTGAGTATTTTATGTACTCTAAAATAAAATGCTGATAAAAACCTGAGTCCAACCCTTAAGTCATTTAAAATCTATTCTGTCTGATATACTAAATATTAGTCAGGCCCCAGGTGTTTAGAGAACTTAAAACATGAAATTTAATTTTTACTTTAACTCATTGATAGATGTAAGAAATATCTGGGCCTTTTTTTAAAAATGCAAGTTTAAATGGCTCCCCAAATCAATTACTTTTCATGAATACCAATCCTTGTTATTCGTTTATATTAAGATGAGGTACATACAATTAAACTCAGATGACGGGTTCATAACCCAGTGTCAGTAGATTAGGTACTTACAATTAAACTTACAACTTATTTTTTAAAGTATTTTCATAACTGTATTTCACCATGTTTTGTTTCCTTTGATCCTATGTATTTTTATTTCATTCATTTAAAAGCATTATGCTGATAAAGGATGCATAGTCTTTACCAGACTGCCATAAGAGTCCATAACACACAAACAAGCTGAGAACCCCTAGCTTAGAGCCATCATTTAAATTTCAAAAGTAACATCCCTGTACCATAATGACATTTTCTATCTTGGTCACAAAATAAGTCGAGAAACATGTGTCAAGCTGTTGTTTACAAGGTGCTGTAGCCGACACCTAGACTATTTCTTGTCCTCAAGAAGCTAAGAAAATATGGCACAAGAATGATACACAATAATACATCATAGACCCTGAATGCCAAGTTAAGGATTTTGAATTTTATTCAGTATTAACATCTTGACCACAATATCTAATTTATTCCTAAAGAAGAATAGTTTGGCAACAGGGTTAAGGACAGATTTGTGGGGAGGAAAGGGGAGAGGGAATGTTGGAGGCAAGAAGATTAACGAATAAAGATAATACAATACTTCAGACATGTATAAACCAATGCTAGGGATGACAGAAGTAAGAATAAATGAGTAAAATAGTAGATTAACAGGATCTCATTTCTGATTAGATGAAAGTAATAAACAACAAAGAATCAAAAACAAAATTGGGCTTTCAGCCAACTGAAAGACAAATGGGGGATTAAACAATACTGACACTGATAGCATGAGTGAAATTAGAAGGAAGAACCCTAAGCGAAATTAGGAAAAATCTGTAGCAGAAGAAAAATTAGACCTATTTTCACAGTGAAAAAATGTCACACAAGCATTTTGATAGTTTCATATATTATAGGGAAAAAACTATAGGGGGAACCTATTATATTGACAGTTGTTTTAGAAAACAAAAAAGTCTAACCATCTGATCCCCGCAATTATGTTCTACCTTTTCTAGTATTAATCAAAACAAATAGCTGTTTCAGTTTAAACCTGAAAAAAAAAAAACTTTACAGGCATCACAAAAATGTTTATTAAAAATGTACTCTTTATTGATTACTATTTCACCCTCTTGGACAACTAGCAATGAAATTATTGAAAAGCCCTTATTAATTCCACACAAAAGAATTTGGGAAATGCTGTTGGCTTTTTTATTGGCATTGTTTTAATAAGTGTCAATTTACCTGCCCTCTTCAGGGCTGCAAAATATTTTCAGGTGTGATATTCACTGACAACATTAACTTCATCTTTTTACTTACCACCAATACAGATTATTCTCTAGTTGAGCACAGGTGTAAAGAGCACAACAGTGTAATGAAACTATCCGTTCTCCCTGAAGCTCTGAGTAAGTCTGTGCAGTATGCTCTAACTTAGAAGCGACAGAACTTAAAGTTTCATCCACCCATGTAGCAACCTAAAGAACAAAATGCTGCTTGTTTAGATAAAAATTTCCACAAAGAAGTTTCTCATAAACATCCATGACTTACCACACTTGATTCAGACACAAAGAGAACAGAGTAACTGAAATTCTATAATGGTTCTGAGTTAAATGCTGCAAAACAATTATATTGCAATTCTTCCATTATATAAGCAGAAAGGCATTTTTTACAGTTCTTTTACATACCAGAAATTCAGAAATATATACAAATTGCTTGCAAAATATACAATTTCCAACTGTTTTTGGCATTAACCAAAAGTACTCAAATCTGTTTCATTAGTTTAAAAAAAATTCTTCAAATATAAAAATTTTAGACACAAAATGCATACTTTTTCAATGTGTTTTGTAAAGCTCTCTCCCTCTTCTCTCTCCCCTCTTTCCCTCCCTACCCTACAGCAGAAATCTATAGCAAGAAATGTTAAACACTCCAAAGATAAACCAGATAACAGAATTAACTGTCCTCAGAATCCCACCTAATTTTAACCAACAATCTATTTCAAATTTCTCATAAAATTCACACACATATGTAGAAAAACAGTGAACATGTACTCATTTCTAATGGAAAAAAAAAAGAATTTAATTAACAACAGCAATGTGAAGTGTTTCATACCTTATTATTGTCTGTAGCTACAGTTGCTCTGATACTATTTGCAGAAAGGAGAACTATCTTTTCATTGGTTAACCCCAAAAATGTTGCTCGTGGATGATGTAATGAAGGATTCTTTGAAAGCATAAGAAAAATGATTACTAATTTATAAGCTGATTTGTAAAGCTAATTGAACCAGAATTTGAGGAGGTCAAATACCTGCGCATTCCTGTAAGGCTCTGATTCACTCCATTTCCACTGATAGAGCTCCCCTTTATTACTAACTGCCAAAAGCTCAGAATACAAAGCTCCAATGGATGTAAATTTTGTTCCATCCTATAACATAAAAGAAATTAGAATAATAAAATACTATGATGAAATATTTCTGAAGTTTATACATTTGCACTATAACTCATCAAAACATTATCTAGGAATCAGGGAAAAAATAAAACCAAAAAAAACATGTTTAAAATGTAGAAAGGAACTTGTTTATACAGAAAGACAATTTATTCACTATTACCATATTAAAGAGGGGTAGGGCAGGGAAGCTAACCCTTTCAGCTCAGGAAATGGGAAAGGGAAGGGTGGCAAAAGAGATTATCATGAGTTTTTGGGAAAGGAGGAAATGGGGGGAAAAGAAAGGATTCAAAATTTCTGCTACTTAAAAATCTGTATATTCCATCTCTAATCTTTGCTAATTAAAAGCATCCTCTCTTCCTCCATGAAGCTTTCTTTTCTCAGCCAAAAATGATCTTTCCCTCAAGTGTCATATAGCACTTTCCATTTTGGCTTATATTTCAATGTGTCAAAAAATTTTATACAGATCTTATTTCTCTTATTTGACTATCAGGAGTTAGGGTGAGAACAATGGTGATACATATAGGTAAAGAACAAAAGGAATATGGGATACCAGGAAAGAAATGAGGCCGTCAAAATGAAGTGTAGCGGTATACGGAAATTTACCAGATTCACACCCGGCAATGGCCGAAATTACAAAACATTATAAATACAACATTTTTCATTATAAATATAAGTATGAGGTATAAATTGCCACTATCTCCTTCAGTTATCATATCCTCATGATCACAGGATAACAGATTTTAAGCTGGAAGGAACGATAAACACAAATTCCATTTAGTCCAACTCCAGTATTTTATAAATACAGAAACCAAGGCCCAGATTAGTTAAGTGACTTAAATTATCATCTCTATGCAGGTGATTCAGAGATATTCAGACTCAATCTCTTCCCAAGAATCACAAACTGCTTAATGGACATTTCAAATGAGATGTTCCAGTGATATCTCAAACAACCTGTACTAAGCAGAATTCATTACCTTTTTTTCCTCCAAACCTACCCCACTTACAATCCGTCATATTACTGTTGAAGGCAGCACTATTCTTGAAGTCTCTGAAGTTCATAAACTCTGCATTATCCTCAATTCCTCATTCTTCCTCACACCACATCTAACAAGTAGAAACATCCTACCATTTCTACATTCATATCTCCTGCATTCTCTTTACTCATATAGCTACCACTCTAGTGTAGATCTTTATCACTGTCACCTATACCATTGAAATGGACTCCAATTGTTGATGCTGTCTCAAGGCTCTCTCTGCTCCAATCTGTCTGCCACACAGGAGCCAAGGTGATTTTTTTCCTTTAGTACATCTCATCAATTCACTCCTTTACTCTTATACAATGAATTATGTGGCTCCCAACTGGCTCTGGGGTGGTATGCAAATTACTGGGGATGAATAATAATTTTAATAGGGTTTGACTTTGTTCCAGCAATGGTCATGTGTATATGCTTCTATGAAACCTTATGGACTTAGAACATAGGACTCTGACCAGATGAAGGAGATCACAGGGGTTCTTTCTCTACTGAATTTTTTGTCAGCTAAATTTTTGTTTTGTGCTATCTACACATTTCAATGCTCTTTGCATGCTTTTAATTTTGTGACTTTTAAAAAATGAACATTACTCCATGAAACACTCAAAAGTTGGAGTTCTAAGATGTTTCAAGGATCATCCAAGCCCACAATCCAACAGAATCAACTGCACCAAAGATTGAGGGAGAGTATGACTAAGAATGGAAAAGTGCCGACCCTTTATTTGAGGGGAATCTTTTTTTTTTTTTTTTTGGTCGAGACAATTGAGGTTAAATGACTTGCCTAGGGCCACCCAGTTAGTAAGTGCCAAGTGTCTGGTCTGAGGCTGGATTTGAACTCAGGTCCTCTTGACTCCAGGGCCAGTGCTCTATCCATTGCACCACCTAGCTGCCCCGAGAGGAGATTTTTTGAGGGGAACTGAGGTGGATACCATATTAAGAACAAACTGCCCACCAATAGCACCAGGATACCAGGAACTCTGGCACTCCTATTACTGACCTGGGACAGAAATGGGACCTAACTCCCATAGGCTGAAGCATTTGTGAGTCCTTTAGGATTTAGAAGCAAAGGTTTCCAAGCAGTACAGGAGGCCTCTAGGACTTTAAGTCTACCCTCAAAGTAGGAATAAATGTATTTCCCCAATAACCTACCCCTCCAACCAGTAACAATAACCAAAACAGCTGATATTTATCTAGCACTTCAAGTTTACAAAGTACTTTATACTAATTATCTCATTAGTTCCTCACAGCAGCTTTGTGAGGTAGGTACTATAGGCATTATTATTCACATTTTACAAATGAAGACACTGAAGGCAACTGATTGGGGATCAGTAGCTCTCTCAGTATGGATAACCATTCATCCAGGAATGTCCCAAATACTAAGAGGTATCCAGCCACAGTGAAGACACTTAGAAACAGCTTTGCTAGCCATAGTTTCTTGCCAAGGAGCAAGGCCTATGCTCTCTGCAGGAGTTGGTTACCAGGGAAGTGCTACGGGTGTTTAATATAAAGCGAGACTCTTAATGACAAAAAGTCAAGTGGTCCAAACACAAGCACAGACTATTGAGAAAAGTTGCAAAATGGTTTGACTCTGGATAATCTGATGACTAGCATAGAGATCTTTAATATTTTAGGCACCAGCCTGAAGGGAGGTAGGGCAGGGACAGGATGGGTTCGAAGACAAAATAAGGGTGGGAAGACAAGATAAATACATGAACTTCCTTCCAGTATGATAAGTGTTAGTGATTCAGATATATACATATATGTAATATGTATGTATGTATAAATGCATGCATGTATGTAACAGAAATCCTTCTGGGGAAGGACTGGTTTTGATGGGGTTGGGATCTGGACCCCAGAAAGGAAAAACCCTGAACTTTCCCACGTGGCCAAATCTCTGATGTTCCCCTGAGGCTTAACCGCCTTTCATTGTGACTATACCCAATCTCCCAATTCTGTTACCTTTAACCTAGCTTGGCCTTCTTTTGTTTTACTTACCTCCCTATGGCCCCTGGCCATTTCCCACACTAATCCTAGCTAGGCTCCATGGTCCAGGTCCCAGGAATTCTGTTCACCCCACCTTACTGGCCACTCCCATCCAGATCTCCTTAGACCCCTCCTCCAGTGACCCCAAACTACTTGGCCATTCCTAGATCCCTCCCACAGTCTTTATGTACACAAGGTCCATCTTATCTCCATTAAGATGCTCTGATTCTTAGAATCTAGCCAATAGCCCATAGATGCTCAGATTCCTTAAGAGTCTAGCTAACATGGCGAATCTTCAATAAACCTTGATTTTGGATGAAAGAAGGCTTGGCTCAAATGCTTTCGGGCAGGACCCAGGTGTTGTGATTTTGGGGTCCCAGGACCCCTAACCTCTAAACCGCATCAGTTTTAGGGTGCAGACGATTAAAAATAGTTTTCCCAGAAATTTATCTGAAATCTGGAATTCTTTTCCTAGATGATTTATGTTTTCAGGATTATAAAACATTGGTTTATTAAGCTCTAATAGTCCTAGTTTTTCCTTATTTAGTCTGTTCTATTATCCTACATTTTTTAACCAGTAAAAAAAAGTTTTGATTACTATTTAATAATACAGTTTGAGGTCTTACAACAGGAAAAAATAGGTTAACTTAGGAGGAACAAATCCTTTTTAAGATTCCATTTTATAAATAAGGAGTTGTTATTACGTAAGCCGTTTTTCTGTAACAAGTGGAATGATGCAGTTGGTAATAATGTATGTATCCCCCAAATTAAACTACCAGTGTTTCAGATTTGATAAACATCTGACAATGACATAAGCTTTAACTGATTCCTCTCTTTTATTGTAACCTTAGGTAATCAATCACCAATCAGAACTTACTTATAACTTGTAAATATCCTCAGCCAGAATAACAACCAAAAAATCCCAACCATCACAATCTGCTCCTGAGATTGTGACTAGAACAGACTCCTTCCTGCATTTTCAGCACTGGGAAATATAAACATCTCATTTTTGCTCAAAAGCAGTACTGACTTGATGGGAGATTTGCCAGAATGGCATCTCAGATAGAGACAGGAGATTCGCCAGAATGGCATCTCAGATAGAGACATAGCCAGGCATAGAGAAAAACCTAGTCATGAGCACCAATATAAGATATGCTTAGCAGGATCTCTAAGCATCACGTTACTAATTTGTTTCTAGACAGTTTGATGTTTGTATTACTGGAAAAGTCAATAAAGCCCTAAAAAGCACAGAAAATGGAAAACTGGTTTTACCCATGCACCATTTATCACAGGTCTGTATACTCTTTCCCCACCTTTATTCCTTTTTTTTTTTTAAATTTCCCTTGATATCCTAGAGACCTTTTCTTCCTGTAAATGAATGCTGTTGTTATACTAGCTTAATAAAATAAAATCTACAGTTTCATAATTTTTCTCACATCACTGTGCCCAAGCAATAGGTAATAAATCTTTTTTCAATTATTAAAGCTGTTCTATCAATACATGTACTGAGTGTGCTTTAATAAATTGACTATCAGATGTTTTTATGTCTTTTTTAATTTTTTTTTTTTTTTGGTGAGTCAATTGGGGTTAAGTGACTTGCCTCAACTCACACAGCTAGTTAAGTGTTATGTGTCTGAGACCGGATTTGAACTCAGGTCCTCCTGACTCCAAGGCCAGTACTCTATCCACTATGCCACCTAGCTGCACCTCTAATTATTTTAAATGGGAGTTTTTATCTAGTAAGAGAATCCCACCCCATTCCAATATAAATTAAGGTACTTCAGGCTTAAGGGGTTTCAAAACAAATAAACAAAACAACAACAAAAATCTTTATAATTGGCTCAGAGGACAAAAGACAGGCGATTACTTTCTGGTTGCCCAATTACAAAAGAGCCAAGAAGAGTACAATTAGGTGCGTGTGACTACTGGACCAAGAGGCACAACTCAGTAAGGGATACTTTA